TTGAAGAATCACCTCACATGGAGATCTTCACTGGGAAGGAGGACCCATTGACTCTGGAATAAATACCCCTAAGATAGGAGTTAGCAGCAGGCATTGAGATTACTGGCTTGTACAGATGCTCCTGCTCCAATGCAGTCTCCTGGAAGACCTAAGCTTTCAAACTGCAATCTACTTGTATTTAACTCTTGGTTGTACTTCAAGATCATACCTGTTTTATTTACCAGATACAAAACTATAATTTTGAATGTGGTTACTCAGGCTGCACTCTTTCTACGCCCAGGTGGAAAGTCACAGTGTTATATGGGAAGACTGTGGCTTACATTACTGGACATGCAGAACCAAGGGAAGGTACACCTACATGCATCATTTACACGTGTGCATTTGTATACCACATGCAGTACAACAGCTGTTCCTGGTCTCATCCCTGCAACCCAAAGTGGTGCAATTCTGAAAGAGTCCTCTTTTTGCCAATTCCCTTTTTGTCTCTCACTATCTCTTTCTCTCTTTTTAAAATATTTATTTATGGCAGTGCTGGGGGTCCTTGTACATGCTACTCAGTGCTCTACTACTGAGCCGTGTTCCCGGTTATGTCTCTTTCTCCTATTTGCAACCTGAGGACAAACAGTGACTACATGAAGCCTAAGAAATGACTGCCACATACACTCCTTGAATCTGGCATGTGCTTTTTGGAACCATTACTTTTCATACCTCTAATTGGTACAGCCTAAAAAAGTATTTCTTTGCAGCACCTCTTAGGGGATCAGTGATGACCCTGAATAAAATGGAAAAGGGTGGCTGTCATAATTCCAATCATGCTTCTGGTTCAAATCAAGACTTCTAGTTAGACTGTCATTGGTTGTGCAGAAAATAAATGAGAGAAAAATATTTCAGACCCTATATTCCTATTGCAAATATGTTTTTAAAACAAGTTCAGAGCTAAAATAAGCTGTTTGTGAGGTTAAAAGTCCCTAAGAAGGAAGTAAGCCAGAAGTGCTACAAAATTTTCCCAAGGAAACTGAAATAAACAACAACAGAGAATGAATCATGTGCTTGGGTCATGCCCAAGCCAAAGTTGGTACTTAAGGGCTCCCCAGCACAGGGAGCGTCACACTTCCCCTCCTCTCCCAAATCTTCTCTCCTCGCTTCACCTGAGTCCTCTCTACTGACACCATGGGTTGCTGTGGCTGTGGAGGTGGTGGTGGCTGCAGTGGTGGCTATGGTGGCTGCAATGGTGGCTGTGGTGGTTGCAACGGTGGCTGTGGTGGCTGCGGTGGCTGTGGTGGTGGTGGCACCTGTGGTGGCTGTTGTGGCTGCTGCCGTCGCTGCTGTGCATGCTGCTCCCCTGTGATCCGCGTTCGTGTCCCGACCTGCTGTTGTCCCTGTGGCGGTGGCTCCTGTGGTGGTGGCTCCTGTGGCTGTCGCCCCTGTGGCTGTGGCTCCTGTGGCTGTGGCTGTGGTAAGGGCTGCTGCCAGCAGAAGTGCTGCTGCCAGAGGAAGTGCTGTTGCCAGAGGCAGTGCTGCTGCTAGGCAGTCATTGGCCTCTGGGCAGGTGCTGCTGGGAGCCAGGCTCTCTCTTGTTCTTAGGTCTTTAGACATTCTGTATTTAATCTCTTCTGGTTCTTCTAAATATTGAGCCATGTAAATCAACAGAAATAGACCTGATTAGAAACCATAAGACCACATTCAAGTCCACATTCTGCTGAAGATGTCTGACCTGAGTTTGCTTATTTGTCTATCAGATAATAAGCTTGAACTAACATCCCGAAGGACCTTTTCAGCTTCAATAGCGTATTATATACTGAGTTCTCAAAACAAAACTCACAGCCTCTCCGTGCTCATACTCTGAAGTTTTCTATAACAGATCCCTTCCTCTCATATAACCATGGCTTGGGGGATTTTGTCCATATACAAAATCCATCCTCAGTCCAATATGAACCATTTATCACCATTGGCCCTATAACAGAAACAGTAGGATCAAATAATGCTCTCTAATATATCCCATTACATGAAATGTTTACTTGCTGTTTGTGGAAATTTTACACATATATGTCTGCTTAAGTTACTATACATTTCTTATAGTTTATAATGTCCCCTTGTTTTCCTAAATATAATTTCTTAATAAAATCCTACAAAAATATGATGTCACACTGTCTTTGTTTGATTTGCATGTTAAATGATGGAGCTGACATTTTGGCAACACAGATTATATAAACTTCAGGAAAGTTGCAAAGATGAAAGACAAGGGATACACTGAAATGATTAAGGTAACATTCAAAGTGATCGAAAAATATACCATGAGTCAACAGAACAAAAGGTTTTTTTCTTGCTGATGTCAACTATCTAGAGCAGTTTTAGGTGGGCAGAAGAGGGTGTAAATTGTTCTTCACTTAATCACTCAAGGATCTAGGTTGAAGGAAGCATTGATTGACATTTTTCAAGATGCAACTTCTAGACAGCTTAGTTGTCTCCAGCCTATGGTGGAAAAGAAGAGGGTAGACAAAGTCCAGCACTTCTTAAGCTATTTAGCTTGAAAGTAACAGGGTTTCCTTCTTCTTTCTTCCCATTGGTTAGAAGTAGTCACATGGTCCTTTAAGGGGGCAGTGCTGGGAAATGCAGTAAATGAAGAGATGTTATTTGAAAGGAGAACATAGTTTTTCATCTATATTTATTTTTGTATGTCATATAAAGCCCATGCACTACTAAAACTCTCAACTGATTTCTTGGACTGTGTATAGAAGAGGATATGAGGAAGCAGCTTGGGTGGGTGTTTATTACCCATTCATGTCACTTGAATTTTGCCTGGGGTAGTTAAAGAAGTCAGGTGGCAGATTAAGGGCATGACTGAGAACTATTTTCTGGTAATGTGAACCCTTCACAGAGTAAAGCTTTGGGGACAGGGTTTCGAGAGGATTGAGTAGAAGATAGCAGGAGCGAGAGAGCTCTGACATGTTTTTAAATTGTTACCAGTCCTTCTAGATTCACAAGTATAAACGCAATTCAAACTGCTCTTAAAGAATCTGGGATATAGCAATTCTGATGTGGAAAAGTTTTCTCCACACAATTTAACAAGCTCCCTATGGTAGCGATGGTGGTCTTGTTCAATATCCATTTCAGGATCCTTGCAGTTTTTTTTCTATTCAGCAGAAATGGAGTGATAGAAACTACATTTCCCAGAACTTTCTGCATTTAGAGTGTGAAGACGCAACAATTAGATGGACTTTTGAGAGCTGGAAGGCAGCATGAGGTGAAGGCCATGTTGTTGCTCTTTTGTTTTTTGCTGCTGAAGAGTAAGATGTGGTGAGGTGTGGGGTAGGCATTGAGTTTTCTGCACCACAGTAATGTTTCTGGGTCCAGAAGTTTTGTGGAAGTTATGCAGCAGCTGAAGTGGCAGTAGCAGTAGCAGTTAAAGCCAGTGCTCCAGGGTTCAGTCACTAGCCTGGAGCATTTGATGGGGGTGATGACAATAACATGGTCTCCAGGACTGCAGCTGCAGTAGCATGTACTTGAACTTGATCATTCTTGAGTTGTCCCCTCTGACTACTGCATAGCCAGCAGCTCTCCCTGAGACCAGTTCACCTGTCATGTCCTTCGAAGCATCCCTGAAGACAAGCCAGCCCTTCAGCCTGTCCTGAAGCCCTTGCATCAATTTTGCACTTATAATTCCTCAGTTGCATCTCTTCTCAATTAGCATAGCTAGAATTTTTTTTTTCTGCAAGTGGCACTAATATGAGAAATGCTCTTCTCATCAGCTTTATATGTCAAAATTTAGCCATCTTCCAAAACTGAAAGAAATCCTTGTTCCCAGACTATCTTGATAGAATTCTTCCTTCTTCTGAACCCCTCCTGGGATTTTGCTGGGTTTGCTGTACCATGCAAAATGGGTCACTTCTAGGCAGAAATGAGGGCACAGGCCATCACTACATTTCTTTAACTCTGCTTCTACATTCATGGAAGCCTGGGTCAAGTTCATCTGGGCCTCTCAGGAAATACGATGAGCACAGCCCCATCACAGATCATGATGGCCAGTTAGCATAAGTGAGAGCTTTTGTATTTTAAAGGATATGCCAACAGATATGCCAACAGATTGAGTCTTTTCTTAAAGAGTTCACAAGCTAACAGGGAGACAGTATGGAACCACAGTCTAGAAATGCAAAGTAGTGTATGTACATGGTCAAGAAAGTATTCAAGGTTTGAATAAAATAAGTACAATAACCTTCCTTCCAGTCTCTTGCTTGATGCTGTCTTTCATTCTGGCTCCCACACTTGATTGCTTTCAGTCTGATAGCCTTAGCCAAACTTCCCACATATCTTAGGTGGGAATAAGTCTAAACGAACTAGTCTATAAGATAGGAATAACATGGCATAAAAATGAATTGTGTGTATGTGAGCAAACAGCCTGAAACTGAACCCTAATATTTTGATTAATCAAGAACATTTGTATCCTGGTACTGCCAAAAAAAAAAAAAAAAGAAGAAGAACATTTGCAGAAGAAAAATATTTTTCCCAATCTTATATATGTTCATATTCCTATTGAACAATTTCAAAGTAAGAAATTCTCATAGTTGATAGTAACATCAGTAATACAGAAAAATAATGCTTATCTTAAATACATCCATCCCTTTTGTTGTTATTTTTCAGTACTAGGGCTTGAACTTGAGGGCCTTGCACTCGTTAGGCAGGTGGTCTACCACTTAAACCATGCCTCCAGTCCCCTCTTTTTGTCCCCAACTTTCATTAGCCTATCTTCATACATGAAATTATCTCATAGAAACCACACATTTTTTTCTGCCTGCCCACCTTGCACCCTATCATAATATGACTGTTCCCGTCATAATCCTTATAATAACATCCTGCCCTATTGGACTCTGAACTGCTTTCTGAAATTCATTTTTCACAAGTGCTAACCTTTAACCAGAGCATTTGGATAAAAGGAAAGAGAATGCCATAAGTAAGCCCAGCCACTTTGTTGATCGAGGCTTCAAACTGAACCGTGGGTGACCATGACATGCTGTGAAGGATGGACGTCCTGCAATGGATTCAGCCTGCTGATTCTGCTTCTGCTGGGAATAATTCTCAATGCAATACCTCTGGGCATCAGCTTAGTTGAAGAAGACCAAGCTTCTCAAAACCCCATCTCTTGCTATGAATGGTGGTTTCCGGGAATTATAGGAGCAGGTTTGCTGGTGAGTAATTCTTGACTTGATTTAGAGAAGGGCCTGCCTGTTTTAGCAAGCTCCTGAAGACTGTCTTTCAGCCTTGTGGTCAGCTATGTCTTCTTTGGATACAGTTAGGAGCAGTTAGTGGTACAGTATTGATTTATATTGGGCTTTAGAGAAGAATAGTAATTTTTATAAACTATGTGGTACAGGTGAGGGAGTTTGGGCAAAACTCAGGAGTTGGTTATTACCTATCACATTTCTTCACATGTAGGGAGACTTTTCTAAACTTCATAGTTTAGTGTTAGGGACATTTTTCTTTCTCATGTTTTTCTTTTCTGTGTGGTGCTGGGGATGAAACCCAGAATCTGACATGTGCTAAGCATGTGTGCTAGTGACCGCAGAGCTGTACCTCCAGCCCCATGAGACATTTGAAATCCAGCCCCTCAGCTTTTCTTTCTCCCACACTACCTTCTTGTATTTATGGGGAATTCAGTAGGAATGGGAAGTGGCTCAGAAGGAATGAGAAGAAGCTTTCACATGCATGATGACTATCCTGAATGACAGCGTTGTGAGGCAAGACTGTGGCCTTACCTGTATCTAGGGGGGTTGGCCTAAGACCTATAGGCTGAAACCCTGGGTTTTTTACTTCAAGGACTTTTATTTTTTGGGGGGGCAGTACTGGGGTTTGAACTCAGGGCCTCACACTTTTTAAGCAACAACTCTACCACTTGAGCCACTCTACCAGCTCAAGGACTTTTTGATTTGACTATTGCATAGATCCTAGAACACCATGGATTTTAATAGTTCGGTGATCATCCATAGGCCTATCTTTTCTGAAATCTTCAGCAGAGCAATGCAATACAGAACTCATGAATGTACCCGACCATTTGCCACCCGAGGTTCTTGCAGTAATTAGTATATAGACTTTCTCCTGGGAGTTCTGATGCCATAGGCCTAAAGAGGACCCACCCATATAGCAATATACTCAATCTGGAAGAACATCTCAGCTATAGGACTGTCTCCAATAGAAAATCACTTATCTGATGGCTTTGTTTTCATATTTGTAAAATGGAGCTGTGAATGTCAAAGTTGAAAATTCACCATCCAGGAGGCTTGTTTGGTTTGTTATACCACTTGCTACCTCAGGAGGGCTAGTTAGTGCCAGGGAAACAAGCTTCTGTGTGTGTGTGTGTGTGTGTGTGTGTGTGTGTGTGAGAGAGAGAGAGAGAGAGAGAGAGAGAGATGTGAGCACTAATATTATTAGTATTTTAGAGATAATGAAACATAGAGGTAAATTTTGAAGAGATTCAGGACATACATACAGAAGAAAAAAATTCATGGCACAGTTTTTTATTTGAAATACTAATTCTTTTTTTGTTCTTTTCTTTGTGGTCCTAGGGATTGAATTTGGGGATTTTTTTTTTTTTTGCTTATTTTTTTTTGTTTTGTTTTTGCTTTTGCTTTTTTTAAAGATAGGATCTAACTATAGAGCCAGCCTGACCTCAAACACATGATTCTCTTGCCTCAGCCTCCTAAGTACTGGAATTACATGTGTGTTACCACACCTGGTTTTGAATCATAATCCTTTTTTTGGTGGTATGGGATTTGAACTCAGGGCCTTGTGCTTGCTAAGCAGTTGTTTTACCACTCAAGGTACACCCCCAGATTTGAATTATAATTCTAAATGATAATCAGTCTTGTCCCCAGAATTACATAAAAATACTTATAGAACTTAGCATGGTGGCACATGCTTTAATCCTAACACTCAAAGGCTCAGGCAAGGGGATTATGAGTTTGAAGTTGCCTGGGCTGTAGTAAGATTGTCTCCTCAAACAAACAAACAAACAAAACCCACAACCCTCCCGCCCACACTACTAGGCCATCATATATTACACTTTTCATAAATTCTAGACTCAGGCTGGCACATTGGACATGAGGTCATTTGGGCATCAGAAGCCAACATAAGAACATTTGATAACTTCGTCCTCTACTGTCATGAGCAGTATAATCACTGTTTAGGTAGAGAGATCTAAAAGGAAAGGTTGCAGACTATTCTGGTCTATATCTTCAAACTGCCATGAGAGCTCTTCTCTGGGCTAGAAGATAAAACACACTGCTCAACACTGTGAAGCCACTGTAAACCCTCACACCTGCCTCCTCACCCTCAGCCCCAGGGCTCCTCTCCACCTGAGTGGGTGAACTTCCTCTGCATCAAGTGTAAGTGAAGCCACAAGAAGCTGGCTGAGTACAACTGAATGATGGCAATTTCTACAAAGTTCCTAATGGTGCCTGAGTAATTTAGCATAATATATAGCTTTACATATAAACTGGCATTTCCACAACCCCATGACAACAATTTTTCTTCTTACTAGTATTAAAGGAGCCTGGGGTGATGGTGGCACACACCTGTGCCCCTTTATTCTTCTTTGCAGGAAGGTAAGGAAAAGGGGGCAGGGAAGAGACAAAGGCACAAAGAAAGACACAGAGGCATAAATCTTTCATTTAGTAACAAGTTGCTAGGTACCAACTACAGGGTTCATACATTACAGCATAATCTCATTTAAGCTGTACAATAAACTGGGCAGATATTATCATTGATACTTTACAGACCAGCAAACAGAAGCTGGGAATATTAACAAGGTCACACAGTGATTGTGAAACCCAATTTCAGATTTATCTGACACTTAAGCTAGTAAAGTACCATAGTTCTCAACACCTGTTTTAGGCCAACAGAGACGAAAGATAAAATCTTTAATTTGGTCCATAAAGTTAAGCGATTGGGAGAATGAATCACAGAAAGGATATATACACTTGTGAAACAGTTTCAGGGAATCTGGACTTCCTTGTTCCACAGCTAAATCTACTTTATCACCCTCAATAAATATTAACCAAAGGTATCAATAACACACTACCTCTATTCCTTAGTATTATAGCCTGTCATTAAAGGATCAAAGTCATTGAAAATTCTGATGTACTATGTAGATAGAGCCTCAAACTTTATTCCCATAACAAAACAGGGGAGGACAGGTGTATTTTCATGACTGTTGGCTCTATACAGAATGTGGAAGAATATCTTGTCCAAGGGGGAATTATGTCCTTTACAACATTTATAAAAATTACTAGCTCAAAACATTGACAGAAAAGTTCATAAAGAAGAAATCAGTGCCTGTAATAAGAATTTTGACCATAGTTTTGAAATCTTTTGAAAATTGCTATAACATTTCAAATTAGTATTGTGTCAGACATGGAGGACTTTGTAAGAAGCTGCTAATAATATAAACTCTGGAATTAATTTTTTTTATTGTTGTGCTAGGGGAACATTGGGGCATTTACAAAAATTCTTACAATATATCAAATATATCATTCTTAAATTCACCCCCTCCATCATTCTCCTTTATTCCACCTGCCCCCATTCCTGGAATAGTTTCAATTTGTCTCATTTTTCCATTTACATACATGTGTACACAGTATTTGCACCATGTTCACCCCCTATACCCTTTCTCCACATTACTAATGAAATTACTTCATGAAATACATTCATTTCATGATTTTGTGACTTACTCCAAACAAAGGCAAACATTTTTACCTTTTGAAACTATGACTAAATAAAAAATGATGTAGTTCATTATCTTTAACTTATTATCTGCTAAAGGGGCAAATCAATACAAATGTCACTTGTTCAAGTATTAAAAGACTTAAAATGCTTCCTTGAAAGATATAAACAGAAAAGCCATTTTATTTTACATGAAATCAATTGAAAGCCTGATCTTAACCAAGCTTCTTATTGATTTCACTTACTTACATAATGGCAATTTATCAGTTATTAACGCCTTAACGGAAAACAAATGGTCGAGAGTTAAACAGATTACAAGACATTGTGCTTAAGAAGCATTTGTAAAATATTTTATATGCATTGTGAGCTGTGGCTTTGTGGAGGACTTCCAAGAAGCTGAGTTCTATCACAAACTCTTTGTACTTTGTAAAATTGTAGAAGTTTCTTCTAAAACTGGACTTCTGCATAAAGAAATGAACAATACTTCTTTTCATTATAAAACAAAAGATTGGTGAGACTTTTAATTTTACAAATACATTCAAATATGGTTAGGGATTAAGAAGCATTCTCATAATTACTCACTTTGGAAGATGTGTAGTACACACACACACACACACACACACACACTCACACACACTTTCACATTTTCATGGCCTTCCCATAGAGTTCCCTCCATTTCCAAAACTCTGAATGGCCAAAATGGTTGAAACAGTGAGTTATCAAATTACACACAATGGCCTACACATAATAACATGCAATGAAGTCAACTGGGCAGATGTACATTATAAGTTGTTACTTTATAAAACCATAGGAACCATAAGAGTAAATATTTAGCATCTTGAAATCAATTAATCCTTAAGAAAGTTAGCAGAGTTTAATATACACCAATAGAGAAATGGAATTGTTTATTCGGTTAAGTTGTAATTTGATGTTGCTCCTCTTTCTTTTAAAAGATTCATTAATTTTCTAAGTCACTGGTTGGTAAACTTTTTCTGTAAAAAGCAAAATAGTGGGTATGTTAGGCTTTGCAAGCCAGTCTCTTTCTAACTATTCAACTCTGTGCACAAAAGTCATCATACACAATATGTAAATGAATACACATGGTAGTGTTCCAATAAAACTTTATTTGCAAAAAAAGAGATGATGGGTCATTGTTTGCCAGTTCACATTTAAATGACTTGTTCTGTAAGCTCAAAAGTCAGTATAGCTTATGGGTACAACAAAAGGTGTTTTTAAAAAACCTTTTTTATTAATATATAATAGTTGCATAGGTGGTTTTGTTGTGACAGTCCCACATATGCATTCAATGTACCCTGATTAACAACAAAAGAGTGTTAGCATAGGAATGCCAATCTCTATTTGGGGGCTAAAATTTTCTTTCCCTTCTGGGCTTTCTGGCAGTCAAGTACATGGCCTTTGAACTGGAAGGTGTTATTGTTCAAGACAAAGTGTAAACACCACAAAGTAACATGGAGTCAGCACATGGCCAGTGAAGTTTGTCAGGAAATCTGCCTTGGAAGAGGCATAAATCTTAAACCTGTTGTGAAAGAACAAAGCTAGATGTGGTCTTGGAAAAAATGATCAGGGAGGAGCAGTTAGAAGGACCTTGCTCATCTGAGTAAGAGTGGTGGCGAGACTGGCTAGACTTAGGAAAATTTCAGGACATATATGACTTAATATTGCAATCCAGGTTATACATTTTTCTCTTTCTTTGAGTATTCTTTTCAATTGCAAATGTGGGTATGAAAGGTTATTCATACCTGCTGTGGGAACAACTCAAACCATCCCCACCTCAGCCTAGGGATCACCCATGCTCCTTTCCATCACTGATGATTGGTGGTTGGAAATCACCAGGTTCTTCCCTTCCCATTTAGCATCAGTTTTTAAAAGAATCTGAAAAGAGAAAGGCTGTCTGCTTTTGGCTCCCACCTGGCCCACCATGGCTCCCCTTAATCTTTAATAAGCTCCATTACCTCCCTTATTACACTCACGTGTCCTGCCTGGTGCTTCCAAATAGGACACAAAGAATTTGGAAAGTGGTGGAAGGAAGAAATGAACAAACTCTGTGTCAAAAGACAGGATAATTTTAAGAATCAATCAGCATGAAACCATGGTTAAGAGCCTGGCTCTGGCGCTCACATGCCTAATTTTGAGTGCCTCTCATGGAGGCAAGCTACTCAAGCTTGCTGCGCCTCTGCTTTCTCATTGATAAAATGGGTTTGAAACTAGTAGCTGCATCATAGGATCATTAGGAGGTTGGCATGACCGGAAGCAGGTAACGCACCTGTAACAGTGACTGGCATGGAGTTAGAGCCCTGTAAGATACAGGAAACAAGTTCAGGACACTGAAGGACAGCTGAGCTGAGATGGCAAACACACTGATGGCTAAAATTTCACAGAGGAAGGAAGCAATTTAACATTCCACCCTTCAACTACACAACACTTCTTCTAGAAAGACTCTCTAGTCATAGCTACTGACTCAATATTTTTAAAAAATTGAAATCCAAGTCCTGATAATGTGGGCATTAGTTCTTAACAGTTTTCCTCAGCAATATGTTTTCCTTAACATGAAATGCAATATGTGCACGACTTCTCAACATCTCTGTGTAAAGTATCATAGATACAAGAGCAGAAAAAGATGTGGAACCAAAGATAATTCTCAAAGTCTTGGGGAACTGTTGAGAGGGTAATGACCTCAGAAGAAGAAAGTAGGGCAAATAGGAGGAAGTGGTCATAGAATTTTTCCTTGCCAACTGTCAGGTAAACAAAATCATCAGTTTCTTTCCTAGAGGCTTGCCAGGCTAATTCATACAATTATGGGAAATTAGGTTAGTGCTGCAGGTTGTAGTAAAGAGAGAGGGGGAAGAGAAAAGACACAGAGAAGCAGAGATAGAGGAGAGAGAAACAGAGAGAGGAAAGAGAGAGAGATAGACAGAAAGAAAAAACAAAGAGATACTGAGCCAAAGAGAAGAAGAGACAGAGATAGGAAAGAGAAGAGAGATGAAACAGAGATAGAAAAAGAAAGAGAGAGAGCCAAAGAGGGGGAGAGAGAAAAGAGGAGAGACAGAGAGAAAGGAGAAACAAAGAGAGATTGAGAGAGGAGGAAGAGAGAGAAGAGAGGAAAAACAGAGAGACAGAGAGAAGCAGGGATGAGAGAGAGGAGAAACAGAGAGAAGAGAGAAAAATAGAGAAAAAGTGAGTGAACAAAAAGAGACCAAAACAGAAAGAAAGAGAGAGAGAGAGAGAGAGAGAGAGAGAGAGAGAGAGAGAGAGAGAGAAAAGAAGAAGTAGAGATAAAGAGAAACAAGAAAAACAGAGAAGGGGGAGAGGGAGAGAAGAGAGGAGAGAAAATATGTGAATTTTGGGTGATGCAATATACCTTCCAAAATAATTCATAAATAAGTCATCTTAATCTATTTAAAGTTCAAGTCTCTCTGTAGATGATTTAGATAAGCTAGGAATGTAGATTCTGTCTCAACTCTTCCTAACTCTTAATGTTTATGGTTCAATTTGAGTCATGAGGTTTAGAAAGACATTGCTAAATTTCCTCTTTTGTTCTCTTGAGCCTTGATTTCCCACAACTGGTTGTAAATGGAAGGTGGAGATTACTGCTTTTTCATGTGATAAGAAGTAATAACACTCATCTTTCCTGTAATGTAATTTCCAGGTCATTCCAGCAACAACAATGTCCTTGGCAGCAAGAAAAAGAGCGTGCTGTAACAACAAAACTGGGGTGAGTATGGAGCAATTCTCTAGAGCAGAATGCATTAGCAGCTATTGACATCTGAGCAGAGCCACTCTGAGTCATCAGCTTCAACTAAACCAGCAGGGCCTCTGGCTTAGAGAGTTGGGATGATAGTATGATAATATGGCAAGTGAAAAGGTTGTTCTCATAGAAACTTAGCTTTGTCACCTAAAGGATCTAAAGGTTTTCACAAAGGGAGATTTATAAATCACACCCAGACCTGTGTTCCGAATACTCAAATACTTGTTAGTTTTGTGATGTGTTTAAAACCTTAAAAGAAAAGGTATCCTCAGTTCTTTTATGCTAGGATTGGAAAAACACTTGTCCTCATTCACTTAAATTAAAGGAGCACCAATTCTTTTTCCAAACATTTAGTACATACTTACTTAATGCATACAGTTATAACTAAGTTCAAAGTAAATTTATTCATTAACCCAATTATCACTCTGCTCAGAACACCTTCAAATATGCTATCAATATTGTTTAACCCTCTCTAAACCCTTCACTGGAAAATAGTAGGGTCTGGGTTTTATTAAGCAAGAAACTGATGCTCAGAAAATGCAAATAATTTGCCAATGCAGCACAGCTAGTATTTTGGGGTATTTTCTAAATCCACCAGACTCCAAAAGTCACAATCTTTGGACTATTTGCTATAAAATAACAAAGGGGGCACCCCTAGTTCTCTAAGGAAGAGGTAGATCAATAACAAGCAGTCACAGAAAGTATGCCTGGTGGACCTTAGCAGATTTAAAGGTTTTAGAGCAACTGTTCCCAGTCAGATGAGAACATTCACTTCATCTGGAGTCTGGAGAGATTTTAAAAATGCCAGTGCCTGGGTGGCTCCCTGAGATTCCACGTCAGTATTTTTCAAAAAAAAAAGAAAACAACCCAAGGTGATGCCTTTATATCGCCAGGGTGAGAGAGAAGCCCTGTCTTAAAGGGACCGCTTATATCTGTAACAGAAGAGTCATACATTAAAAAAAAATCATGCTTCTTGATATTCAATATTTGCATAGGATTACTTTCATTACAGTATTTCTAGTCTGTCTTTGATCCTGATAGATTGTAGGTATTCAATAAATATTAATGTTTTCAGTTTCTCCTGTCACTTTTATTCATAAACTAGAGTTTGATTTTGCATCACTTCTATGCTATACTCATGACATTCTTGAAACACCAGTTGTATTTCTGAATCCTTGAACTAAAAAAATATCAAGATATTAGATTTTCTTAAGTCATGTTTCTATTAAGAATATATATATATATATTATCTCTATCTAATTTGCACATTCTCTCTCATGAACAAGTGATCATTTCAATGATCACTTAATTCTTTCTGCTTTGAGGACACAGCCAGGTGGAAAAAGCAAGCCACTTTTCATGTAGGTGTTGGGCTGAAGTCAGTAGGTTGCTTTGCTCCTAGATACCAATCCTGAAAATAACTCAAAAGTCTTGTTTCAGTGAAACCACAGATTAGTTCATGTGGAACATCTACAAATACTGTACTCTGTTAATAATAGTCTGACTTAAATCATAATTGACTAAATAGATCATTTGTTTGTTTCATAAAACTTTTTTTGTCACTTCCTGGCAGCCAGGTGTTTAGAAAAGACCACGGCATCATAAAAGGGATGAAGTTTCAGTGTTGGAACGGAGGGAAAGGGGGTCACCAAAGCTTGTCCTCTATTTTAACTATATTCTTTCCCCACCGCTTTAACTGTTCCTTACTTCCTTCCCTTTTTCCAGTTCTTGATTTTGTTTTTGAATGTGCAATGGTTTTGCTGAATCATTTAAGTGAATCCCCACTCAAAGAGAAATACAGAAGCCCGGAGTCACTTTGTATAGCCAGGTCCCTCTGTATGAGTGGTAAGTCAGAAATAACAGATGACCTAAAATAAACATAGTGAGCACTTCCTGATGGGCAGATCTAGTAACTTGCAAGTAAGGAGAGAATCAGGATTTGAGTTTGATCCAAATCCATTATTCTGTGATTTCAGCTTGCAGTAGTGTAGTGATTCAAACTCAAGCACCAGTGTTTCCTAGCTGAGATTCTGACAAGTTTTTCATCCTCTCTGAGCTACAGTTTTCTTTTCCAAAAGGTGGGAATAGTAATGGCCTCTATCTCTTGGGGTTGCTCAAAGGATTAAATGAGGTAATACACGCGAGGTCTAATGCTCGTCAGCATTTTGAATAAGAGGTTCCTTTGCCTGTTCGTTAAAGGAGGATGACCACCACCACACATTAGTGCTCTGGGAGCTGCACTGTTCTTCTATCACAGGAGAAAGTATTCTCTTGATTCATTTCTGCTGATTTTGAAATAATCATATTCATCACTGCCAACTTTGCTGAACAACGTAGAGCTTATTTTTTGGAAAAAAACCACATGCACATTAACTTTCATTTCCTATGCCAAATTCCAGCTTTTTCTGTCGTGACTGACTCATGAGCGAGACTTACAATGTTACCTTCCAACACAGTAGTTCTGTGGGTGGCTTTAACCACCTCCAGCCCCCATTCCCAAGGGGATATTTGGCCCTGTCTGGAGACATTTATGGTTATTATACTGGGCTAGGGGAGAGAAGTGGTACTAATGTCTACTGGGTAGAGACCAGGGATGCTGATAAAGCTCGCACACTGCATGAGGAAGGCCCCAAGAGCAGGATGCCCTTGTCAGCAATGCTGAGCTGAAAAGTACTGATTCAACACTGTTCCACTGATCCATCACAACAGGATGCTGGCCACTGGCCACTTAGAGCTGCAGGGCCAAATTCACATGCAGCACTTGTGAGCCAAGAGACCAGACATCAAAATGAAGGTAGTTAAGAGCTAGTTGAGGTTTTAGGAAGTAGGAAGTACACAAAATAAGGAGGAGCAGCTAGATGAAATTGGCAAGGGAAAGGAATATATAAGTTGAAATTCTTCAGAGGCAGTGGCAAGCCCAACTATCTTTTGGCAAGTGAATCAAATGGTTGGCTTTGCCCAGTGACTCTGTTACACACCTAATCAAACTGTGACCTTAAGATATAGGATTGTAGAGTGAGTGGAGAATATCAGCAGTTGATTAAAAACACTATGTGGCTGGTGTGGTGGCTCATGCCTGTGATCCCAGCTAGGTAGTAGAATTGTGATCTGACGCCAACACCAGGCAAAACCACAAAACCCTATCAGAAACATAAGTAAACCAAAAAGGACTAAATTAATAAGGGATAGGGATGTGGCCATGTGGTAGAGTATTTGCTTAGCAAGCATGAGGTCTGGAGTTCAAACCCCATTAATGTCAACAACCCCCCCAACCCTAAACAACTCCCTCCAAACAAACAAGTAAAAAAGAAAACTGTTGTGCTATTGAAACTTGAAACAGACCCAGCACATGGAATAACAATGTGTGCAAATGGCTCTGCTTTATTTTCCAGATGTTTCTTTCATCACTCCTAAATGTAATTACGGTCATTGGTGCTGTGTACTGCATGTTGGTATCTCTCCAGGCTCTCTTAGAAGGTCCTCTCATTTGTAACTCTCAAGGCAACAGTACTTTCTCTTGCGAATTTTCATTCAAAAACTTAAGGTAAGTAACTTTATTTTCATTGGCATACAGCTATAGCTGATAGATTGATTGTGGCACGCAAACAACACCATGTTTTTCTTTGATGCAGCCAATGGGACATTCTTAGAAATTCAGCACATTAACCCATATAGGCACACAAGTGAAGATGAATTTACTACATTCAGATTGCTCTGGCTATGGTCTTATCTAAAAGATCTAGTTGATCTCAGATGGCTTATGTTTGCCTTTTCAAAATCTATGTTTATATCAAGTGTAGGTCTATTATAAAATTCTGAAAATACACACTTGAAACTTAAACTTTCATCCTTAGAGAATGTTAATGGGGGGATGCCCTGGAGGAGTGAGGGGAACATTTACTTTGTACACTTTTGAACTAATTAAATTTGTAAGCTATAAGTGTGTGCTATCTTTATAATTTAAAAAAGTCAATAAAAACACAATAAATAAAAATATAGACTTGCTTGCAGCCCTAAAAGAAACAAAGCATTCAATGGATTCTATACTGTAGATATGAATAAATAAAAAAAATTAAATCATATAGTACCACATAATATTGGAAGTTATATGTAAATGGTTCATTTTAAGATGGTTCTATGCCCAAGTCTAGGCATAACTTGTAAAAACTGGAAGACAATCTTAATTCATTAGCTACCTGTATAGGCTACTCAGTAGATTTAGCTTTTGTAGTTATGTAAAGAATTGTTTCCCCCTTCTCACTTACCTTGCTATACTAAAAATGAAAAAGCACTCCAAATTTGCATAGCACAGTTATTATGAATCAAACAAAGCCAAAGAAATTCTCATTTCTAATAGATGTGAGGAAGATTAGAGATTTCATTCTGTTATACCCAGTTAACCCTCAGGGAATGACAACAACCCACCAATGTACCAGGCAGCAGCATAAGCTCTGCAGAGAGCAGAACTGTCATTGCCTGTCTAGGTGTGTAAGGCTAGGAAACAGTTACAATTGTGTTTGCAAACAACTTCACAAAGCAGTCTCAGGTTCCACTTTGAAATACTGTTTTCTCAGGTCATAAGTTAGCTGTTGGGAATCCAGAAATTCAAACTCCTTCAGAATACTCAATCTTATTCTATGATAAACTGAAGAAAAGTCATCTTGAGACAGATGTGTCAGAGAACTAAGAGCTTCTCATTTTCCATAGACCTGTTATAACAGCATACATCACTTTAATCAGGCATATTTAACATGTGAGTAAAAACCATCCATCAGGTTTTTAAAGAGCAAATGCAACATACTACTTGTTCATGAACTGTGCTCCTTGCAATAAAGGAGCTCCCAGGAGATGTGTTTTCACAGAAGTACCTACATAAATAGGCTGAACCAAATTGGTGCCAGTGGCTCAAGCCTGTAATATTAGCTGCTTGGGAGGCTGAAATTGGGAGAATGGTGGTTTGAGGTTAGCCCAGGCAAGAAGTTTGAAGACCTCATGGTTGGAAAAATTTCTGGATTAATGAGTAAGACTCAAGAGTAGGTCAGCAAGGCCCACCTTCTGCAGAAGGGTGTGCAACCGACTGGTCTGGTAAACAAACGGGAAGTCTGTTCTGGTTTTTATCCCTGATGCAACACTGCCTTCCTTCTCGTACTGGTAGGAGCCAGAGTTCAGTCTTTCTTAACTGTAGGAAAGGTAAAGGGCAAGGCAACATTTAACATTCCGGGAAGCTGCGAGTTAAGCAAGCATAATGGGCTGCTGCTTTATGGTGGATTTACCTTGGTTTAGTACATAATTCTATTTCTTTGAAGGAAAAGACAAGTTACCCTCCACATCCTCTCAACCAGCAGTTGGGAGCAGAGGCACGTGCCTGTCATCCTAAACTACATAGGAGGCCAAGATTACAAAAATTACCGTTCCAGGCTAGGTGTGGCATATTGGTGTGCCTGTTATCCCAGCAACCATGGAAAGCCTAAAATAGGATAGTGGTCCAGGCCCACCTGGGCAAAAAGACGCACAGCAAAAAGGGCTGCAGGTGTGGTTCAAGCAGTAAAGCACCTGCTTAGCAAATGTGAAGCCCTGAGTTCAAACAGCAGTACCCAAAAGAAAAAAGATTGAACCACATTACATCGATAGCCCATTTCTGACCCAGGAAAACAGCAATTTCACATGCTTCATCCTAAGAGTAGGTGTTTTATAGAAATGCTTGTTGAATGATGGGATGTATAGTAATATATCACAATGTATAATTATTAGGGCTTAAGACCAGAAACCTGATTTTAGGTAGTTTCTGGACATGATATTTCAAAAGCACACTCCGTTTTGCTATACATGCATATAATTTTTTTTCTAAGCACAATATTTATCCTTTTCTTTTTTTCTTTCAGTGACTTTCACCCAGAATCCTTCAATCTGCAGTGGTTCTTCAATGATTCTTGTGTATCTTCTACTAGTAGCAAAAATACTGACATCAATAACAACTGGAAGATACCCAACTCCAATTCTGAAGAAGACAGACATAGGATTTTCCACTTCTCAGTATTTACAAGTCTATTGATTGTTGGAATCCTTGAGCTCCTGTTTGGGCTCAGTCAGATACTCATTGGGTTTCTTGGCTGTCTGTGTGGTATCTCTAGGCGAAGAAGTCAAATTGTGTAGTTTAACAATAAATAGAAGGATCAGTACTTTGAGAATTACATTTAAAATATATGCTTGTAGAAGTTTAATGATGGAACATTATCAGAAAGCTGTATGAGTCTTTTAAGTACAAGTTTTTGAAGTCATCTTTGAGGTGATTTTTAAAAAATCAATCTTTCAAATATAAAGCATGTTAAGTAAACAACACCTTCATGTGAAAAGGAAAACATGGGTGGTTGATTTTGGGGAGAAGTGGACAGCAGCATTCAATTCGTTTTGTGTTTTTCTGTTTTCTGTGTTATTCTAACTTTCTAACTGTATGTTCTTATGTGTGTGGTAACAGGGAGGTTCAAGAGGGAGGGAGGATGCAACAGCACACAGGCCGTCCTGGAAGTGAAAAACAGTACGGGCTGTTTCCTTTAAAGAAAAAGAAAAAGAAAGGTGTTTATAACCTGAAAGTAATAGGACCAAGTCTTCAGTCCTAATTCTCAGCACGCAGGGAGAAGAGGAAACTGTGAAATCCAAAGACGAGACAACAAACAAACCAGCCGTTTACAATAGGAGAACGTTACAGGAGTAAACGGGTAGGGCGGGTCAGCGGAATTGTTTGAGACCAGCGAACAGATCTCAGCTGACGCCGTGCAGTGGCTCACTAGGGATAACTAAGGGAAACATCTTCGCAAACTGGGTTAGATGATTACAGTGGCTTTGTTAGGTCTGAAAACGGTTCTTTGTTTAAATAGAAGACGTCCCTAACTTTTAAAGAAATAAGTATTTACCTGTTTAGGAAGAAATGATATGCCTTAAAAATACATCAACCAAAATGCAGTGATTGTATACATGTTTTATTTAGGTGATAGGCAGATGGCAATTCAATGGAATCTTCTGTTTGTCTATGCTTACATTTTTCATAATAATTTAAAAACAATACCTAGAGAAGAAAAATTAGCCTTTCAAAAGCTGGTTTCTATATGTGCCAATCTTTAAAAGATGACAGTGTATTTACCGTATTAAAATGTCATAAGACAGACAAAACTAAAAACTATAATTTTCTGCATGTTACTGGTTGTGCCATTTATTTCAATTTTTTTAATGTTCTTTGGGCTTAAGGCTCAAAAATAACTTAATACACCTGTATAATAGTGGCCCAAATAAATTACTAACATCAATAACTTATAAGCCTTTTTTCTGAAACTGTATGAAGATATTTTACCTACGCTTCTACAAATGCTTCTTAATCCTCAAGACCTGATTTAAATATCTTTTGAGGAAGTCTCGAAGTTCATGATTCCAATAAACTAAGTGAGCCCTCACCCAAGCCACTATTATCATAACTGACAAATGTAACATGTTTTTATATCTCTACCACATGTACTTCTCATTTTTTAATTCACAGACCCTTTCCCATTTCAGGCTCTCAGTAAGACCTCTCACCTTCCATCCACCCCCATTTCATTCAACTCAAATACCACTTTTTCTGGTTCTATCCGTAACTACCTAATGACAAGTAGATTTCCTTTTACTCTCTCCATTTTCATTTTGTGCTCACCTCCTATATTTCATGGTTCAAGGACATGTTTCTTTTATTCATTCCTAGTGCAATCAGTGTCTAGTACAGTGCCTGGTACAAAGTAGGGTCATTGTAAGTATTCTGTTGAGTGGACTGCTGAATCCTATAGTCAGTGTGCAGCTTTTAGTGAAGATTCAATGCTTATTAAATAAATGCCAAGCTGCTAGTAGCGATGAAATTAAAAGAGGTAAAATGAACACAACAGCTCAATGAACATGAATGAATGACACAACAGTTGGGGATGGTGTTTGTAATTTTCTTATCACCCTAGAAATCTGAGCCATGACTCCAGATCTCTGTAGGGTCAGGAAGAGAGAATTAAGTCTTCCATTTCAGAGGGCAAAAGAAAGGATGGTTGGCAGAGCACAATCAGCTGAAATAGCCGTTAGGTTGTTTCTTCACTTTTTAGTCTTATGGAAACTGCTGCCATCCATTAAGAGTCTAAAGCCCACAGGCTTCATGAGGGCATGCCACCTCTGAGCTGGTACCTCAACTTGCAAATGCCTATCTGTACACATATGAGTAGCACCCTTTCCCACCCCACATACTAAAAGCAGTCATTTGCAAAGCTCAATGTTTCTCTCTCTTTCCTGTCCCCAAATTCAATCATATTTTGGAATCTTTGTATTTTTTACTTTCACTGTCATTAAAACCCTCTTCTCATCCTTCAGCACATATCTTCAGTTCCTCCTCCTTGGTAAAGCTGTATTTACAATTCTATTTATTTAATAAGCCATTTCTTTTGTTGTGCAGAACTTATTTAATTCCACGCAGTCCCAACTGTTGAACCTTTCTCTTAGTTGCTGAGTCACTTGTGTTCTACTGAGGAAGTTTTTGCCTATGCTTATTACTTCCAGTGTATTCCCTGCTTTTTCCTGTACTAGCTTCAAGGTTTCAGGTCTGATATGAAGGCTCTTAATCCACTTTGAGTTGATACTTGTACAAGGTGACAAACATGGATCTAGTTTCAGTTTTCCCAGAAACATTTGTTGAAAAGGGTTTTCTACACTGTTTGTGGCACCTTTGTCAAAAATTAGGTGGGCTTAGCTGCATGGGTTGAACCATGACAAACCCCAAAAGAATCTTGCTCCTAATATATTTTGGAAAATGAGGAGCAAGAACAGAAACATGAAATCCACCTGTAGAGTAAGCCTTATTTGAGGATTTATCATACAAGGTGGTGGCCAAGCATGCTAATAAATAAATAAATAACCTCAAAACCAAAAAATTTAAATCCCTGTGCATGCATTATGCAGCTCAGTTGATGTGGAAAAGCTCTCAGAGTCCCACATTATCATCACTTGATGTGTTTCCCTGCCCTTAATTTTGTGAAAATACACTTCCCAAAAAGCAATGTTTAAGTTATGATAATCCTCCCAAGCCAAGAAGGGCACATAATGTCCTTAATTTAAATAATAAATGACAATTTAAAATTTGTTCAAAGGCAGCATGTCTTCAGAGGAAGTTGGGTGGCATTAAGGGAAAAGTTAATCAAGCACCTGCAGTATCCAAGATAAAGAGTATGAAATAAAATCTGGGTTTTGGCAAGCAGCAACCACATGAACAATAATCTCTGCGACAGCAATGTAGCCTACTTCTTGCAGTTTCAAGTTATGGAGGTTCAGACTTATGGCACATTTTAGTGATTTTAGAGTAATGAACTCAGGTTGGTGGAGTTGCTCAAAAGGCAGAGTGTCTGCCGAGCAAGCATGAAGCTCTGAGCTCAAACCCCTGTACCACAAAAAACAAACCAAACCAAACCAGAGTCCTGAACTCTGCATCATGAGCATCCGCAGTTCTCTTCAATGATGGTTTCCTTGGAACCATATGCCCATGGACGTCATGGGTCCATTACATCTAAGGAATCTCCCTCAGCTACTTTTCCCTCACTGCCTTGGTAGAAAGACAACTGAAGATGTGTGAAGGATATTGCACCCAACTGAATTCCACCCATTTTTGAACAATAACAACAACAAAGAATAGTTTTGAGAAATAAAGATACCCAGGACTTGGGTTTCATTGGTGTATTTAATTCTCATGACATATAGTATATTAGCAAGTATATAATACAATGGAAAAATGATATACAACTCAAGGTTTTTAATACGAACCACTTTCTAAGAGGCAAATAAATCAGAAAGCCACCTACAATGGAGCCAGTGCCCACCACTTCCAGGATACAGATCTGAAAGAAAGCACAGCAGGTGCTTGTGGCCTGTCAGGCCTTTAACTGCATTACTTGCTCTTGAGATAGAAAGACTCAGATAAGGTAAAATGATACTTAGTGCTTTGCACAATAAGATGAAATAAATCTTTCCATAGACAAATATTACTTGGTTGACAGTTTATTAAATAACACTACATTTGTACCTCATTCTGCAGTTTTTCAAATTCACACATGGACTTAGTAAAAATGTACTTTATAGAAAATCATCTGCAAAATCAAAATGAAGGAACACACATACTGCACACAGAAGGACTGCTAAATTATTAGGAGTTATTTTAATTTAGTATGTACAGGTGATCATGAAGATTAGGTGGTTTGATTTCTTAAATCTGGCATCAGACCAGGAATTCAAAATGTTAATGTTGAAATGTGGATGCAAAAATGTCTATTAACAAAACTGTTGAACAGTGTCCAAGAAACAGGACAAAGCGCTGTTTCTTGCACAAATACTTTTTTAAATCCATTCTCTCAGCACCCGCTCTTCCTTTCAGAAAATTAGTTGAGTAGCCTGATGAGGCAAAAAAATCAATTTCTTAAAAGGAAACAAAACAAAACCCCTAGAGCCTATTTACAAAGCATGCAAAAAGGAGAATTTTACGTAGGTGTTACTGCAGAATTGCTTTAAAGTGATACAGCTGAGTAACAGACTATATACCTTTACTTCTACAAATATGTCCTTCTTCCTGCTCTCTGGAAGAAATCCATTTTCAGGGCATGGACCAAAAAACGGCATACAATGCAAAGACGGAAACAAAGAAGTTTGCAAATCCTTTATATTTCCAGCTGTTGAGACAATATATTTCAATGAAGTTACCTCTAGCGGCGAAACCAGAGCCAGCTATTAAGCAGCCAGAATGCTACAGTAATTGAATACATGACCATTTCTCTTTTTGCACGTTCTTTGTTCTCCTCTTCTAGAAGTTGTAGACGTCTATTTAGCTTGATTATCTAAGTGAAAAACAAACACAAAATACAAAATTGAAGCTTTAATGAATACAGTGATCAGATTCTTAAATAATGTCAAAAGAATTATTACAAAGATGGTTTTATTTGGAACAAAATAACACAACTATAAATAAAAATACCAGTACTCATGACAGTTTAAATTTACTTAAATACTCTTCTCCATATTTCTGAGTTAGAAAGGGTATTTGCCTTCCTTGATCAGATTGTGAGGTAAAGGTACCGCTGCACACCCAAGGCTGTTCTGGTAGACAAAATGAAATACTCATTTAGGCAAGCTTACCACAGCAGATGAAAGTGGGACCCGACTTCTTCTATGCCTCTTCCATGAACTTCTAGTCACCCAGCCTCAGTATTTACCATTAACTTGGTATAACTGCCCTCTGATCAACTCTCTGAGTTACCAAGATGGCCCAATATTTTATAGTGGGTGATAAGCCACCTAGATCTTCAGTGATTCCAAGCTGTTAGAAATGCTGTTGGCTGTCAGCACAGTCCTAAATTGTTGGCCCTTACTGTGAATAGTGCTGGGATGAACAGATGCCTTGCTTAAGCTCATGTTCCCTCACTAATCTTTACTTAAAAACATTTTGTTTCCTCCAGTTTCCCTCTCATGTACTGGCATAAACAACGCAAATACCAAATGTGCTTTCCTCATATGTGTGGATGTCTGTGTGACTCTACAGGTTGTAGGAAAATGTATTAAAAAATATGGATGTGTAGGATTGGAGATGTGACTGAAGCAGTACAGCACCTACCTAGCAAGCATGAGGCTCTGAGTTCAAACCCCAGTACTGCATAGATATACTTATATTTATATACATGGGTATGAAATTGTAGTTCCAAGGTAAGACTTACAAAAGAATTCAGGAAATTTGTATGTAGAGACACTATGCAAACTGAAAGCAGTGGTTTCCAAAATGAAGACATCAAACATAGTAACAAAGTTCCCTAAAGTAATCCTTTCACAGATCAAAAACCAGACAAGCAATTTATTGCTGTATTGGTTTACTAACATGTCACGATTCTTCATTATTAGTCAGAATTATATCAATTCACCTTGGTAACACTGTTTTATCCTGATCAAGAACATGTAGATGGTGGTTTCATTAAATTGAGAAAATCAACTGTGGCTTATTAAACAGCTGACATATAAAATATTTCATTCTATGAGTTTCATAGACTAGAAAGTGATAAAATGTTGCAAACTATCAGTTTAAAATATTATGTGAATATAACTTTAGATCACATCTTATTTGGTATATTAAATACCTGTCGTCTTAATGAAGCTGCATCTACAACAGTCATGTCATCTGACGTTCCTTCAATTGTTGCATCTATATTTGAAATGCCATACCTAGAAGACACAGAAAATGTAAGTTAATATTGAAATAGAACTACGAGTAACTGTCAAGTCATGTTAATGTGTTTTGTAATGTGCCAACAAGTATTCAAAAGACTGGTTATCTAACAACATAAATTACTAGAATATTTTGACATTTGTACTGACACTAATAAAGAAAAAAGAAGCAGCTTAAGATGACAACTATCTACAACACTAGGAAAGTGTACTAACACTTTGAGAATGAAAAGAAACCCTGACTAAAGATACGAATAGACAGTTTCAAGCCAGAGAGACCAGCCAGGTTAAAAAGAAAGACCCTTGGTTGAAAAGGCTTGAAAAGCTGCCACTCTAGGACAAATCAACATGCAATTCTTACACAAGAATTATGTGTGAATTATGACCATATGTGGTTCTACAGGCAGAGACTCACTGGCAGGGAATGCAAAATATACTAAAAAAACAAAAAGACCAATCATGTGTTTCTCCTTCACTTTTTACTGCCTCTTCTTTTGTCATTCCCACTCTTGACTTCTGATTTCCAAATATTTTCTCTCTACTGTGTTCTGCACGGAAGCAATTACAAAATCTCCTCAATAAGAGACAGTGTAAAGTAACTACTGGAAAACCAATACAACAATTCAGAGAAAGTACACTAATAAACAATGCTTTTTATTCAAACACGGTCACTTCTAAAAAAGGAATGATTTTTAAATAAATGACAAACTTTTGAAAAACAAATACACACAAATGCCATCGTTCCTTCTGCCTGGACTTCCATATTTTAAAATTTATCTTAATTAACAGCTTTAGTGAAATACAATTTATGTATCATAAAACTTGTTCACATGTGTATCTGCTGTGTGTCCTATATGGTTATTTCAGTGAAATGACCCAATAACTTTTCTGATTGAGCTGAATATAAATAAACTGAATTAAGCCACTCTTCTGTATTAACAGTTGGATCATCTAATCTAACATTCCCAGCAGCCCACATTATAAAAACCCCACTACCACACAAAGGGCTATGAATAGAATTATGTATTTCATCTGGGTGTGTTAAAGATAAGTCTATTCAGAAAATCCTGCTTTAAATGTTGTTGAAAATAAAAAACACTTTAATATGCAAAATAGAATTTAAATAATACATGGTATGTGCTGAAAGATAATCTACAATGTCTGAATGCCCCTTTTATGGCTACATTAACTTGCCTGTGTTTAACTGCCCCTTTCTTCTTGGAAACAGCATAATACTTAAAAGAAAAATTGTCAGTTTGTAAGTAGAAGCTGGCACTATAGTAAACTGAGTAAACTGTTGTCTTGGATATGGGGGCTGCGTGCAGCTCGGTGGTAGAGTTTGTACAGTGAGTGAGTCCCTGGGTTCAAACAAAACAAACTCCCAGAAGTAGAAAATCACTGGTGGAAAAAACAAGGCTTAAGGATTCCTATTTTCTACACTTCATTCTCAAAATAAAGGTTCTATTTCCCTGAGGTCACATATGACATGAATAATTTGTGGGGGAGGGTAGAGAACTCAAACAATAGCAGCAATTGCCTTAAGGTAAAGGAACATGGCTTAAGCATAGATAATGAAGTATAAATGAAAGAAATAACTCACAATTTAAATCTTGAATTAACTAAGGTTTCACAAATCTATTAAAAATCTTCATTTGCAAAGAAATCTAAGGATACGGCAAAAGAGGTTACGAATATCATTCATCTTACCTTATAAAATTATTTTAAACTAAAACCTGGCACTTCTCAGAATTGAAAACTGTTAAGAGGGCTGGGTATGTTGGCACTTGCCTGGGCAAAAAAGCTAATTGAGAATCCCCATCTCAACAACGAAGCAGGATGTGGTGGTGTACTTCTGTAATCCTAGCTACAGGAGAAGCATAGGTAGGAGGATCACAGTTTGAGTGAGGCCAGTCTGGGCAATTGTGTGAGACCCTAGTTTTGAAAAATAATGAAAGCAAAAAGGGCTGAGGATGTGGTTCAAGTGGTAGGGTGCTTGCCAAGCAAGTGCGAGGTCCTGCATTGAAACCCCACTATCACCAAAACCAAAACCAAACAAACCTCTGTAAGAAGTGCTAAGTTAAATCATTGGCTGAAAAAACTTTCACAGAAAGATAAAGTGATCACAAACTTCAGACAAAAATATGTGGGAAAGTCAGATGGGCTTAAATGAAGACTGTAAAAGAACAGGTCGGCAGAGTGATCAGATGCTTCACCCCCTCCAGCAGGAGTTCTCTATTAGTGAGAACTGATGTGTTTCCTTCTCTCTTGGTCAGGCACGGACCAACTTCTTCCCGTAGCAGAAATGATGCTGCCAGTGTAAAATCTGCTGCCAGACACATTTCTGCTTAAAACAAACAAAACTGGCTCTGAAAAATTAGAGTAACACTATCTATAAATACCAACCAGCTTTGGCTTTTGTTTTTCCAGAAGAGGATTTTTGGCTCTTGAGAACCTTAAATACTTGCACAAGCCTTTCTATTTGCCCTGTACATGACAGGAAGAAAGAAATACACAAGCTAAGCATGTCTGAGAGTATGAAAAGGGAAAAATAAGAGACAAAAGGCTGAAACTGACAGATGATAAAAATGCTTAAAATGAAATTCCCTTTTTAAATGTTGAACTTTGCAAACTGCTAGGTTGTCCATGTGCTGTTTCCCCAATTCAAGATGGTGCCTTATAGTTAGGATAATCTACACACTAAAGTGACATTCCAGGTAATTACAACTAAAAAGGAAATAATGGGCAGAATGGAGGCAACAACTAAACAATAAATGTAAAACAAGATTTAAGATTATTTTTTCTGTGTTTTAGCATGATCTCCTGCAAGCTATTAAAACTGTATTTAATTATCTCAGCCATTTCTACCACACCATCACGTAATTATTAAACACTTCCCCATACCCTGGTGGCCAACTGTCACAACCCCTTGGAGAGAAGCAGGATTGTTACTCCTGAGGGAAAGCTGCAGAGGTTCCAGCCGTAACATAAAGGTCATGGCACTGCACCTTAACGTCCTGCAGAATGTAAATTCCATCAATTTTGCATCCCCCTGATAATCACAAAGTCTCGAAAGTTACCTGACGTTGTCATGATGAGGATTAGAAGTGGCGGCAGCAGACCCACCACGCAACACAGGTCTAAGGCAGGTTTTTGCGGGAGAAGGCACAAGACAGAATCAGGAAACAGAGAAGTAATAAAATAAAAGCAAAAACAAGACAAATAAATGTCAAATAGGATTATATTGTATGCTTCAATACAATATAATATCTCTCAAATACTTTGAAAATCTTTGTCTCATATGTCCTCCATTTTATGATTTTCATAAGTGTAACATTTCACAATTAAAGAAAAGGAAGTATGTGACAAAATAGCACCAACATGTAATTCTTTTTGGTGGTCATACTTAATGAAATTCAAGTCAGAGAACAACTGGGTCTAAAAAGTGTAATTCCTCTCTTCCAGTTGGGGGAAAAAAGTCACTAGCAACTTTAAAAGTATCTCAAGAACCTGTTAGTAGCACCTACATGGTTGCTTGATGTCAACAGCTCTATCTGAAAGGTTATGAATTTAAAGAAAACCCCATTTCTCACAGTTTCTTCCCTCCCACCTCATTAGCTCTGTTCCATGCCTGATGTCTTAATGCAACTATATCTCATTCAAATCCTCAGCTCTCCAGACTGAAAACACACTCAGTTCCAGAGCTGGGAAGTCCAGGGACCACACAGCAGCACATTACTGAAAGGGAGTCTAATCTAGAGACAACCAGGAGTGATACACAGGGCTGCTGGGAACAAGGACCAAGGTGAACTGGAAAACTGTGGGGCTTTTCACTCAGTCTCAGCACATACTCTGGCTCTATAGTACTTCTCTACCGAGTTAAGCAGGAACCTTCCCAATAAATCCTATTTTGAATGCCTCATTCTCTAAGTAACTGATCAGGTTTTGTCTGAATTTAAGTATCAAAGCAACAATTATAGTAGATGTTTAATACCAAATGTACTATTTTTTTTTCCTGAAGTTGGCACAGTTATATAGAATAAAAATCACTGTTTTCTAACAAGTCAATTTATGCAAGAAACTTTCAATGTTTAGTTTCCACAGTACTACAGGTACTTAAGGAATACTTCTTCAGCCTAGGGGAAAAGGATTCAGAGATTTCTGGGGGAGGCTTATTTGACTTTCATTTTGTTTGCTAAGGTACTGAGAAATCACTTATGCTTCAGAGTTTCAAATTCATCTCATGTTACTCAAATATTTACTTTGTGAAATTAGGAAAACCATTAACCAACTGCAGTTTTAAAAGACACCAACATGAGAATGGCTAACTAAATGAAGCCTCTGCCTGGTGCTTTCTACAGCTTTTTTGTCTGTTTAATGTGTACTAATATGGCCACATGGGTCTGCCATATCAACATATTCCACCACACAGATTTCCCTTTATAATGCAGAGTCAGAAAATAATACAGTTACCTTTCACAACGTATTTCATTTTGTCTTCTCACACTGGCAATTGACACATATAATATAAAAGTAAATTAGACAGGTATTTGGCAGTTAGAAACTTCATTCAAGTACCACTTTCTACCATAAGTATGATTTAACGTATAAGAGAAATCTTTCAATGTTTTGTAATTAGAGTGGCAAAAGGGAAGGAAACCCAAGACGATCAAGTTTCAGCATTGACTTGCATACTGACATTTTTGAGTCATATATGGCTCTAATTAACAGAATCATGAGTTTCCTTCCTACAAAAGTATAAATTGCTACAGTAAATAAACAGCTTAATTGGGGGACCAGAAATTCTACATTTTTAAAAAAGAAAAATTACATATAACAAATACGGTATCAACTACAACTCTGCAGTTATAGGCTTTCCAAGTTATGTATTTATAGGGATACCTGCCAAAAATATAAATTCATGCATTAGTTTCTTCTCTATTCACTCAAAGCTAATACAATCTGCTATGAAAAAACTATAAAAACAATTATGACTGTCCTGAAATAAAAATTAAGCACAATTCATCCATCAATATTAAAAAATGTTAATACATACAAACTAAGTTTCTTTTTTAAAGTATTATTATTTTGTATTGGAGAATGAGCCACACAGCTCTAACAAATGTAGGAAGAGACAGGCAATTCCTACCCAGCAAAGGACTAAATCAAAACGCCTGTCCTAGGTGTTCTGGTTAATTTTTTACACAGTTTTCCAAATGTACAGCACTGGCTACTGGTAGCTCTAATGTGCACCTAGAATTTAATGTGGTTTTCAATTGAGCTTTGCTTAGATCATCTAAACCAAGTTCACTGTAAGATGAGAAAAAACACAGTATGTAATAAACCTTTGACAGTATCCCTGAAAGTATAAACTAAAAATAGTTCTTGTGTTGAGCAACTGTGAATTTGCATTATTTTATGATAATATAACAGGCAGAAAACTTTTCTCTTTCTGACAAATAACTGTAGTTTAAATTTACTGTACTCAATGCAACAGCATAAGATGGAAGATACTGCATTAGCCTAATAGCCAAGAGTAACAAAATAGAAAAGAAAAAAAATGATGCACAGAGCAAGGAACACAAAAGCACTTAAAACTTTATAAGCAGTATTATTTTATAACCATGCAAGTAGAACATTATCCAAATTTCACATTCCTGTATCTTGTATCTGAAAAGTCATGCTAGACACTTCTCATAGTAGAAACAAAAACTGATTTGGCACTTAAGAATTTAGATCATAAGAGATTTGCTAGCTCACCTTATTTGTTTATTTTGGCAATACTGGGTGCTAAACTCAGGGCCTCATGCTTGTTAGGCAAGTGCTGTACCATTCGGCCCCAGCCTTAGAATACGCACTTAGAAGAAACCTTCGGGTAATGGATGCACCAATAAGCCGCTGAAAACCTAACCCTCCAGGCTCCAAGGTAAGAGCTGATGGAATAGATACAGGAGCAAAGTAGTATTATACGACTCTTCTCATATTAAAAAAAAATCTTATTTAGGTGAACAAGAAAATTCCTTCTGGAAAAGGAATTTACAAACTTATGTATTTATTTATTTATTTTTTGGCAGTTCTGGGTTTTTAACTCAGGTCTTGTACTTAGGCAGGCACTCTGCCACCTAAGCCTGCCTCCCGCCCCTTTTGCTTTATTAGTTTTTTTAAGATAGGGCCTTGCTTTTGCTCAGGCTGGCCTGGAACTGTGATCCCACCTTTGCCTCCTGTGTAGATGGGATTATAGGCATGAATCTATAATCAGACAGGCTTATTTGTTGAGATGAAGCCTTGTTAACTTTTTTGCTGGAGCTGGCCTTGAACAAAGGTTCACAGGAACTCTGCCTCCTGAGTAACTGGGATTATAAGCATGCCTAGCCCCAGAAGAAAGATTTAAAAGTTGCCAATTCGTTACAATATAAAAAAATAAAATTTTACTTAGAATTTCAAACAGCAAAAGAGTACAGGGTAAAGTTTCTATCAGTAAGATTTCTGATTTTATAAGTTTGAACTTTAGGTAATCTTTTTTCCATGATAGAAAAAAAAAAACCTATTTTTACAAGTTCTTTATCACTGCATTTGAACTGTGTATACTTTGGTGGGAGATGGAACTCTGTCATATAGCTAGTATTTAAATTTACACAGGGCTTGGAAATACTTTCTCTCATTTGGATATTTTCTAGGTAATAGCATTTGATATGATATATTCTGACCTAATTATCTGTTCTCTTCTAAGGGCCTACTGTAATGAAAAAGTTAAAGACATGATATCTGAGTAAATCTGTTTAAAGGAGGGATGTTAAAATAGGCCTTCACAGAAATTACTTCTTAGGGCTAGGTACTTTACATTTAATATCATTTGAAGGTTCTCCTACTTCACTAATAAGCTTCTTTTAACAGGTGAGGAAAAGGAGGCCCAGAGAAGATAAGCAACTTGCTCAAGGCTCTCATGCAGCTCCATAGTGGAGTGGATCAAGAATGAATCTGACTGACTCTCTGACTCTGTTGTTTTTCTTCTAAACTTTGCTGCTTCTTACAGCTTCCAAATAGTACAATATAGTCTCTGAAGCATACAGGGGAGCATAAAAGGGACTCGTGGTGGGTAAAATAAACATATATATGTTATATAAATGATATTTTATATTTTTATTATATATAATATGTACATCCATGTGCAGTATATATGATTCTCCCTCCATACCATGAGTTTCTCTATAAGCAATTCTTAGTGCAGCTTGAAGTCCTCAGGCCCAAATGTCCAAATGTGTACTCCTGTCTTACCCCTGGGGACACCCAGAAAGGCCCTAGATTCAGCATTGTGTGTAGTACAGTCAATGCTCAAGAAGCATGGTAAAAGAGCTGGGTCTGCATGAGAACTAAATGCGTGCCAGGAGAAAAAACAATCAGAGCAAACCACAAGACCATAGCAGTTTCTGTAAGGCTTATTGGGAAGGTTGGCTAAATTTATTGAATTCTTCAAAATGCGAAAATTAGCAGTCTAATGAAATAATGAAACACTGACTCTCAGAAGCCACCAGAGAAATGTTCAGAGTTGAAATGAAGCTGACTTTCAACCTTTCCTACACCATGCCAAAAAAGTATCCCTAATTTTTAAAAACACTGTAATATAAATACTTCAAAAAGTATTTGAAATGATTGCCAAACAAAAACTGTATGAAAAACTGAGGTACACTAGTGATTTTATTTGGAGATACTCAAAAGTGAAATAAGCTATCTATCAATATTGAAAAATATTATCAAAAAGATAATAGTATCTGGGACTTTTAGTACAGGCCTAGAAATCCATTGCTAAGAGGAAAGGGAGAAGCTAGCAGCTAAAAATGATATCTCCTTCACATACTTGCTTTATTAATTCAACTATATTGGTAGCATGTTATTAAATCGAGACTGACTAAAAGAAACTAGCATGCCTCAGTCCACATTCCACGCTCAATCCCACATTACCCTTAACAGCCCCAAATGGAACCAACTACTCAGAATAGGCCAGCAAGGCCTTTGAAAACATCATTATACTTCCTGTGTGTAGGGACTAAATACTCTGAGTGTAGGAAAGCTGACAATCTTGTGAAATGTGAATTTTGGACAATAATATCAAATTAAAAGAAAGCAAAGCAAGCCATTTCAAACCACTGCATCTTAGAAAGGGACTAGAAGGTGCAAACATAAAAGAAAGACACCACAGTCCACTAAATAAGGAGTCAGAAAGTATGAAACAAAGCTGGCAAGAGTCACTGATGGCCAATCACCTGCGATTTTCATCCAGCACATCCAAGATCTGCTGGTAAGCCCTACGAGTAGAAGACTGGATAAGCGACAAAATGCCACGAGCAGAGGAAAGATTAGCTCCATCTTCAGGTAACATATGGGGAGGACAGACCCGAGTCTGTGGTGGCGACGGTGTCACACTGTTTACGTAAGCACAGCAAATGAAGAGAAAAATACTCAAGTCAGATTTTCATAAGACTTCATCCGAGCAGTTTTTCATCTTAGTTTTCTTGCCCTCTTTCCCACCCTCTACTCTCCCCCAAGAAAAGCCAAACAAAAGAAGTTAACATTTTGAATTGTTTAAAAAATAAAAACAGCTACATGTAGCATATGCAATTTTGTAACCCTAAACATCAAAATAAAAAAACTAAATACGAAAGAACAACTTTGGAGAGGAAAGAATACTCAGCAATGAATATATTCAATCCTTAGCTTTGGAGAAGCAGCTTTCTTTATTTCCCATAGCACAGATTCTAATTCATATACAAAACCTCTGAGAAACACTGCTATCAGCTTACGATCAGAAGCGCGGGATAGAGAATTCTGCCATATAGGTGCCAAAATCCAAACACTTGAATCTAAACTGATTCCATTAAAATGCCACTTCAAATACTTCACAAATAAAAAGACAATGAAGCAATCTGAGTTTATGATAAGTAAATTACATTAATTTAAAGATGAATTAAAGACTCAGAAAACTGTAACAAAAGCATTTTGATTGTTTAATTATAGTAAAGCACATGTTCTTTGACTAGATGACTAAAATATAAAAGCATTTCCAGTTCCAGGAACAAGGCAAAAGAAGGCAGGAATACTTTAATTAAGATGGCTGAAAAATAACCACCTCTGGGCTTCTCAATGACAGTAACCTTAATTCTTTCACGTGTGAGCTGAATTCACAATTTCTTTTGGCCCACTGCCTGTGCTTCCTGACAGCGGTCCACATTTGAATGAAGCATTTTGTACAGTCTAACCTTAACTCTTTAGGATCGCTGTCAGTATTTTCAGAAAGCTGCTTAATATTGAAGCATGATTAGCTATTTGAGGTATTTAACAGACATACGGACTTGCCATTTGGTTTGTTACGAAGACTAGGACACTGGGATAAGAGTTCAACACTCAATGGGCAAAACACGTTAGGGTAAACTTAATCCTTGTGTATTATGTTCAAAAGAAAAATCAAGCAGAGCAGATGGTGAACAAGTGCTCTGAAGATGAAAAATCGTATTCACTGTATAATCTTTCCTAATATAACATGTGTTTGCTTGGAATCTACAAATTAAGTGGAATAATTTTGAAAGTAGAGTTACCGTCATCTAATTCCTAGAGTCCTAGAAAATTAACAAACAAAATCTCCATAATTTAATGAATAATTTTCAGTGTCTTGATTTAAAGACAGAGGTACAGTAAACATGAAAATTTTGTTTTCCAAAGATTACTTAGAAGAGAAAGATCTAAACCAATACTTGGCATATTCTGCAATAAATCTACTAAGGCTGCTGATTCATCACAGGAATTAGCCCTAATGGTGTTGAGGTAAGCTGAAATTTTCAGATGCTGTCTTACGGCTCGTACTTTTGCCAGTATATCAAATGACCCATAGGAGTTCATAAAACCCAAACTAGGCATCCTAGAGAAGGTATAAGAAAACAAGAACCCCCAAAACCCAAACAAAACATCTTCCCAGGGGGGGAAAAAAAAAGAAACAAAACCTCCAACATATCTGGGGCCCAAAGTCTATGTGGTAGTCTTACATTCAGAATTCTTTTTTAGGTAGTACAAAGAAAACCTAGTTTCTGTGTTTGCAAGAAACCAGATTGAGTTCATGTTTATAAAGTGTCACCAGAGGCAGAATTTAGAATGACTAGATCAGAATAAATATAAACAATCTATCTATGCTCTTCTTGATAGAAGCTGCCAACACACTTGTACTTAAGCAAGTTTTAAAAGACTAATTAGTACTTTGAACTTCTGGAGCTTAAATTGGATACTTTGTACATCATTTTGTTTTAACAAACTAGCTAATATGAATGTTATAATAATCAATAATTAGAAAAATTCCTCTAAAGGAATGATGTCACTGAATTAAATCCAAACTTATGGAAAGTTTGATAATTTTTGCCTGTTAAAAATTGAAAGGAGCCAGGTATGGTGGAGCATACCTGATATGCCAGCACTTGGGAGGCTGAGGCAGGAGATAGCAAGTTTGAGGTCAGCTTGGGCTACATAGTAAGTTTCTGGTCAGCCTGAGATACATAGCAAGAGCCAATCTCAAAACTCAAAATAAAATACAAGAAATAAAAGGAAAGAGTTATTTTTCTCTGAGAGAAATCATTTTACTAAAACCAACCATTAAGAATTGTTTATCTTAAATTGTAAAGTGCAAATATTTTCTGTCTGTGCACAGGAAACAAGACGGTCATCTTATAAAATAACCAAGCATAAAGTAATTTAGATTGATGACAAACAATTCTTAAGATGGAATAAACAGAAGGTTGGGTTCTAATACAATCTACAGATACTATATAGCAATGATTATGATATATATCAGAGAAATCAAATAAAAAATGAAAATATAAAAAAATATATAAAACCTCCTAAGATTCTATGATGACATGAAATTAGAGTATGACAATAAAACAGAAAAAAATCACTTACATGAGCCTAAATTGTAACTTAAGAAAAAATATTTATGTACAATGATAGGATGAAATAATTAAATCTTAGAAACAAATGAAATGCATCTTTTTTTGTGTGTGTGGGGAGTTCACTAGCCACTGAACCCAGGGTCTTGTGCACTCCTAGCCTGTAAAATTAAGTCTCTGTTAATACTAGTGAAAATGTTAATTTAATCAAAGACCAGTCTCAGAAAAGTATTTGGTCTCAGCTACTCTGTAAGTAGAGACTGGAGGATTCAGGTTCAAGACCAGCCTAGGCAAAAAATTAGCAAGACCCTATTGCAAAAAAACCAAACTATAGGTTTGGGATTATAGGCGAGGAGCATGCCTATAATACCAGCTAGTTAGGAGGTGGAAGTAGAAGGATCGTGGTCCAAGGTCAGTCTGGAAAACTTGGTGAGACCCTATCTGAAAACAAAACAAACAAAAAAAACCAACCCAAATCATAAAGGGCTGAGGGTGTGTCTCAAGTGGTAGAGCACTTGCGTAGCAAGCATCAAAGTTCAAACCTCAGTACCACTACAAAAAAAGAAAAGATTTGAGCATGTGGTTGTTTCTCAAAAGGAATTAAAACTTCAAATATTAATGAAAAATTTAACTCTTTATTCCTTTATATGGCAACCCTCCATAAACAACAAAAACAGGACAGGAAGTATTATTTTTAAATGGTTATTGCTTTTGACAGTATATGTATAGATAAATGTTCTTTATAGTTAACATTTATTTCCATTTATGGAGGAACTGAATGATTACAAGATGACCAAAACTACCTCAAAAATCAGAAGCAGTAAATAATTTAGCAATTCTTTTTTTCTTTTTTAAAACTTTAGGCAGACTTGTCTTTTCACAAAAACATTTAAGAACAAAGAAAAGTAATCCCCATTTTCCCAATCAACTCCAGTTGAAATGTCTATTGGTATCAAGTGTAGAGGGAAATAGTGGTTTAAGAGTTGAGTTTTAACTTTTGACTCATATGCCTGGCCAAGGTTTAGTGATTTTTTCATTTTTCTAACGTTTGATTTTAACAAGTGAACTACTGTGAAAAATAAAAACGTAAACACAATGCAAGTGCGTGGAAATAACTTAAGCAAATACCACAATATTAGCAATTTAATAAAAATGCATTTTGAGAATAAATTGTTCCCTAGTAATGTTATAAAACAGAATCTTAACTTTGCCTTTTTAAAAAACAAAGATTAAATTTATAGCACTGTGATACTTATCATGTTATTTTATTAGTAATAGTTCTACATCATGCTTACATGAATGTTACTACCTAAGAGTTAAGTACACAATGCTAATTAATGGCAGAAGTTTAAATTAAAATTTATGTGGCATAACTCATAAAAGGTTAAGTTAAAAGCCAAATAGCTTTTCCCTATGAGTTTTCACAGAAATGTTTCTCAAACTGTCAGGTTAATATCTTTCATGAGACATTAGCCTCTTTCAAAAAATAATACAAGCAAAAAAGGATAGAAAAAAATTTTCACTGAAACAACACTGCATTAATTTCTCTTGGAATTTTAAATAGAGAGAAAATTTAATTTGCTGCTACTATTGATGCAATTTCCTAGTTCCTAGAAGCAATAAAACCAGAAGACATGTCACTGACTGCCACTGTGTTTTCTTCTGTTGCTCAATGTTTTTTTTTTTTTTTTCCTTCAGTGCTTGGGATTGAACCAGGGCCTTGTACTTGCTGGCTGAGTATTCTGCCACTGTGCTACATCCCAAGCCCTGCTGAATTTTTATACTTATGCACACAAAAATTCCCCCTCAAGAGAAAGCAGTCATTCCCATACCTTCTTTTGTCATATTTACAGAAAATGTGGGTTTAATAATCTCAACAAATTCTTTCAAACGTAATTTTAATCTACAGAATTAAAAAAAAACCAGAAAGACAACTTGATGACAAACCCCACTAAAGACTGCATTCTCCTCAATTAAAAAAAAGGAAAGAAAAGACCAAAAGATGGTGTGCTGAAATGTGAAAAATGACTAAGGTTACTGAACCTAATTAAGTAGACGCTGCAGGAAATGAATAGGCCAGTTAAAGCAAAATAAAGAAAAGTAGAAAGCAATGCTCAGTCCTTATGTGCAATTACTTCATTTTGCTTTCACCAGTACTCAAAGCCATAAGAAATTCCTTTGTTGGTCTTTCATTTGTTTGCTTGTTTTCTTAAAAAAAGTATACAAGGACAGTTTGAGAAATCCTCAAAGACAAGTACTAAAAAGCCAAACAGTAAGAAAATTAGGGTATTATATGCCAATTACCTAGTGAAATACATCAGTATTAACAAGCCTGCAAAATTAAAACAACTCCTATTGGGAAAAGCAGAGCAGATAAAATCTTACGTGTATTCCGGTGCAGAAATCGATGCCTGGAACCTTGAAATTTTATTTCTTGGGGCAGAATCTGATCTGTGCCACCTTAAATAATAATTATGCTTCTTTTACATATTCAGCTTAGATAACACAAAGAAAAGCTAGATGTGATTCTACTGTCAGAATTCATTTTTATGACAATAGGTGACAGTGATCAATCTTACTGATCCTCAAAGTAATTGAGAAAATAAAGCCCATTGCTCCTAATCTTATAACAATTTGCACTTTTATTCTTAGAGCCATGGAATAAAATAAAGTGGAGGCAGGCAAAAGTTCATGCATTATGATGCATAATCAATCTAAAGTTACAAAGAAAAGACTGAAGTAAGTAAAGAAGGCAAGAGTTAAATAATATAATGTTATATTGTTTCCTCCTTATCACATTAAAAACATTCAATATGTAATATGCTCATTACGCAAAATTTCTAAGGCTTATAAAATACACTAGTTTTTTTAAAGATGAATTACAAAATTAACAACAGAAGGGGAAAAAGGGGCAACATTTGTAACAACCGTGACAAAAAAGTATGGTAAAGTAAGGTCAAGCATTTCACTATGAAAATGTAGAGTTAAAGATTCATGTTACTTTTCCTACCCAAAATGAGATTTTTTAAAAAACATGAGATTTTCAGTTTTAGTAAATACAGACATTGCCAGTAGGTTTTCATACATATAGGGCTGTTTCCTTTCTCTTTAGCTAAATTCGGCTACCAGTAGTACATGCTTTGAGAAAATGTGATACTATACTAAAATAATTCTATTTTTTATTTTGCTGACATGAAATGTCAAAGTAATTAAGGACCCAAACAGTAAGCCACATCTTTATAGTGGAAAAGTTAGAAATCTTTGTTGTCTTAAAAAAAGTTAGTAGTAAAATATAACTAAAGCCCTTAATTGTATGTTTAATCTATCTTAGTCATAAATTATGGAGCATTTTCACTATTTGTATGATGTTTGGAAATATTCTAGAAATCTTAATTTCACGGACCTGTTAACATCACATATGCCAACCAGATACATTCAGGGAAATACACATTTCACCATAAAAAAATTGATGATAATAATAATGGTTGAGTCATTCAGACAAGTCTTCCCTGAAGGAGATATGTATTCATTTTAACTTGATTTTTTTCTATATAATCCTTCAGAATAACTATAGTTACTTTAGGAGACTCCAAGAAATCAGAAATCAGAGCAATTATAGTTTTTACTTGCACCTAACATAGCAAACGGAGTTTCAATTAAGTAAGCAAATCATTTACATTGAATTTGGAACTTCATTAATTGGCTGGAAATGCCAGCGAACATGTTCCTCACACTTCTTTTGAAGCAAGGATAAAAATATATGAAAGTCTTCTTTCCATCCTGAATATTAAAGTCCATGTCCCCATCAAAGCCCCTTCTGCAACCCTAAACTCTAAACTAGAACTTAATATGGTAGATTATAAATAGTATAATTGTATTATGCTCCAGTTATTTTGTATACAAAGCTAAATGTTTTGCTTTTACCTAATCTGCAAGTGATCAGAAGAGATGTATCATCTGATTCTTTTGAGAGTTTCCAGAGAAGCTATTATGATGTTTGATATCACAGAACTCATGAAGAGTTCATGGCAACTGATCAAAAAAAATTAATGAGAAAGAATATTCATTTATGTAGACAACCTAAATACTGAAATCTAATATTGAAAATGCATTACTGCCAATGGCTTTAAGATTTAAAATTCTGACCAGTTTCCAAGGGTATTTTCCTTGTAAAAATTAATTTCAGTGACTCTGATCTGAAACATTTCATGGTTGCTTTAATATCAGGGTGTACTAATATAGCCGAATGAGAAAGGTTTCAACAACAGTCCTTTAAGCAATGTATACAGTTTTTGAAAATGAAAGGGGCCTAACAATTCACAAATCAGGAGGCACAAAGGTAAAGCACCACTCCTGTTAAGGAAAATTCCACTTATCTATATTGTACTTTTAGCACAATTCACTGGAAACAGCCCCAGAGATGGCTGGTTCACATCTCATGACAAGGTAACTTAGAGACATTGTACTGTTTCCCTTTTGATTGTCTGTTTGACATGCCAATCAAACATTCATGAGCCTGATAGAACTGAGCACTTATGTTTACCACTTTGTAATAAGTATACTTCATAGAGTTCCCAAATAAGCAAACTGCGCTTACAGAAAAGCATCAGACGCACAGAAAAGGATATCACTGAAAAATTCTCACAAAATGATCTGATTTGATGACTTAAAACATACAGCAAAAGTGTAAAATTTTTGTAAATGTAAAGATTTCAAAACCTACAGGAAGTAATTCCTTAGAAAAAGATGCGTAGAGACACTATACAGAGAAAATTCATAAAGAAGATACAATGCATAGTGGTTGTACTCACATGGAATCATTTCTGACCAGCTGTCCATTTTGGCGAACAGCATTTTCACTCATAGAACGCTCTCTTTTTAGCCTGCCAACTGCACGAATCTGTTAATGCACAAAGAAAAGGAAGGGAACAGAAAATACTCTTATAGCCTTTAGTAAACATTCTCCAGTACCATCAAATCAGCCTTAATCCAAGGCTCCTCACAAAAATTATGAGGAACCAAGAATTCCTGCCAGCCATGTGTATTACAGATAGAATAGTGTGTTTTTTAAACCTATGATTATTAAATGCAGATCAACTTAGGAATGCTGGTCTACTTTCAGATAAAAGCTACTCTAGTTTCTTTTTAAGTAACTATCAATCTTGCTTGGGAAAACTGTCATCTCTCGGTAACTGAGGGGACTGGCTCCAGGCCCCCCAGCAGATACCTCGATCATGAGATGCTCAAGTACCTTATATAAAACAGCACGGGATTATGTACTTCATTCCCCATACTTTAAATCATCTCTAAATTATACAATGCAAATTCTGAAAAATTAGTTGTCTTATCATTAGGGATTAATGATAAGAAAATAAGTTTGCACATGTTCACGTAGGTCATTGTAGGCCTAACTATACAGTACATGAACAAGACACCAGGTGAACAATGATCAAACAATGATTGCTAGAAAGAGGCTGAGGGAGGATCAATGAAACAAAATAACTTCGGAAAAGAGGAGTCAGTTTGGAGCCTCCTACAGTAAGAGCTTTTTAAGGTAAACCTACCTTAAGCATTTACATATAAAATTTAACATCTCCACAATAAAGTACATTTTATTCAAACACAGTGAAACAGTACTGGGTTGATATGTAAGAATCTGACAGATACTTCCGTTCCCACCTACTCTAGGGTTGTGCTTGCTTTCCTTAAAGCAGAATAGCTCTTCCATGTAGCAGGGATGCAAATGAATTATTAAATTAGAACCATTTCTCCTGCTAAGTTGTGAGAACTGAAATTAAGTAGGATAGAAACAAATGTTTATTACCTCAACACAGCCTTAACAGAACTTAGAGGATCCTAAGTCTACTGCTGTTCTCATGCTTTGAAATCTATTTAAAACACAGTTTAACAGAGACATTAACTTTGTTACTACTACCACATGGGGGGAAGTAACTTAAGACAAAGACATGTATTTGTTATGCTTTCTAATGGCCTAGCTGTATACAAATTCAGGCACTGCCCGGGTGGAAAGGAACAAAATCTTTTAAAAATTTTTATCATTTAGTTCAAGGTGGTGGTGGACATTTTTCAATTTAAGATTTTGAAATGTTACTCAGAACCAGCGTGCACTGATTATATACTTATTCACTCTGAGGCTAAGAAACACAGTTCCAAGCTACCTTCTGGAAATTGGGTTGTAGGATCCTCTATGTCTAGCTATAATGTATGCAGTACTACATATATGTTGCACATACAGTTAAAATTCCCCTTTAATACACTTAAACGCCAATAAATGCCCTTTAGGCTATTGTTTACTGCTTTTCTGGATCTATGCTAAGCCTACTCCTTTTTTTCTTTTGGCTGGACTGGGGTTTGAACTCAGGGTCTTGAGTTTGCTAGGCAAGTGCTCTACCACTTGAGCCATGTCCTCCTATCCCTCCTTTTAAGAATCTGTTCAGATACCTTAGCATTTCCCTTCACACTCATTCTTATTTTCTGTGGAGCTTTTTTTTTAATTGGAGAAGAGGGAAAAAGTAAGAGTTAATGTGGACAGAACAATTGGGATAAATATCATCCCATCTCCAAACATTTCAATGTTTAATATTTCAAATAAATAATAATGCAGAGAACAGCTGATCCAGTGATAACTGCAGCATAAAACAGCAACTGTACAAGAATGTGAGCATACACCAATGAATGTGCCATGGATATGTGTATAGTATAAAAACATAAAGTTGTTCTCTTTTTCCCTCTTCTCTTCAGCCTTCTCCTCTATTCTGCTCACTGTAGTCCTAGCTCCTCTTTCCACAGATGAGGGGAAAGAAAAGGGAGCTGAACAAACTATCACTAAATTGTCATCAGATTCACATCTATCAGGTTCTTGATTTCCAGAGCTATAGTAGGACCTGTTTAAAGTATTCACTGAGTACCTCCTATATTTGGAATCTTCTGTATTTAAGTTGTCTTACATAGTTGAATGGCTCATTCCACTCCAGGTCAGCTATGGTTTTTGTTTCACGTGCTCAGGGTGGTCACGGCAATTGAAAGGGGCCATCACATGGGCACTGAAAACCACTGCTGCTTCCTTATAGTGTGATTGCTATGTTTAGGGCTTTCATTAGATATTCATGACTTTTGAGTTTTCTTTCAGCTTCTAAGGCTATTGCTTTCAAAGTGTAATCTGTGGTGAAGTAGGCTCTTGCTGGATATTATTTCTCCCAGTTCTTGAGCTTGGCTGTACACTTTGTACACGACTCCTGCAGAATGTGGCATACTGTGAGTACTACTTGACAATTTCTGAATAAAGCCTGCATGGCTTAAAGTTCCCTTTATGAAAGCATTCATTACCTTTGCTTTTCTCTTTCAAAATCAGGTCAAGGTTTATACTCTCCACTGATTTTTGCCCCTTCCAGATATTCTCTGTTGATACTTCTAGTACATTTAGGGTTCAGTGCTCTTCTGAAGATTTTATAAATGGATGACATTCTAGTAATTGTCTTCTTTGAAGCAGGAGTTGTCAATTTGGGAAAGCTCTTACAACATGTTCTTTAGCTTCAATGGACTAAAAAAGTTCTCAGTATTTAATGTGGTTGATCTCTTCGGAATGTACTAATGCTTGATGGATAGGCTATGATCCTGGAGTCTAAATCTTTGGCTTAGTCACACTGCTCAAGGTGTCAAATCATCTCATAGGTATCATTTCCCAATTCTTTTTTCTTCATAGTTCTCCCTTCTTGTTCTTTGGAAGATCTCTCACTGACTCCAGTTGAAATTCCCTTCTGAGAGGAGGAGGTACTGTCAGTGTCAAAGCCTCTTTCTTCCTATTCACACTGCTATATCTGCTGTAAGAACCTCAAAAGTGGACCCAAAGTGTTTTGCAGTTTCATGTCCAGTTCACATGATTAGTTGCACAGCTGCTTTATTTGGTAGATATTAGACATCTTGAAAGAGTTTATCAATTTCCTCTTTTGTAGCCAAGCTTCCAAATTTTATAAACCTTCAATGAGCTAGAGTGTATTTGTATCATGTTGTAAGCCCTTTGCACTTGAATTCTTTAAACCAGACTAAGAATTTAAGTGCAGTTATTGCTACAAATTTATCCCCTGTATCAGTCAGACTTTTAACAACAATTTTACAACCTTCCTCCTAAGGGTTTTCCTGATGGTTTCATTTCTCAACATAGGAGAAGTAGTTTTCAGGCCAGGGATGATTTCTGCCCCCAAACTAACACTTCTTAAAACTTTCCCATGAAATAGAAAGGGAAGGAACACTAACTTATTTTATGAAGTCAGTATTACCCTCATCCCCAAACCAGACAAGGCACATCCAAAAAGGAGAACTACAGGTCAATCTTCTTAGCTAACACTGATGCAAAATCTTCAATAAAATAATGGCAAACTGAATCCAACAACCTATCAGAACGATCATTCACCATGATCAAGGTGGCTTCATCCCAGGGATCAGGGATGGTTCAACATATGCAAATTATTAAATGTAATATAGCACAGTAACAAAAGCAAAGACAAAAACCATTTGATCATCTCAATAGACACAGAAAAAGCCTTTGATAAGATTCAATACCACTTCATAATAAAAGCTCCAAGGAAACCAGGAATGGAAGGAATATATCTCAACATTATAAAGGCTATATATGACAAACCTATAGCCAACATCATACTTAATGGGGAAAGACTGAAACCATTTCCCCTAAAATCAGAAATGAGACAAGGGTGCCCCCTCTGCCCACTCCTATTCATCATAGCCCTGGAATTCCTAGCCAGAGGAATAAGGCAAGAAGAAGAAATAAAAGGAATACAAATAGGTAAAGAAACAGTCAAACTAATTCTATTTGCAGATGACATGATCTTATACCTTAAAGACCAGAAAAACACCACCCAAAAACTCCTGATACCATAAACAGCTTCAGCAAAGTAACAGGATACAAAATCAACTTATAAAAATCAGTAGCTTTTCTATACACAAACAATGAACAGACTGAGAATATAGGAAAACAATTCCATTGACAATAGCCTCAAAAAAAAAAAATCAAATACCTAGGAATAAACTTAACAAAGGATGTAAATGACCTCTACAAGGAGAACTATAAACCACTGAAAAAAAGAGACCGAAGATGACTACAGAAGGTGGAAAGATCTCCCATGCTCACAGATTGGCAGAATCAACATAGTAAAAATAGCTATACTACCAAAAGCAATCTACATGTTCAATGCAATTCCCATCAAAATCCCAATGACATTCATCACAGAGATTGAAAAATCTACCCTAAAGTTCATTTGGAAACACAAAAAGACCATGAATAGCCAAGGCAATACTGAGCAAAAAGAGCAATGCCGGAGGTATCACAATACCTGACTTCAAACTATACTACAGAGCCATAGCAATAAAAACAGCATGGTACTGGCACAAAAACAGACATGGAGACCAGTGGACGAGAACAGAGGACCCAGATACAAATCCACGCAGCTACACCCACCTTATTTTTGACAAAGTTGCCAAAAACATACAATGGAGAAAAGACAGCTTCTTCATCAAATGTTGCTGGGAGAAGTGGTTGTCAGCCTGCAGAAAACTGAAACTAGATCCATGCTGGTCACCCTGTACTAGTATCAACTCAAAGTGGATTAAGGATCTTAATATCAGATCTGAAACCTTGAAGTTAGTACAGGAAAAGAGTAGGGATTATACTGGAAGCAAGAGGTATAGGTAAGGACTTCCTCAGTAGAACTCAAGCAGCTCAGCAACTGAAAGAAAGGATTGACAAATGGGACTACATGAATTTAAAAAAACTTCTGCACAAAAGAAATGGTCTCTAAATTGAAGAGGCTACCCACAGAATGGGAGAAAATCTCCGCTAACTATACATCAGACGAGGAACTGACAACAAGAATATACAGGGAGCTCAAAAAACTAACCTCTCCAAAAATCAATGACCCAATAAAGAAATGGACAACTGAACTAAACAGAACTTTTTCAAAGGAAGAAGTCCAAATGGATAAAAAACATATGAAAAAATGTTCATCATCCCCAGCCATAAAAGAATGCAAATCAAAACCACACTAAGATTTCACCCCATTCCTATCAGAACCATCGAGAACACCAATGACAACATATGTTGGTGGGGATGAGGGGGAAAAAGGAACCCTCATACACTGCTGGTGGAAATGTAACCTAGTACAATCCTTATGGAAAACAATATGGAGGTTTCTTAAAAAACTAAAGATAGATCTGTCATATGATCCAGCAATACCAGTCCTAGGGATATAACGGAAGGGATGTGACGCAAGTTACTGCAGAGGAACCTGCACACTCATGTTTATTGCAACACTATTCACAATAGCCAAACTATGGAAACACTCAAGACACTCCACTACCAATGAATGGATTAAGAAAATGTGGTATTTTTACACAATAAAGAATGAAATTTTGTTATTTGCAGGTAAATGGATGAAACTGGAGAACATCATCTCAAGTGAAGTTAGTCAGGCTCAGAAGGCCAAAAATCGCATGTTCTCCCTCATATGTGGATTACAGTCCTAAAACAAATGCAGTAATATTACTGGACACAGGTCACACACTATTGGGAGACTATGCAAGGGAAGGAAACCAAAAACTTGAATGTGGTTGATGTGCTCACTGTATAGGAACGAATACAGTAATCTTAAACCTAAAGGGGCCACTATAGGAAAGGGACTAGGAAGTTTGTAAAGAGGTCTGATAGGGATGAACAGATTTAGGTTGTAATACACATATGCATGGAAACAACACAAGAAATCTCCCTGTATAACTATCTCTATCTCAAACTAGCAAAAATGCCATGTTTTTCTTATTATCTTTTATATTTTCTTCTTCTACAAACTTGAAAAAAAACTTGCCCAGACATATATAGCTAGGAAGTGGCAAAGGAGGTCTTCAAAATTAAGTCTAATACTCAGCGTAAGTTTTTCATCAGTGTTACACACTGTGGGAATTTATCACATTTGACTAAACACCACAATTAATGCAGAAGTGAATCCCACATGGTCTTCTGAGGGCAACTGATGAACTTTTCTTCCTTTAGTCTTTAAGTAATCACTCAAGAAAGTGCTTGGATTGTTTTTTTTTCATCAGTTATCTGCCCTAGGTAGGCAAGTGTCTAACATACTTAGGAAAAGCAAAAAGATCAAAGAAAAACAAAACCCACTTAATAGTAAAGGAACTACCTCTCTCCTGGCAGAACTCTTAGTCCAACAATACTTTTCAAAGCTACAATTCCCATTGTGAACTATGGGGATCTAGGAAGCTGGACTTCTAATGGAGTATGCTGGGATATCTTTTGTTTTGTATACCCATCTTCATAACTTTCACTAGTTTTTGCTATTAAAGAACTTTATCTTCTGTGTGTTGATGTTTTTCCTTCACTCACACCACTGTCCTGCCATGAAGGAGACTTTCTGAGAGCAGGAATATGTGTCATTTACTTTTGTACTGCATAATATCTTATACTTAGAAGCTCAAAAAATGCTCGTTAAATAATATTTTCTGAGTACCTTGGTGTCTTCTTGTCATGTAGACATTCACAATTTGTGTTTTCACTAAGTAAATATCTAGAATGCTCCATCTGGCACCTATGAGCACATTACCTCACTTACCTCAACAGAAACTTAGAACCAGCAATACCTGATACTATGAAACTGCTTGGCCCTAGTTTATGTGAGTGGTTAACCCTCTTTGGAAATGAGTATGTGAAAAATTAAAACAGACATATGCAGTACCAATTTTAATAAAAACATATATTTGCACACTAATACAAACATTGTGATGACACATTAGAAATTTAGAAACTAAAATAAAGAAGATGCAAATACAGAAATCACCAAGAAAAAAAGCTTCAAAAGACTAATCGAGTCAACAGCAGAGGCAAGATTTGAACTCTACTGCTAATACCTTATTAGGTCATATCACATATTTACGTAAAGAGGGGTATTGATGTTGTATGTGATACCAGCAGCTAACTCAGTAGAAATCTTTCAAGTAGCAAGAAATAATAGTATCAAGGGAAAAGAGTTTTCTTAGCCCTGTTCACTGAACTGATTTCACAAAAAAGTATACGTTACTTTTTTCCTATTGGAAAACTTTCCTGAGCTGGGGCTATAGCTCAATGGTAAAGTCCTTGCCCAGCACGTGCAGGGCCCTGGGTTCAATCCCCATCACTGAAAACAAAATAAAAAACAAAGCAAAACAAACAAAAAAACACTTCCCAACTTTCTCCATATTGCTTAAGATATAATACCTAGTCATAAAAGTTTTTCCTTCAATTTTACTTGAACATTAATAATACCTTCCATGAGATTTTCACTTTCCCGATGCATAATATTTAAATTAAAAAAGCAACAGCACAATACCTTGTTGGAGAAATTTTCAAATCAACTGATGGTAATCCATGTTCCACAAGAAAGCTTTCATCACATATGGCTAATGATATGATCTATAGTCTCTTATTCTTTTAAATACAAGTAAGCTAAAACTCTTACTTACTTCTTCATTTTGAGGGGTTGGAAGGGGTCTTTCTAAATCCAGAAAATCTAGTGGTCTTTCACTTAGTGTAAGTACACGAGGTGGTGTTTTTAGTGCCAGAGGTTTGAAGGGAGTTGACTGAATAAGGTCAAGATCTGCGGGCCTTGAAAATGAAACATCTTCATTATTTCCTGGGAGGAAAAAAAGGGAGAGGGAGGAGGTTTTTTAAAATGTAGTGGTTTTGTTAAAATGTGTTTACTTTCTCTCACTTTTATATTATAACCTACTCAATAGCCTTAATTTCTTTAAAACTATACTTTCAGCGTAAGAATTGATATTTCACTAATATCAATGGTAAAGAATATCATGGTAAAGAAATGATACAGAAATTAATGCAATACATACATGACAATATATGCAATATACACAATATGTATATGGTATCCAGATATGTAAAGAACTTATAATACACAATTTTTCAAACTGAAAAATATTTTGAGCAGATGCTACAAAAGAAGATAAACAAAATAACCAAAAGGCATGTGTACATGTTCGTAAGTATTAATCATCAGGAAAATATAATTGAAAGTACAAGGAAATAACACTACACACCCATTTGAATAACTAAAAGATAGTGACAACAATACAAATTGTTAGCAGGGATGTGGGGCAACTAAAACACTTGTATGTCACTGATGAGAATGTAACATAGTATGAAATGTGGAAAATAAGATTGCTAGTTGAAAAAATTAAACAAAATTTACAGCCCAGCAATTTCACTTCTAGAGATAAAAAGACATATGTCCTCATAAAGATTTGGACATGAATATTTGTACCAGCCTCATTCCTAAGAGCCTCCAAAAGGAAACAACTTAAGGGTCCAACAGGCGAGAGGATGAATACAAGAGTCCATATCTATACAGTGGAATATTACTCAGAAATTAAATGGAATGAAGAATCTCTAAAACACCAAACTGAGCAAAAGAAGCCAGACAAGGCCATATATATCAAATGACTCCATTTATATGAAACTCCAGGGAAGACAAACCTAGTCTCTGTTGATAGAAAGGAGATTAAGGTTGCTTACAGTTGAGGAGCTGGGACTAAGAGAGGGGCACAAGGAAACTTTTGGGGTAACAAACATGTTCTGCATCTGAACTGTAGTGGTTAATATGTTTATCAAAATTCAACGGTACACTTAAAAGTGTATATGCTTTATGTGTGTAAAACCTCAGAAATTCGTTGAATTATTTTTTTTAAATTGCTTGAAATTCTGATTATAATGAAATTTTGAAAATGTAAATTTGCATCTCCCAACTCCTTCTCTAAGTAACATTTTGAAAGACCCAAAATGTTTCACAAATATGTGTAAAACAAATATATATCAACCAATTTTGTAAACAAATGCAAAAATACCTGCTACAACAATCCTCTCTGGAACCTGCATTATCACACTAGCATTTGGAACTCCTTCTTGGAATCCTTGTTCCAGGTCAGTATTTGGTGGTGCTACTTTTAATTTTTCTGGGACCCTCATTCGCTGACTAATACCTTCGGTGTATTCCATTTCATACTGAATTCGACTAATTTCTGCCATCTCAGCAGCAGTGGGAGAAGGAAATGCTGCTCCACTCACCCTGTAGGAGAAAAATTTAAGACCAGGGTGAGTGAGTGTTAGAATATCAGTCTTCTCTATGCTGTGATGTTAGAAGACAATACCTTTTAATAGAGCAAAAGGAAACTTCTCATTTGCGAAAACTAAATATATACAAAGGAAAAAATAAGATGAAGGAAAATGCTTTCCTCAAAATAATGCCTTCTTACTTATCAGCTGAAATTGCACCTTGAGGATATTGCTTAGGGGCAAATTTTTTAAATTATTACATAACCACAATGTAAAAGCGTGCGCGCACACTCATTCTCTCTTTGCATAAACAGCTTGCATGCTCCTTTTAACACAAAAAGGCCTGAAATAAAATTTAAATTAAAAATTGCTAATCAGAGGCAATTAGTTCAGTGGTAGAGCGCTTGCCCAGCATGCATGAGGCCCTTCAATTTCCAAAGCCAAAATTTAAAAACCCCAGAAAACCTAACCAGTTATTTGAGAGAATGTTGCTTGGACTTTTTAAACTGGCATTATGTGTTAAAAACAAAAAACGAAACTAAACAAAAAACGTTTGGGCTGGTGGAGTGGCTCAAGTGGTGAGAGCCTGCCTAGCAAGCATGAAGCCCAGAGTTCAAACCCCAGTGCTGCCAAAATAAGTAAATAAAACCTTCTAATAATGAACATCAGACTTCAAAGGTTAATTTTAAATTTCTAAAGAAAAGATGGAACACTCGAAAAGCAACATATATCTGATCACATGCAATGAATACCAAAACATAATTTATATCAATAAGTCCTTAATATATGCATTTATTTTGGGGGAATCAAAAGTTTCACATCATTAATTTATACTTAGTGTATACATATAAGCAACAAATGTCTTTGGGGGAAAAAACACAGTACAATTGTACTAAATAACCTTTTAAATTGAAGAGGGATCCATGATTCCAGGGAAATACAGTAGAAAGAGTGCTGCCCCAAAATACAAAATGCTGATAAAAGCAGAAATAGAGTGGTTAGCCTATAGCAAACAGCTTTGAAGCCACTGACTCTCAAACCTGTAATACCAGCTCAACTGAAAAAAATTTCACTGACCTTCCTATTGGTGTGTCACTGCTTGTTCTTTTACTCATTTTAATATAGTAAATACACGTCTACAATAGCTATTAAAACACTTCTACCCTGTAGTTCAGTTTACTTTACACAACAATTCCCCTACAGATCTGAACTTTTTTTTTTTTTTTGGAGGTGTACATAACAACACGGACACTTCTTTTCCAGCTGCAAAAAAGAAAGAATAAAAATCAGTATTTTGACAATTCATTTCACAAGAAAACTATGAATAAAAGTAAGTATTTTCTTAAAATTGCTTTTGGACTTGAACTGGCTTGGGCTTGTGAGAAACCAATTTCCAAATCTCTCCTAAACAGTCATTCTATAGTACCTCAAAAGTCATAAAGATGGTTTTAAGCATAGCCACATTTTTATGATTTTGCAAAAAGGATAAAGAAAAGCTATATAAAATGTATATAGAAATGTGAAGTCAGATCTGAAAAAAAAACCCAAAAACTGCCATAAAACTTCTCTAGTCATTAGACTCTCCAAAGGGTAGGGAGGAATCTTTTCAGGTTTTTTTTTAGACTAAATACAAAGAAATCAAAAAGAAAATGCATTTAAGGTAGTTTAAAAATTTTAATGAGTAATTAACAGTTTCCTTAAAGGAAATAAACTTCAAAAACCAAATTACACTAAGTTTTCAGCAAAGGACAGAAGGTAAGGGCAATAAAAAATTAAGAGTATAAATGTCTTAACCATAGCTGGGATATTTCTTAAACTCCACATCAGAGATCGACTCTATACCCTAAACTGCACCTCGCTGAGATGCGTAAGAGAGCTCTTGGAAGTTGTTAGTGTGCTAAGCCTGGTTTGATTATGACTAACTAGCTTCTTTTATTCTTTACCAAAATGTTTGAATTTTAAGGATCTAGCATGCAGAGTTTAAAGACTAAGAAAAATAGAGCCAAAAGAGAAAATTGTACTTACAAATGAGAACCAACTACTTCTTGCTACTTGGTACTATCTGCTTCTGCGCTTCATATTAAATCCTTAACTTGCCTCAATGTGCATGTGCTGGATTTAGAGCCACTTTTGTCCCTGGGAGAAAAAATAGGGACTGAATGAGAAACCAGATGATACTGACGTTAAGGATTCAGTTGGAAATGTTCCAAATTATAAAAATCACAAAGATATTCAACTTTACATACTAAGAAATAAAAGAATAAAGAAAAAAACTAAGCTTAACAATTTCAGTCCCATAGAAAGGGCCTGTGATTATTCATTACAGAAGGAAAGATTAAGACCAACTCTTTGTTTCCGATTTGTATTCAGAGAGCAGATAAAAAATGTTTAAGCACCTAAATGTTTAATTAGCTTATATTTAACTACCTAATATTTATGTGCATGCATACACATGTGCATACATAAAGGAAATGTGTAAATTTTTACTTAAAATTTTTTAATTGAATCAGTAACAAATGAGCATGGTACCAAGTACATAAGAATACACAGAGGGTTATGGCTTACAGGCAGAGTGGCACACACCTGTACTTTCAGCACTCAGGGGGCAGAGGCAGAAAGATCATGAGTTCAAGGCCAGCCTGGACTGTGCATCATAAACCAAAAATTATTTATATAAAATGAAGTGTCCCATCCACTCAAGGTCCTCATAGTCAACCTCTATCATCTATTTTTGTGTGTCACTCTGAATGACACTTGTGTATCTGAACCACAGTAAAAATTTATATTCAGAAATAACACTGAAAAGATATATCCCATAAGAACTATAGCCTTGAGGAACATTTTACATTTAAATAAAAATTTAAATAAAAATAAAATTTAAATAAATTTAAATTTAAAAAGGGACATGAGTTGTTAGAACCACATTATCTCCTTGAAATGTGCTAGTCTCCAAAACATTCCCTTCACCGCAGTTCAGTTTCTGCGACAAAGTCTCTCTATGTAGCCAAGACTGGCCTGAATGCATACTCCTCGTGCCTCGGACTCCCAAGTGCTGGGACTGCACCATGTGTCCCACCATGCCCAGCTCATCTCAGCCTTTTTAACTTTCGGTCGGAATACCTCAAGCTCTCAACATCTCATTCTGGATCAACTTCTTCTGAGACTCTCTGAGTTGGTAAAGAATCATGTTCTTAGAACATTAGATGTTCCCAGAAGACAACTTCTGGAAAAAATCAAATTCTCCTGAACTACTTAAGTTTAAAAAGTAAATGCAACTTTTCTACTAAGATTTAACAATAACAGTTACTGGGTTTTCTGCTTAAATAAAACATATGAGACACTGAGTGGATGGTACCAATCTGTGGGCGCAATGATTCACGCCTAGCGTTCTCATGGCATACATTTAAATACCGGAGCTCAAGCAGCCTGTAGTCACAGAAACGTGTTGGGTTAAATTGACTGTGGTAGCAAAATTTTATATGTTCTTCAATACAAGAAAAATTCCAATTCTCGAACGCTTACTTTGTGGGCCTAGTTAAAGGGTTTTGGTTTTTGTTTATCTGGGTCACCTTGTCTTTCAGTTCTGACTCCAAGGAGCTACACTTAAGAGAATGGATGTATCAGAAAAACAGGTTATAATGATACAGGGCTAATTTTACTTTTTAAGAAAAGTCACCACAAACTTTGAAAATATCTATTAACCACAGAAAAAGTGCAACACCAGAAGGGGGGCAGTGCAACAAGGAAGCTTTGTAATCCTACAAAGAGGCAGTCCTGTCGGACAGGAAGGGAGACAACGCACACACTTCCTTTGGAAAGAACAGCAGAAGCTTAATAAAAAGCTCGTACTTGGAATCAACACTGAAAAGCAGTATCCCAACTCACAAGCCTTTAAAACCAGAAAGACACTATGCTTCCCCAATTTAATTGCAGGTACACTAAGTGGTCTTGATTTCCCTAAGGGTTTTCCTCGGGGAATCTTCATTAGAAACAAATGTTTTCCACCTAGGGAGTGAAAACATTGTCCGTGGGAGGCCTGCAACAGGCTGGCTGTTTGGCACAGGCTTTCCGCGTCTTCCGCAGTGAGGACGCCCACCATTCCAGCAAGGGGGTTGGCGTGGGATCTTCCCGGGAGAGAGCCCTGGGCCTGACTTGGAGGGACGCAGCTAAGGGACCCGTCCTGCAGACGAAGGTCAGGGGCTGGACAGAACCGGAACCCAAGCTGCCCTGGGTCTTGGGAGCCACCCGGACAGCAACCGCCTGCATCCGTGCCTACGGCGAGGATGCCGAAGCCCGAGGGGGCCAACGCCACCCGGCCGACCACCCTGGTTTCCAACATCCAACAAAACACAAAGCTACTTTAAAACCGGAGGTTCAAGGTCATACTGTAAGCTGTCAGGCCGTGAGCCGGGAAGGAAGAGGGGAGCCCGGTGTTCAAACTCACAAGCCTCTCTTCTCGGTTCCCGAGCCCCGAACTATTTTCAATAGACAAATTCCGATTTTTTCCCCTCCGACAAAACCAGATGCAGCGCTAAGGAGGCTGCAGAAGGAGGGCCCGAGACACTTGCAGAGTACAGCGTTTCTCTCCCTCGCTCTCCTCGGAAACCAAAGGGGCGGCTAAGTACTGAGGAGAAAAAGCCGGGGTGGACAACTCGGACCACGGCGACAGCACGGGCGCGCCGGGCCATCGCGGGTCCCCCGGTGGGCCAGGAAACCATGGCCGCGGCATAGGCCCGGAGCTCTGCTCGGGCGGCGTCCTGGGGCGGGAAGACGCCAGCACTCACCCTGGGCCCGCTGGACAGTCCCCGGAGAGGGCCGCCGCCCGCCGGCTCTCGGGCGCTCGGGTGAGCGCTCTCAGAGGCCGTTGGCCGAGCGCACCGAGGCGCCGGGGCAAAGCTCCCGCGGAGCGGCCACAGCGGGCCGGTCAGACGCGAGAACGGCCAAGTCTGGCCCCTGCCAGGCCCCGTAGCGGAAGCAGATTTCGTGGTCATGTGACCAGGAGAGGGCGGATGTTCGTCCCACGCACGGGAGCGGTGGCCAATGGGAAGCTGGTAAGGAGACATCTTTGTTGTGGGCAAAGTGTGTTTGTAGAAGATGACCCTTGAAGTACTTAAACTCGGTTCACTTGCAGGCATTATTAGTTTGCGATGTTTAAGAACCCGGTGTTTGCAAGGGAAGCCTTCGGTAGTCAGTTAAGGTAACTTTTTCAGTACCACCTTCATCAAAATTTCTATGATGTGAGGCCTAACCTCCCCTATTTTTAACCAAGTCTGGTAGTGACTCTTACGCAGTCGTAAGTACTTGAAGTCCTCTAATTAAGAACCTCGGAAAAGAGGAAGGTAAGTTTCATGGAAGTTTGTAGCCTTAACTCTTGAGTGGCCCCCCGCTGGAAAACCGCAGTACACTCACCTAATACAAGACAGATGGGAGCTAAATCGGGAAATATGTGTATGCCTCCATTTTCACAAACAACTGAAGGTAGAGTCGGACTCGCCCTCTTTCTGCATCCTTGGATTCAACCAGCCGCGTATTGAAAAAAAATTCTGTTGCCTCTCTACTGAACGTACAGACTTTCTTGTCACTGTATCCTAACCAATAGAGTAGAACACCTGTCTGCGTTGTATGAAATGCCACCCGATCTAGAGATGATTTGAAGCATATGTGAGGATGTGTGCGGTTCTGTGCAACAATATGCCGTTTTGTAAGGGACCTCAGCATCTGTAGATTTGGGTACTGCGGGGGAACCAATCCCCAACTCCTTTGTGGATATTGAGGAAAGGTACTACCTAGGAGTGGTGTAGTCCACCATCTAAAGATAGTCCAGAGATTTTACCATGCTGCAAAATAACTTGGGAAGTCCCCTTAATTTTGTTCTTGGGTCCCTTCTTAATCTTGGTGTAGGGAAAGTAAAATTTTCCACCACCCTCTTGGGTCTCAGCTGGACCTAATAATTGACAATAAGACAGCAAATAACAGGAGGAAAGCGTACAAATTTTATGTAGTAGTACATTTTACAATGGAGCTTTTACTAGAAAAATAAAGACTCAAAGAGGGTCCAAAGTTTAATAAGTTGCCCAGAGCAGTAAATTGTGAAAGCGTGAGAAGACAAAGGGGTTTCAGGCCAGGGCAGTGGACAAGCAGCTAGGGAGATAAGGGTTGAATAAAGTTGGTTTGTTCAGATTTCTCTCACTTTGGCTTGCCGACACTGGAGATAAGAATGTCTTCCTCCTGGTACAGGGAAGTCCCTTTCATATGAGAGTTATCTACCTCTTTCCCAAAGAGAAAGGAAGGCCAGAGTGCTTTTCTTGCATTTGCAGTTTAAGTGCCTTTGATTCAAAATAATCTTAATGCCAAAGTGGCATGTTCTGGGGTGATATATTCTGCTACCCTACAGTGGCAAACCATTTTTATTTGAGAATTCATTAAATAACAATAGTCAGTCCAAGTCACTGTCTTGGGGGGAAGGTATGGGTTAATCAGGGTAAACTATATGATCAAAATCTTTTAAGAATGAGAGACCTATGGTTTCTGTTAGCACTTGAACTTAGTTGCAATTTGTGTTTTGTTCCAGCACATCTCCCCACCAAAGAAAAATGGTTTGAAACAACCTTTAAATTAAGATTGTGACCTAGTTATCAAATCCAATGTCTTTTCCCATAACCCTGAACATTGTTTGTCTTCTGGCATTCTATTCTATTAAATTAATTGAGGCAGTGTTGTATAGAGTGTCAAAGTACTTAGCACTGTTTGGTAGTAGACTCTCCAAGAAAAGGTGGGAGAGGCATTTTCTCTTTCATGATAAAGATTCGTGTTGGACTTCCTTTTCTTCCTTCATCACTGTGAGCATTTCTGTTTATGGTTTAATCCACCATTGTCTATTTTTAAATCATAGTATATTAATCAAATCAGTACATCCATTTACTGTCATCTTGATATATTTGTTAGTTGTAGCCAATTCTACTTAAGTGCCTTGTTGAAGCCTTTTGCCTCTTCTCAATCCAGATTCCTCTTCCTGAATTGATTTTTTTTAAGTTAATGGCAAGATTATTTTTCTAGTCACCAAGGTTCAGAATACTGAAGATATCTTTTACTATCTTAATTTGACACTTATTTTTGGTGTGGTAAAGTTTAAACCATAGCAGTCTTGATATTCTTCTTCAGTTTCTGTATTATCTGTCACTTTTACATTAAAAATATACTAGTTTTAGAATCCAAAATAAATTTATTTTCATTTTGAAAAAATGAAGACAAATACAATTTTTCAGTTTTACTTTGACAATACAATAAAATACTTTAGCTGTAATTACAGAAATATTAGTACAATAAAATTATATTTTATCTATAATTACATAAATATTAGTATAATATATTGTAATTTTGTCAGTATGTAACAATATAAAATATTCAATATATTTTAAATATATTTTGTTATAGAGAAAATATTAAATTTAGTAACAGTAAGTTACATTTGTAACAAAAATCTTTGTAAGTTAGCTATAAAATTCAAATTTAAACATTACTTTTATAAATAAATTAATAATGTTAATCTTGCAGAAACAAAGAACTCTGAGAAATTGGTTGTTTTATCACACTGTGAGATTGCAGCCCCAAATTTAAAAGAAACAAGTTTCTCATATTTTGTCTAGAGGTTAAATCTCCATAACTTCATAAATATCTAGAAAATAATGCACATGAGCTGTATTTTCCTGCTTATTCTTAGAAGTATGATTTAACAATTGTTCATATGGCTTCATTGGAATTTAAGGCTTAAGCATCATATGTCTTCCTCAGAGGTTAAATACTGTTCAGAGGGCAAGAGGAGATAAAGGCTTGGGGACAAGTAAGGGCCAGTCATTTGGCATTAGCACCAGGTTTTAGTAGGAGTAAAAGTATATTACCTTAAAGTCACCTGTGAGTTTGGACTTTAAAACAGGCAAAGCTGTAACTGTTGTGGCCAGTTCCTGAGTGTTTGTCTAAAGCACCTTTTCTCAGTCTCTAGGATGCATCAGAATAATGAGGGAGGCTTGGACTTCTGGCCTCTACCTGCACAGTTTCTAATTTTCCAAGTCTAGAGTGGGCTAGAATTTGCATTTGTAATAAGTTCCCAGATGATGCTGATGCTACCAGTCCAGGAACCACATTTTTGAAAACCACTGGACCGTGGAGTTCAGCTAGTCCTCTTGGTCACTGCAGTACAGTTCAGACAGTAGGATATTTTTAGAACAGGAAGATCTTAGTCTTAGGTGAATATAAGTACATAATTTAAATAGAATGTCGCATGTCTTAGGATGTAAAAATGGCTTGACAGCAATCTTGTGAGCAGCAAAGAATGTAAACCATGTCTGTGCTCGTGGATCACATTTTCCCTTACAAAACAATTGAGATAGGAGCAATAGTCTTATCAGCACCACCAATTCCACCTCAGTGGATTAAAAGACATCTTCAAAGCTTTGCTTCATGATGCCTGGCCTCTAAGACTCATCGAATAGAACGATCATCATGTATAAAGGATGTTTTAAATGTCTGTAGATCTTTGTTTTCTTAATTTTGTTCAGACCTTAGCTTCTTCAGTGCCTAGGAGAATATAAAGGTCTTGGACTTTCCCTTAGCAGAGTTCTTATTTTTTTTTTAAACTTTTACTCAGGCCTGCCAAATCATGATGGTGAAATATAAAAATAGTGATAAAGGAAGAAAAAGGTGGGGGATGGGGAGTGGAGAGCCAACTCATATACATGACGTTCTCTTTGTTTGTTGGTTTTGGTGCTGGGATTCAAATATAGGGTCTTCCACATGCTAAGGACATGCTGTACCACTAAGCTACAACCCCAGACCCTATATGAGATTCTTAATAGAAGCAGTAAGGAGCCTTTCTGAGATATTAGATCAGAAACAAAATCCACCCTCCAGTCTCTCCATAACTTAATATAGTGCCTGTGATATAGCTTGGTGCTGAAGAAAATTATTAAGTTAAATTAAGTAAATTTGGGAATGGATCAACACACTTAAAAACAAGTTTTAGGACATATAGCTGCCCGGTTATGCATTCATACATTAAGGTTTTTACACAGTGGTCTCTTTCAACCACTGTGTTGAAAAAATATATGACATAAAAACATGGTTTTTTTTTTTTCAAACCAAGAATTAGAAAAGTAACAAAGGAACAAGTCTGTAAAACCAAGTAATCAAATATTTAGATCAGAAGAAATGTTCTGAGCCAGATAAGCCAACAAATGCTTTACATTCTTTCATGGGTTATTAAACTACTGTACCCAGTTAAAAAAGGTATGCACCAGCATTTATATGAATGGGGATAAAGTGCATATCTAATCAGTAGTGTCCTCGTAATGTTTTCAGGTGCATTGGAAATGAGAGGTTTAGTTAGATTTCTAAGTGTGTGTATAGCAACATCCTATTACGATAATTCAGTAAACCTTTTAACCACTTTGAGTACTAGGCAGACTATATTGATGAAGTGAAACAAATTCAATACAAATAAAAACCTTCAAAGAAATATAAAACAAAGCCATACACTGTTTCCAGGGTTATTATGGCTCCAGCTGGGCAACCTCCTTTTGACTTTAGTTTTGGTTGTAGAAGATCCACGAACATCAGTTTTAATTCTAGTCCCTCAGGCCTTGGGCTACTCAATAGGTCTGACAGTCCAGTTCTAGTCATTGTTCTCCAGTGTTCTAAATGCCCTTTCTCTATCTGAGAAAGTTTCAGGAAGGATGTAGTAGGGCAATCTGTGACTGACTGAGCCTCCCCATGTCTTAAAGACTAGAAGAAAGAGGACAAATGTCAGAATCCATGAACCAAATATCTTGTAGCTTGTAGCAGTCAAGTTTTATACAATCACCATGTAGATAGTATTTTGGATACAAGTAATTTCAGCAGTATTTTGAGAAAAGTTGTTGCCTTGCCACAGAGAAATTTGAAACAGCACAGATTTGGAGAACATAAACACAGAACTATCTTGAAAGAAATGCTTTCTTCTGTGGTACAAACTGAAATTTTGTATACCAAGCTTTCGTAGAATAACATTGTATGGTTAGAAAAAAGTGCCTAAATAAATGCATTTTTCTGAGCCATTACTTTGTTATCTAGGAGAAAAAAAATGACAGTTTTATTTCCTTTTATTTCTTCATTGTCTTTTCTTCATGCACACCTGACAGCGACTTACTATATTTTCTAGCTCTCCAGCTTTCACAGTTGATGGAGTAGGTTTTCTGAAATAAAAATACATACATTAATTTACAGATGAAAATGGAATACTTACTGGGTTTGAATTTTATTAGTAAATGTTATAGTTGTAAATTTTATCATAACATATTTCTTTATGGTAGAGGTGAATTTCTAAAAAGTATATATATATAGCAACAATTTATATAATTTTAGTTGTTTTTTAGCAGCACTCAGAAAATTTAGGTCTTGATGCAAACTTACAGATCATCATTTTTTTGTAAACCCACACTTTAAGTAATCTGTTATTTACACGTGTTCCAATACATTACTTTGATTACCCTATCCTTTAGTGGTTTTATTTGGTGATTTACTATAAATTCATATATAAATATTAAGTATGCTTAGTGATGGCAAGAATCATCTATTTTATCTTTACTGGTACAGTAGTACAAAACTGTTGCTTGGTGACTTCAGAATGCTTATAAACTGGGAGCACTGAGCATGGGAGGGAGGATTAAGTGTTACTACATCACCAATGAGATAACTAACACAGGCAACCTTTAAGTAGGTCTGCAGTCGAATCATCAGATTAAACTTAATACTGAATAGTTACCTGAACATTCTCTCTGGATTTAATGAAGCCAACCAGAAACTGTAGGAATTTGAATAGTAGTTGCATGTTCCTCTTCCGTGACATTCTACAAATGGATTGGCTCGGAATTCCTCCAAGCAGGAGCCGGGGGATGCCAGTGCTTGCCCAGAGCCCTCAGAACCTGCACTTGTGAACTATCACAATAAAAACACCTCAGTAAAACTCTGTTGGTGTTCAAATGTTCAGTTCTTTACTTGTTTGGGGTGGGAGGCAGCATAAGACAATAGGAAAAGAGAAAAAAGTGCCAATTAAGCCTGTATTTTCTTATCCAGATTTGCTAATACTCCAGGCCTCTTCAGAACAAGGTGTAGTCATGAAAAAGAAAGTAAAGGCCATTCTTTCTGCCTGGAATGCTGCACAGATTTAAGTCTTTCCAGTCCTTCCAGCATCTGCTAGTATATCACCTAGAAAGGCTTTCCTTGACCTCATCCCCATCCCAGCCTCTCACCTCACCTTGCCTTTTTACTTCGTAGTACGTCTCACCAACTGGACTCTTGTTACTGTTGCTATTATTTTGTATTCTTGCCTGTCATCTACCTTCATCACTGGCGGATAAGCTCTGTGAGAGCAAGAGCTTTCATTCCTGGTATCCTTAGTGACTGTTCTAGAACAGTCATGACATGGTAGGTGTTCAATAAATATTTTTGAAGTTATTAAGAATGGACAACTAAATAGAGTAGAGAGAGTAATGTAAAATAAACAGTGCTATACAGGATTCAAATATGCATAGTCACATTTATGCAGCTGTCAGTATTGCAGACGATCAGTCCGTGGACTTCATTGATTACTTATAACTGGAAGATGGTTCTGTGAGGGGCCATTTCTCCTCACTTTCATCTTCATAGGAACATCACAGTGACACAAAACAAGGCACAGAGATTTTGGAGCACGTAGACCTAGGTTCAGATCCTAGCTTTGCCACTTGATAGTTGTGATACCTTGAGGAAATTACTTCCTCTCGGGGATTTCATAAGCATTATAGAGGATAGATATAAAGAAACTGCCACAACAAAGGGCATTCCATTACCAATAAGTGGTAGCTACTAATCACCTACATGTCACGATTTCTCCTCCTGAGAAGTCTTATTTTCTTTTTTTTAGTTTCATTGTTCACTAAAAGCAACAGTTTTAAGGTATGCTTGCATATTGACAAATATCCGTGACAGGTTGTACATTATTGTCAGACAGACTCAATCTTGACCACATTTTACCCATCACAATATTAGATTTCATAGGTAATCTTTACTGTAAATATGCTGTTCTTTTTCACCTTACCATGATAAAAGAAAATCCTTTCCAGAGGGAAATCCAGCCATGGGGACATGGGGGAATGGAGGTGGTTTGGCTGTGAACAGCTATAGCCATCGCAGGACCTTCACAGACAGTGCATCTATAATATGAAACAAACAGTATGGTGGCACCATCACATTCTGCCCTGTTCCTTTCCTTACACATGACATGATTCACTTGGTCCCATTACAAAACCAAGGGACTAGATCTTTACCTGCTAATGTAAGGCTCCAGAGCCCTGCCAGTAATTGGAGCCATGTCCATAGGCATCAGAGCTGGTGTTGACAACCAGTATGAATAATCATTTCGAGATGCAAAATTACATACATTATTGATGTTACAGAATAAGAATGGCATTGTGGTAAATCGCTGCAGGCAGCTGCCAAGAGTTCCTAATAAAACATGACACTGAATATCATCTGTAGTACATTAAAGTTATTTTGAATATCATTATGAAGTAGAGATCAATTAACACATAACTTGTGACAAACCTGGACAAAGACAACACAAAAGAGTTATTTGCAAAATACGGTGTTGAAGAGTTTTAGTAATGATAGAAATCAGAGTCCCAATGGGCAAACAAACCCTTTTTCTCCAGTTAATGCTTCCTGTAGTCTTTTCTAAGCAGTCTACAACTTGGGGGAGGTGTAGTTCAGTTGAAACAGTTTCTTTGCTTCAAATATTCCTAGTTATTCATAATAGCTAACAACCAAATAAAGCTTTAGAAAAGATAATTTGTAATTAAAAATAAGACAGGTGGTTTAAGTGAAAAATGTTTGCATTGAAAAGGATGGGCTCAATTCCCTCTAGTGTTTTATATTTAAAATGTGCTGGAAGATACTCAAGGTTGTTTACAGTTACCCTCAGAGGAAACACCCCATTCTATAAAAATTCACAATCTGCATATGAAACAAAATGTCTGAAAACTAGGATTGGAACATTACCAAGATCTTGTCCATGGGCTTGTTCATTTCCTTGTACAAAGAGAAGAGAAAACCCATTATAGAGTGGCTCTGTCCCTTCTGGACATGAAGGAGTTTTTGTTGTCTGACTATGTCGGGTGAAGACAAAACCTCCCATTTTCATCCCAGTTGCAGGTGATCCCATGTCTCCTGGTTTTCCCTTCAAACCTGGCAATCCATCTGATCCCGGTGGTCCTTTAAAAATCACATTTATATCATGTGGAAGGTAGATCCAATACAAATACAAGCATTACCATATGTACATATAAATATATACAGAATATATTTCCAGAAGTGAGATTTAGAGGAGACTGAGGGAGGAGGAAAAGAAGGAAAGAATGGTACTGAGTGAAATAACATCATATCTGTGTAGTAAGAAGACACAATGGAACACACTGAAAACTGAGAGTAGTGGAGGAAGTTAGACTGGTTTAAGCACAGTATATTTATGGATAAAATACCAAGGCAAGATCCCCACTGAAAAATGAACAGATACCTAAACAATGAAGGGTATGAATTTAAAACAGGTTATGTTAAGGGGAGGGGACTAGTAGAAGGAGGAGGGTAAATGAAGAGAGTAAAGGAAGATGAATATGGGCGATGTACTTTCTATATATGTATGAATATAGAACATTGAAACCTGTTGAAGTCACCTTAAGAGGGGAATGGAGTAGGAGGGAGAATAGTGAAGAGGATAAACCTGTTTGGGGTATAATACATGTATATACAAAAATGTCACAGCAAACCTCCCTGTATAACTATCATATGCTAACTTTTTTTTTTAAGGAAGAACAAGAAGGTAAAACAGTTGCTGCCTGGGGAGTGGGTGCTGGGGTAGGGAAGGGTGAAGGAGGGTGAATATGGTGGATGTGTTTTGTATTCATATATGAAAACAGAACAATGAAACCTGTTGAACGTGCTCTAAGAAAAGGGTATAGAGGGGCATGAGGGAGAAGGATGGAGGGGTAAATCTAATTAAGGTAATGTAAGACCATGTGTCAATGTCACAATGTATCCCCCTTTACAACTATAATATGTTAATGAAAATCATGAATCACATTATAAATGTTGCAACAAGAACAGAATCTTAAACTTTTCCATAGTGCTAATTTAAATGCTTTTACATATTTAGTTAAGCTTCAGATATAGAAAGGAAATCTAGAGATTTCCTTTTAAAGTAGCCTATAAAATGACCAAATAATATTAAATGGTAACCAGTTTATCCCAGGGTGCCTCTTACTACAGATATGTATGTGCATCTAATGAGTTTTTTGAGATCAAGTCTTTATCTTTGAATTCCCCTGTCATGCTTAGCACAGTGGCCTGCATTTGGTAGATCTCATGTATGTCTTTTATGAATAAGTGAATGGATTGTCCTACAGTGTGTGTGTGTAGGGGGGTGGTGAAATCAAATACCTACTACTTGAAAGTCTGTTCAAATAGATAATAAAAATCACTAATGCCTTTGATAATTCAGTAAATAATCATGGAAAACACAGTTCTTTTTAAAAGTGCAAACTTAAAGGACATTTTTATCAATTAGTAATCAAATAAGAACAGAAAAGACATTTTTTACAGTAATAAGGGTTAGTTTCTTTTAGTAATATGCGTTTAAAATAAAGTAAGTGATTTTTATACTTTTTTTTCTCTGTAGTTGGAGTTTGCTAATCCACATTTGTCACTTTCTAAATAAGGATTAGTGAATTATCCTTTCCCCCCTCTTCGTGTCCTTCCCTCTCTTTTTCATTATCAAATTGTGTTGCTTCTGATACTGGCACTTGCCACACCTCCTCACTCCTATCCATTTCCATTGCCTCCTTACCTGACACATTCTTTGCTTTTCCTAACCCTGTTATTCACAGGGAGCTATAATTCCAGTCTCTGCACAGGAATGGTAATATGATTAGGAAAGCAGGACAGTAACTGGAAGTAAACTTGTATGGTAATGTGTGCTGTTCAAGGAAGGGAGACCAAGCCTGTCAGTTAATGCCAATGCAATCTGAATCTTGGATCCCTTTATTATTATTATGATGCTTCCATGGCATCGGACTATGTCTACTTGCTAATAATTCTCAACATAACTTGTAGTGTACTTGTTAATGTTGTTGCATTAAACTGAAACCCAGCCTTGGTCATTAAAGTTTATAAATTAATAGTATTATTGATACGAGCTTTATTTTTTACTTTTTTGAAAACATAGGAAGGAAAGGCAAATGATTAGTAGTCTCCAATGTGCACTCATGACAATACTAAATCAAAACTATGCAGTTAATCTCACTAATATAGCATCATATTCAAATTTTTAAAGATTTAAGTTTCAGGACATTCATTATTATAGTATATTTGGGCATATAAGTCAGTAAACTGGAAAAATCACATTTTGATGTTTTTCTTATTTTAACATTTTCTTTGTTAAAATAAGAAATAATCTTATAAATGATAAGATTTGATCATTTAGATATTTTCCAGAGGAGAGTTGTGAAACTTTTGCAGAAGGTAGATTTAGATCCAGGTATTAAACTGGCAAATATAGCTTCTATTTGCAATAAAGCATTATATTTAAGAGATACCTTTCCAGAGCACACACATAAATCGTTGAGTTATAGTCAAGAATTTCATAGTTAAAAGATGGCTTTCTTAAATAAGGAAACTATATTGTTCTAGTCATATCAAGGTAGTGTTTTTCTAACTATAAACTGTATGCCACTCTTATAAATAGTTATTAACTAACAACTCCTGTAAGAATTAAAAACAGTATTGAACTTTCTGAGTTCATAGAACAGAACTCAGAATAGAACACCCACTAGTACTTTATTAGTTCTATTTTTCCTCAGCCTAAGATGTGCATCAGGCTAAAAATTTGGAGTACATCTGCCAAAAGTAGGAAGAATAGTGTTTTCCAGTAATTCTTGACTTCTCATATTTGTCAAAATTAACGTTTAGCCCTGGCCTTTGTTCTAATCTGAATAATACAAACTGAAAGACCTAGATTACTCTTGTAATCACACACCCAAATAAGACTTCCCTGTGTATTGAAACAGCACTGCTTCAGCCAACAAAACAAGCTGAGTATTTGTTTACCTTGACCTCCTTTAGATCCTTTGTTGCCTTTTTCTCCAACTGTTCCAGGATTTCCTGGTTTCCCATCTTTGCCTGGTTTACCACTTGGTCCACAGGATCCTAGGCAAAAACAAACACCATATTGCATTTCATCATATTAAGATGAAAGGTAAGGTGACCAACCATCTCAGTTAACTTGGACTTCCCAGTTTCAGCAATGAAAGTCCTGTATCCCTGGAAGACTCTCAGACCTAAGCAAATTAAAATGGTTGTTCACCCAACATGTTACCTCCACTTCCCCCCAAAAAGACCTATAAAGAGCTGGAGATACGGTTCAAGTAGTATAGCACTTGCCTAGCAACTGCAAGACCCTAAGTTCAAACCCTCTACCCTAAAAAAACACAGTGGATTACGATTGTTCTGCCCTTTAAATTTGCTCCACTCCAGAATTCACTAGGCCCACATATTTACCAAACTAGTAAGTTATATCTCTCTCACCTCCCATATGATGCAGACAAACTTAGAGTACAGTAGTTCCATTCCGAAGTTCATTACACTGTGCTAAACCTATATAATGGGGTTAGCACGGTGGGGTTATGTTCAGCTCCCAAACACCAATATTTTGAAAAGATTTTGAAGTCATTTTTCTAACACTTAGCTGTAGAAAGTGTTAGAAAAGTTGTACTTTGCTATATGAAAGTTTTACTTTTGTTGGAAAAGTGTTGATGCTGGAGGTGTGGCTCCAGCACTAGAGTACTGGCCTAGCAAGCATGAAGACCTCAGTTCAGGCCTGAGTACCACCAAAAGAAAAAAAAAAGTGTTAGAAAAGTTTTATTGTGTTGTACAACGTGTTAGAAAAATTCAAATTCACAGAACCTGGGTATAATTAAGCAATCATTTAGACCTTGAACTCCAAAGATTGACAACTGTCAGAGCAGATAGCCATATCTTCACCTTAATTAAAAAAAAAAAAAGCACCCTAAAGTATATTTGTTTTAGTTTCTATTGTATGCTAGCTTTCAATAGATTCCAAGACCTTTTATTTCCTGGTCCAGGGTAAATGAGCTCAATCTTAAATTGATTATAAAAACTATTACAATGTTTAATGTTTTCTGTGAAGTATCATTTGCTTCCAAAGTGCTTTACAGGTTATCTTGATTTAACCATTTCATAGAGATCCAAGTCAGTGTTGCCAGGGCCACACCTGGGTTTCCTGGTGGCCCCAGTGGCCCAGGTTCTCCTTGCATCCCTAGTTGTCCAGGTGGGCCAGGTGGCCCTGGGCTCCCTGGAAGGGAGATGATCTTAAGTGTGCCAGGGTCTCCACGTACACCTGTTGACATAAGCATAAGAAGAAGTTGGTTTCATGGATGAGTTACACCTTCTACCTAGAAAACAATAGTAAGGAAATATATTTACCAGGTGGTCCTTTTGGCCCAACTGGCCCTGGAGGTCCATTTGGTCCTAGAAATCCTGGATTACCTTTCTCTCCTTTAAATAATAAAAAAGAAAAAGCAGTATTATTCCACTTAGAACAATGGATTTCCTACTTCAGATTGATAATCAACTCTAAAGCTCAGTATTAGAAGTTATTTTCAGAATTTTGTTTGTATATAATGGTTCATGTTTAGTCAGTCTATAAAAATATACCCAAGAAGTAGGTATTAGGAACTTGTATTTTAGCCAGGCATGGTATTGCACTCCTGTCATCCCAGCCCTTGCGAATCTAAGGCAGGAGGATCATAAGTTTGAGACCAGCCTAGGCTACATAGTGAGACCCTGTCTCAATATAAATAAGAAGTTATACATCAACAGGGAAATGTTCCTAAGAATTCATTTTTTGAGTTTGGGAACCAATCCAATTTAACATTTAAGGAAGAAATCTAAAGTCACATTAAAGTCTATATTAAAGCTGGGTGTGGTGGTATACACCTGTGATTCCAGCACTCAGGAAACTGAGTCAGGAGGATATCTAGTTAGAGAGTACCCTAGGATGCACAGCAAGACCTGTCTCAAAAAGAAAAAGATGTAAAACTTACAGAGGTTAAGATTTCTCTTATAATCTTTTACACAAATGAAAATAATGTTACAAAAAGACATTTATCTGAAGAAATACGCTTTTTAAAAAATATACCTGCTTACTTAGACTTTACTAATAAATATATTAAATGGAAGAAACAATAAAATAATTTAGTACCAAAATTAATTAATAGTACACTAGAAGTTATCCACTTGATAAGAGAACTTGAGGAAAGTGTTAATATTTATATATTAATATAAACTAGAAGTCTAAATGTTTTTGTTTAGTGATTAAAATTTTCCTAAATATAAGAGCTAATCATTAATTCCAGCTGATGGCCTTACCTGAAATCTAAGAAAGTAAATGAATATGTTTAAAAAGATCTATTTTTAAGAATCTCTCCTCCGGTTACCTAAGTAGTCACCATGATGTGTTCTTTTTTTTTTTTTTCATGATGTGTCCTTTAGTGGAACTTTTTTATATAGCTTTCAAATCTAAGATATTTTTATTCTGAGACTTGAGGAAGTGATGGTGTTACAAACTTTGCTCAGGCTCCTCCCCAATATTCACCACTCAGAATCACTCACTGTGGTTTTGCTTTAGCTATTTTTCTCCTTAAAGGGTTGGTGGCTGAGGGTGCTGAAATAGACCTTTTAAAAACCCATCTTGTCCTCCCTTGAACCTAGAAAAAGTTTTCCTTCATGAAAATGTGGCTTTGTTCGCATTGGATACACTCATTATTTAGCATATTTATAGGCTATGCTAAGAGAGTCCTGGCCCTATAGAATCCTTTCTAGAGGAATTAACCAGCTAAGACAATGAATCAAATATTCAAAACCTTATTTAACATCCTAGTGGACTTTTAAGATTAAGAACATAGGAGCTTGGGATTTAACTCAATAGTAGATTGCTTACCTAGCATGTGTGAGGTCCTGGGTTTGGTTTCCATCAAGAAAAAAACACATGTGTGTTTATGTATATGTGTGTGTGTGCCTTGTAAAAACACAAATGCATGAAAATCACTTTATCCCCACTAACAGTCTGGTGGCTGCTCTTTTGGGTTTTTCAACATTGAAATTTATGAAAGTAATAAATGCACATGGTAAAGTAAACAACAAAATATTGATGTAGTTCTCCATCCTCATTCCAACGCATATCACTATTCTCAAAGAAAATACTTTCAACTGTTTCTGTTTTTAATTTTTCTGTAGTTTACATCCTTAAGTTACAGTTTTAATTTCTAAGCCCCATGGGATTGGGTGCTGGTGTAGTCTCCCTTTTTACTCACTTTGAGATCCTATTTGTAATAACCCCTGCTGACTATGGTATCTATAGGAGCTCGGCAAACATTTTCATGCTCTAAAATATGATTTGCAGTTATTGTACTTGTGTGAAAACAGCAGTGCAGAAAAACAGTACCTCTCATGCCTGGAAATCCATGGAATCCAGGATCGCCTCTGAGCCCTGGGAGACCTGGGGCACCTGGTGCTCCCTGTACATCAAAGAAAGGGGAACAGAACCACAGACAAAATTTAAAATGTCTGTACTTTTGGCAGTTTCTTTGAACGCAAAAAGGATATAACTTTATGTTGGATGAGAATGAGGTGAAGTTGATGGGCATCATTTTTTTCTTTTATTCCAAGTTTTACTTGCATATAGCTCCTCTGCCACCTGGTCCTCTCATTAGCATTATTATTTAAAAAAAGAAATTAAAACTGCTGTAAAATCCAATAGCAATCTAAACTTCTAATGTGAGTATATGTTGATTTAATATTGAATACACTTAGATAGATATTCTGTATCCTAAATGGAACTGCTTAGTATTTGGGAACTTTCAGGAAGACTAAATGCCAGACTGCCAGAATAAAAATTATCTATGATTATAATTCTTGCAAAAAAAATGGAGCCATTGTTGAATCATAGCATTCAAGCATAATTCTGCTAAGCCTGCAGAGTTATAAAATACTTTTGATGAGGGTGGTAGGAGAAGTAAGGTGTCCAGGGATGGGAATGTAAAGAGTTGGAGGGAAAGAGGTTTTGACGGCACATTTGGTAAGGACACAATGATCTTACTGAAATGGAGGTGCTCTCTTCTTGTGAGGCCCACACTCAGTTGCTCTTGGAGGTATGAGATACTCAAAGAAGGCCGTATAAGGAAAGAGGGAGCAAGGCTTCTGGAAAGAGCTATATTTAAATCTATTTTCATACTATCCATAGTAACCGAAACAGACTGCTATGACTGAAAACAATAAGCTACAGGCCATGGAAAAAAAGAAAAAGCAAGAATGACAACTTCCCTTTGAGCTAGCTGTCTTTAGAGGATGAAGGTCAAAGAATAGTCCTGCTGAGATGAGGTGGTGTGAGGTTAAAAAATGAGGGTGGGGAAAGAGAACCATCCAACCCAGAGTTTTCTGGTTTCTGGTATCTGCCTATTCTCTTGAACCAAAGGTAACTAAGGAGGGCCTTGTGCCATATCCAGCCCCTGGGTGCAGAGGAAGTTGCTCTGTGCAAAGGAGAGAGCTGTTAAGGGCAAGTCAAGACACCTATCAAGAGGAATATCAACTGCAAATGTAGAAGCTTAGGACCATGAAGACACCAGAGGACCAAAGTGAGATCCTGTTTACAAACCAGTCTTTCTCCCAGTACCCCTGGAAGAACTTTAGATGTGATCACAAAATCTATGCTGTCAACTTCTGAAACATTGCAGAGCACATGAGAGACATTATAGACTGGAGATGGACAGATACCTCATTTAATTTTTTTTAGGGCTGGGGGTATGACTGAAGCAGTAGAGCACCTGCCAGCGAGCATGAATCCCTGAGTTCAAACCCCAGTACCACCAAAACAAGACTTTTTAAAAAAAAAGTAAATTCTTAAAACCATATACTGAATGAACTGAAGAGAGCTTAACATAATTCCTGTTAATAGACATGCCAAAACACATCTGTATTCACCACTGAAGACAGTTATATCATAAACGTTCTGTCTTTTCATGTGAATTGTGAAAGTCCAGATCTCTCTACCATATTCTTTTTTTTTTTTTTTTTTTTTTGTGGTCAAAATTTGGCTGCTGCATAGAGCAACCAGGATAGATTAAAAAACTTGGTGAATGGCCAGATCAAAAGGCAGTTCATTATGGGATTAATTCCAATTTGTAGAGAGGACTCTGGGTATACAGGGGTGATTTGTAATTGTTACTCGAATAAACACATGTCCTGTTTCCTAGTCTGGAAAACAAGACTTCCATGACCTGATCTTTGCTTGTCCCTCCATCCTCCTCCTGCCTGATGTGTACTCATTCCCACCTCAGCCTCCAGTTGTGTCACTCCCATATGCATCATCTTTGCTTGGAAAGCTCCTTTTCTCCCTTGCCAGCTTTTCTTGTTTTCTCCCTTGACAGCTTTTCTTGTTTTCCTGGATAATATCTATGCATCTTTCAAAACACAGGCCCCAAGAAAACCTTCATGAGCATAGAAGAAATAGATACCTGTCCTCTGTGTTCCCTTCACCCTCCTGCCATTCCTCTTAGCAAATGGCATGAAAATGATCCATCTTTGTGTCACCTTCACCTTCTTGTAGGTTCCTTCAGGGCAAGGGACTATATACATTTTTATTCGTTTATCCATTGGTACAAAGTAGACACTCAATAATGATTGTTGAAACCGTACTCATCTACTGAACACACCTCCAAGAGTTTGACATAAATAGAGAAATTAACTTATATATGCCACCCAGAGAACATGGGGAAGGTGGTGGAGGTGTTACAGAAGAGACGTAGAATTAAGGAGTCTTAGGCTGGGAGCCTGGGCCTAAGTGAACATCGTTTAGGGCAAATCTAAATTCTTAGCTGCTTTTTCTCCCCCACAGGAATTGTTCAGAATCTAAATAAGCAAGGAGAACGAATGCTGTAGAGGTTAGTTCCATACAGACCAAAGTTTTACAGGCCAAATCTTTACAAGTTAAGATTCTTTGATTTCCTGACCACCTGGGCTGTGTGTGCCCATAGGCACACACTGCACAGATGCATCATAGGTGGTGAACCTGTGCCTCCCCCAGGTACATCTGATGGTAGCAATCATTTAATAAGAATGTACTACTCCCTTATGCTCATAAAAATCAAGTATTGGAGTAGAAGTGTGGCTCAAGCACTAGTCCACCTGCCTAGTAAGTTGCAGACGTCCAGAGTTCAAATCCCAGTACCAAAAAAAAGCAAGTATTAATAATACTGGCAGTATAAAATATAATTACTGTATAACAAAAATAAGTCAATGTTGTTTTAAGAAGTTGAAGTAATTTCCCACACTCACCGGATGACCTGGTGGCCCCATGTCTCCTACAGTTCCAGGTGGACCTTTTGAGCCAGGTTGGCCCATCAATCCTTTGTCACCTTTTATGCCTTTTGCATGACTTCCTGGAGGTCCAGGGAGACCTGGCTCACCTGAATTCACAAAGAGCCTGTCAGTGTTGAATAAGTGATTGGGAAGAGTTATGTTAGGGATTGTGTCAAGTAAAGTGCAAGTCCTGCATCTTATTATGGCCTCTGACATCCTGTCCCTTGCTGTGTGTGATGGGACCGTAGCGAAGACAATGAGATAATGCCAGCCAGGAAAGTACCTGGTCCAGCTGCTTCTCCCTGAGGAGCGTTTGTTACAGCAGGGTTTGAGCCTGATGCATAGAGAAGTTCAATAAGTGTAGGTCTCTTTCTTTAGCATCATTAGTTGTATCTACAAATCTTTCAAACAGACTGCTCTGCCTCAAAACCACCAACAGCCTACCCGACTCCATGTGAGGATAGTGGGTATAGGAGGAATGGAGAAGACCAGAAGCCAAAAGAAGCAAGAGAGGTAACATGAGAAAGAGGAAAATTTCTGATTTCAATGTGACTTTCATTTTCTCAGTTAAAAGTAAAATATTTACCTGGATTTCCTTTTAAACCAGGTACACCTCGATTTCCTTTTTGGCCAGGGATGATTGCCCCAGGCAGACCTGGTGGCCCTAGGAGTCCTATTATTCCTGTAGGTCCTTGAGGCCCAGCATCTCCCATTGTCCCCTTCCTGCCCGGGAGGCCAGGCCAGCCAGGGACTCCCCTTTCTCCTTTGGCACCTGCAAAAAAGAAAGCTCTCTAAGTTTCATTCATGTTCTTATAGTTGGAATTACAGTTTGTTGTTATCTTAAATAATGTTTGCATTTTTCTTGAAAATGCTTAAGCTTCACAATATATTTTTTAAAGAAGATGGAAAATGAAATACAGGTCTATGGTTCTTTAGCCACTGATCTTGGCAGCGTCTGTTGTCTTATTTTAAAAGTTAAGTGTATCTGTCTTATCTCAGTTCCTTATGTGATGCACATACAGACACAAGGCATGGTATAAACTCTATTTATTGAAGTACTGCGGCTTGAACCTAGGGCCTCACACTTGGTAAGCAGATGCTCTACCACATGAGCCTTACAGTATAAACTCTAAAGTGTTAAGTGAGCCACAATTGTTATCTAATGAACTTTATTTTTAATGAAATTATTTAGTTACCAATAATTCAATAGACTATTAAAGTTAAACTTCATGGCATTGATGTATGCATTAGAGATGTTGCTCAGCTAGACCCGGAAAACAGGAGCAACAAAGTTAACAATCCTTATTCTGTCTTCTAGTTAATTTTTCCCCATAGTGGAAAGACTTAGACTGGGGGGGATAAATGTTCAAGAGGTTTGAATTTATCAAAGAAGACCACCCAAAAGATCAAAACTTAATACTAGTTACTATTTTTTTGTCTCAAAAAACCTTTGAGAAATTGTGATTTAACAGTCATGGATGAAAAACATATGAACTGAACACAATTCCTCTTCCCATTATTCTTGAGAGAGTAAGTAGTATGGAAATAGGCAAATGTGAGGAAGAAAGGGGAAAGTGAGGGTGAGGCTGGTGCTTCAGAGAAAGGCAAAGACTTTCAGTGATGATGAAAATCAAATTGATGAATGTTTAGTCTGGTGTCTATTCATGTCCTTTGGCCTTTTAATGCCTATAATAATTTATGCTGTTAAAAGACAGTGTTTGGATGACTTTAGCTCACTTCAAGCTCCATAATGCTGTCTTTGCATGGTAATGATCTGAAGCACCACAATGTCTTGGGTTATATATTCTGTGTTTAGTAAAATGATTCCTTGTTCTGCAATATGACTTCACCTAAGGATTCAGAAGAATAAACTAAACAACTCATACCTTCCAACTCTCAATGAATTCTTAGTTATCCTGGAAGGATTGAGGCATGTGGTCATGTACTTACATAGTTAGGTTATTTGTTATTGTGGAGCCTTTTTTGCCTAAGACAGGATCATTTTATATTAAATTTTATTTGCAACTGAATGCAAATAGTGTTTTCATTCTAAAAGATTACATTAGCCTAAGAATATGAACAGAAACTCTCCTTTTGCCCATGATTCTAAAACTAGACAGTGGGACAGGGAAAGTCTTCATGCTCATCTGGAAAGAGGGTTCTGGAATATATGGGAACATTGAGCTCAAAGGAAAGGGCAATCAAGTGAAAGAGGGACTATTTGAAGGGGAAACCAGTGCAAGGGGTGATGAGGGTAAATATGATGAAAGTATTTTATATGCACATATGGCAATATCACAGTAACTCCATTATGTCATTTTAATAATTAATTTAAAAAATCATTAAGTAGCAAACGAAAAAGAGCAGCATTTGTCTACTTTCATACTTTAACTGTTTGGTCAAGAGGCAGTTTCTGTCCAGATGAATTTCTTATTAGCAACAGGCTACTTTTTGCTGGTTGTCATGGCATGAATAACTGCATTCTTTGGTAATGAAATACACCCATGCATAGGACCCATGGTGGAAAAGGGTCATGAAAAGATGCAAACCTTCTGATAGTTCCCTTGACAGATTTCTCTACACAAGGGAAATGAGTTAAAAGAAGTTGCTTATCATGTAATACTCTGGCATGAGAAATGTAGACTTGTAGTCTGTCAAACAAAACAATTTATATACTTGTAGTAAACATGTTCAGTAAATCGCCATGCCTGAGATGTTGAGAGTTATTGGATAGTCCATGCTAATAAACAATAGCATGAACCACAAAGCTTAGTGTGGGTGTTGGAGTCTGACCTTTGAGGACAGCAAGGTGGGAAAAGGGTTGGTGTTACTGTTGTGTCTTGGAATGACAGGGAAGGATGTTTATTGGGAAGCCAGCAATTTCACCTGCATCTTTTTAGAAGATGATACATTGAAACCATGCTAACAATAACAAAGCAAATACATAAGAATTCATTTTATCTTTAAAGACTTTCATAGAAGGAAATTCCAAAATTGGATCATAGTTTCTGATTCATTCTCTTTGTTGTGATAGTAAACATTTTAATTGAATACTAAAACTATTACTATCTTACATTACCGTTAGAACTTTTTCCATTTGCAAGATTAAATTATTTTATAAATCAAGCATAAAGAACTGGATTCTGTCCTGGAAATGTGTATCTTTAGGTGAGGGAAGAAGAACTGCTTACCTTGAGCACCAGGATTCCCTCTTGGACCTGGATGGGCCCCCAGCAAGCCTTGAAGAGATAATTTTGACATCTTAACATTTGGTTAGTTTCATTCCATTATATATGTTATATGTATGAAGGAAGTTTAATTATCACACCCTAAGAATCAATTAAAAACAATCCATTCTATCAGAGAAGACTCTTTAGAGCAATGAAGGTTTAATGTTTTGATCCAAAATAAAATTGGTGGTCAAAGATAATAAGCAAGTCCCACCTGTTTCTCCCTTTTCTCCAGCTGGACCAGGAATTCCATCATGTCCTTGATCACCTCTCATACCCATTGGTCCAGGAGATCCTGGGAATCCTGGAAGACCTGAAGAACAAACAAACAAAACAACCAGAAACCAAAACAAAAACTGTGATGTTCAAAGAGAGGACTTTTTCCTACCAATGGCCTTATATGAATTATCATGAAGATATGTGGAATTTTGTTAAAGGTGCTAACTTTTTAGAACTGTAGTTATGTGCAGCTAAGTTCATGGTGAGATCTATGCACAGATTAATATGATGACAAGCATGTAGGAATGTTTACATTGGCAGATATTTGAATTTGATAGGAAGAAATACCTAACCCACTTTTCTGCATTGTGTCTGGATGCTGAGTAACTGGGAGCTACTGTCTACAAGAGCAGTGAGTATACAGAGATCCCAACCTCTGGCAAACATGTTTTCCTTTGGAAAAGGGGATAGAACAAGTACAAAAATGAAACCTGGAGGGCCTTTTATTCCTGGAGGGCCTGGGAAGCCTTTGATTCCTTTAAGACCTAAATCACCATCAGGACCCTGCTTTCCTAGTAATGAAGAGAGAGGGGAAAGAAAAAAGAACACCGATAGATAAATGGTTACAACAATGACTGAAATGGCCAATTCCTATAGTCAGCTATGTTCTAGCTGGCCTTAAGGAATTTGCCACAGATCTAGCAGCAGAGCAACCACATAAACCAATCAGTGTCTGACTGTTTTTTCTTTTGGTTCTTCCTTTGAGGTTTTTTTTTTTTGATAGTACTGGGGTTTGAACTTAGGACTTCACACTTGCTAGACAGATGCTCTACCACTTGAGCTATGCCATCCTTTTTGCTCAGATTACTTTTGAGATAGGGGCTTGCTTTTTGCTAGTGCCAGCCTGGACAACAATCCTCCTATTTTATTCTTGCTGTAGCTGTGTGACAGTCATGCTACCATACCCAGCTATTGGTTGAAATGGTGTCTTATGAACTTTTTGCTCCAGCTGGCTTTAAACTGTGATCTTTATGGTTTTAGCCTCACAAGTAGCTAGGATTAGTGTGTGAGCAACCAGCACCCAGCTTGTTTTACTGTTTTAATTGGGAGTTAACTACAAATTATCAAACTTTTCAGTGTTGAAACAATTAGTTTATATGCTGTCCTAAGTTCTGAAGCTGCAACCCAGTAGATTAGTAGGTCTTTTTGTTGTTGTTTTGTCTTTTAAGGTTTTTTTGTTTGTTTATTTTCAGTGCTGGGGATCAAACTCAAAGCCTTGTGTGTGCTAGGTCCTCTACCACTGAGCCACACCCCAAGCCCAGCAGTTGTTTATAATAAAACAAAATGAAAACTTGAACCCAAATCATAAGCTAATAAGAAAGCCAATATTTACTACAAAAAAAAGTCAGAAAAAAAGATTTATAACAACAGTGTTATGGGTTGAATTGTGTCGCCCCCAAATGTATACATTGAGTTCCTAACCCCTAAGTACCTCATCATGTCATTGTATTCAGAGATGAGGTTCTTAAAGTTTAAGTAAAACTGAGGTTGCTTGGGTGTACCCTAATTCAATCTGAGTGGTGCCTTTGTAAAAGGAGATTAGGGTACAGACACACAGAGGGAAGACAGGGAGAAGATGGTGTCTACAAGCCAAGTAGAGAGGTCTCAGAAGACACTAGTCCTACCGACACTTTGATATCAGGCTTCTGGCTTCCAGAACTGTGAGAAGACAAGTTTTTATTGGTTAAGCCACCTAGTCAGTGATATTTGTTGTGGAAGCTGTAGCAGTCTCATACAGACATCAGAAGATTTTGTAGGAAAGGAACCTTTTGTTACTGGTTGAGTTTGTTGAGGCAGAACTTCAGAAGTTTTGTTTAAAGAAGCAGGTTTTTAATTCCAGTCCCCCAAACAGTAAAATTAGGGTCCTCCCTAGTAATTCACTGTTTCTTAGTGCCTTAGAATTTGAAATTCAAAGTTGAACAAAAACATTTATAGCATAAAGACTGCACTTTCTCTTTACAAAGATGATCCCAGGAAGTGAGGGCCATACTGTATGTAATGCTTCCAGCTTTCAGAATTGTAAGGTCAAGGCTCACCTGGGTGGCCAGGACTTCCAGGACTCCCAGGTGCTCCTTCAGATCCAGCAAGCCCTGATTGTCCAGGTGGGCCAGGTGGCCCTCGTTCTCCTTTCTTTCCCATGTCACCTGGCAATCCTGGATCCCCCTTAAATTCAGTCAAACATTTAAAATTCTCATGTAAGTAGAATATGTGATCAGAATTAAATTCAAACTTTATTCATTCATTTATCAGTTCATATTAAGTGTCTGCCACGAGGCAGTACCATGAAAGATGCTGGGAATGCGTTGGCTATATGGTTTATAGGGCTCAATGCAAAATGAAGATAGAGCTTTCTTTTTAAAAAAATTAAAGAATTTCAAGAGGGTAACAACAGTATTACCAAGCATAGAGTCCTTCTTCTCATGGGACCTTTGTGACAACACATGCTGTAAACCAATGATGCTGACTCTTACCAGGATGGAATGGTGACCATCTACCCTTACATGATGTATACAGGCTTCAGATCAGTTGGGAAACAGATATTAAATGATCACACAAATATATAATCATGAATTGTGAAGATTGGGGATAAAGAATAGCTAGACAAAGGCCATGTGTTCTGTAAATCTATGACGTAGGTAAATGTATGCCACTCGTTTTAAAAACTCTTCAATGACTTAATAGTCACTAAATTTGTATTTAAGATTTATGGTAGATCAGAACAAATAGGTTTGGTGATGACTTACAAAATTTCCATTGTGGTTGATAAAAATATACTTTATTACTATTATTTGTTAACATACAAAACCAACTTTTTTTTTTTTTTTTGCAGTACTGGGGTTTGAACCCAGGGCCTACACCTTGAGCACTCCACCAGCCCAGCCCTGTTTTGTGAATTTTTTTTTTTTGAGATAGGGTCTTGCAAGCTATTTGCCTGGGCTGGCTTCGAACTGCAATTCTCCTGATCTCTGCCTCCTGAGTAGCTAGGATTATAAGCGTGAGCCACTGGTGCCTGGCTAAAACGAACTTATTTTGTGCTTCATGCAGTTCTAAAATTAGTTCTAGTTGTTATCTATGAAAACCCTAATCTAAATGGAACTGCTAATTAACTGACTATGAATACCATCAAACAGAATTCCTCATTGAGAAAATGTCTCAGTGGAAAGAGTCTCTTCCTGGTTTTCTGAGAAACTAGTCTAAATAGAAAGGGGAAAAATCTCTATGCTCCAAATAATAAATGGTTGTTTTCTTGGGTCCCTGCAATGTCTAAATTTTTCTTTCTTATTTTGATAATTTTTACGGGAAAATTTGGAAATATTAAGAAAAAGTGGTATTTTACTTGTTCAAAGGAGGGAGACAACTCCGTAAGTAATAACTTCTGTGTTTGGAGTCATAAATTATTGAACATCAGATGAAAAATAGCTCTCCCCATAGAATTTGCATTCAAACATTTTGCGCTCAATTTCAAGAGGTTAGTGAGTTTCTTGGGATACCATAGATTTCTCTAGGAATCAGTGGAATTCCATGTTCAAAACCCCTGCTGTGGGAATTTCTATTAATCTGTACTGGTCTAGCTCTGGCTTTTGGTCTAAGTGTTATAGACAGAAAGGATGGAAGGAAATAAAACTGAAAAAAAGCAACCCAGCCCCACTGAAACATAGAGTTGCTGCTTCATACAACACACTACATCCAACCTCAATTTGACAGGATGAGCACCAGAAAAGTACACTGAGACAAGTTAAAAATACTCTGTCATGAAATAAAAATATTTAGAGTTGTAGAATAAGAAAGAAGTATGCATCATAGGATTTTGTTTTCTTTTTAACCATGCTGTAAAGTTATTTAATGCCTTTTATATGTCTTAATAGGACAAGTGTTCTTTGATTATAAAACCTACAACTTTGCGTGAGGTGTCATAGCAGAGACTGACCAGTTTGTATCACAAAGAAAAAAAATCCTGTCACATCAGGTTGTGTGGACCTATAATCCCTGCCCCTTCTGTGGCACACTTGAACTGCAGGGACAGAGAAATTTTTTGGTGGCTAAAAAAGGCTGTACAAAGCTGACAGCTGTGTGATAGGCATTCTCGGTTGTGGAAATAAATTCTTAAAAATCCAAATAACTGACTAAAAGTACAGTAATATTTTCAGCTTTCTCTGCCCACCCTGAATCTGGATCCTTGTTGATATTTTAGGATCCCACCCCTCACCAAAACATAACTGTTTCAGTGTCTTGTATACCTTTGGTCCTGGTGGTCCTGGCCTTGTACCTTCTGAATAGCCTGGCTCTCCTTTATCTCCTTGGAGACCATGAATGCCTGGAAGGCCTGGTCTTCCGGCTAGACCCGGGAGTCCTAAGGTGCCTGGTTTTCCTTTAGAACCTGAAAGTAGGACAAATATCAGGTAAGATAGGTAAACACAGGTATCTTGAGACATTCTACGTTTATATAAAATATTCTTCTCCCAAGATGCTGGCTTTTCAGAATCACAAGTTCATTCAGTGTTTATGTTGAATGGGTATTATCTAGTTTCAGTATTTTGCTCTCATTCATGTTCTAGTTACACAGAATACTTTTGTTTAAAAGCAAATCTAGTTGTTTTATATAAGCTTTCTACTAAGAGGAGATCCAAAACAACATGCAGCATAGACAACCTAGAATTATGACCTGTTGTGAGCTTGTGGGCTCATAAAGGACCTCACACATTACCTGGCACACCTATGTTCCCCATGTTTCCAGGCATGCCTTGTGGTCCTGCTTCTCCAGGATTTCCAGGCCTCCCCAGATCTCCTATAGGGCCTTGAAAACAAATAAAAAGTTATTTACTCTGCACAGTTCCTGGGCATAGTAGGTGCTCAATAAGTATGTGTTGCTTTCATGTATGAATGAATCCAGAACAGCTAGATCAACTGTTTTAGGTACTTGGTTAGCTGTCATTTTGCCTTCAGATAAGGTGAAAAGTGGGAACCCAGAACACTTAAAACTAGAGAAAGTGAGATTTTCATCAGTAGGCCTGGACTTCAGACATCAAGGTTAGCCTGGAGTCAATGCTAGCAGGAAAGGGTGGCCTCCTGTGACTACACAGCAATACATTTCCAACAGCATACTAAAAACTTATTGCCATGTACTATATTTTGTTACTAACAGGGATGGGAATGGAGGCTACTTTAATACCTTCAAAACTGCAAACTCTAATTTGTTTATAAAAGAAACGGACAAAACTGAAAACCTTTACAGCACTATTTTTTCTCTGATATATTATGATAACTTATTCATAATACATACTAGCCATTGCAAAATAAAACTTTTGAGTAGAGAGTGGAATTATGTACAGGATATTTTTTAGTTAATACATACCACCTATAAAACACCTTCATTTTGGTTTAATTTAGAAGCAAATTTCTGTTGGAACACTATCAGGATGGAATTTATATTCAATCCAAAAAGTCTAGAAACAAGTTTTATTACATTTAGATCTAGGAAAAACTAAAACATGGTATCAGTGATACCTGGTGGTCCAGATGGTCCAGGTGGTCCTTCGAGGCCTTTAAATCCTGGTAGCCCTGGTATGCCTCTGTTTCCTTTCTCACCTGGATTTCCTGTAAGTCCTAAAGTTAAAAACCAGATATTAAAAATACAGGTTAGAATTTCATCATATTCATTCATAGCCTGGTTTAAATTGATGGGCTATTATTGTAATAAAAGCTCACAAATGTACTAAGAGCATTGGGAGACGTGGACCTACATCTTTTTGGAAGGAAGATTTAATGAGATAATATGTGTGAAGCATTGGCACAGTGCCTGCATGACTTAGTTCTCAATGAACGCTAGCAATTATGATAATTGACTTAGCAGTCTAAATAACTCTGTCATATTAGGACATAGTAGCCTAAATACCTCTTTTTTCTTATAGTGAAGCAAAATACTATTTATAACAATTCTCATCTAAACAATTTCATTCTCAATCCATTTGTTAAAATAACATTTATTAAGAATTAGGTAAGTCAAAGCCTCTGCCTAGAGCCACTGTCAGTCAGTGACAGCTCCAAGATTTGAACACAGTTCTGCATGGGTGCAAAGCTCCTAAACTTCCCAGGACTCCACTTTCCCTAAATACATGGCTTTGATCATGTTATTCTCTTACTCACTCATGCATTGAATCTCCTTTACCTACAAAGTAAATTACAGACTTCCTTAACTGCATGGAGCATCCTGTGAGCTGCCCATGGCTTGGCTTTGTGCCTTTTCTCACGCAGACTTATTTTCCTTGGCTGTTTTCTGCTTACATACTTATTCATTCAATCACATATGGATTGAGTATCTAATTAATAACCGGGTTTTGTGCTGTGTTCTGGAAATAAAAATAAATCATGTTTCCTTTCCAGAGTTTTTAGTATTTACTTGGGGAGATAGCCAAATAAAAGAACAATTACCACCCAGTGAGATAAGTTCTGTAATAGTGTTGGGCATAATATGCTTTAGGAAAGAATTTCTGGAAGAGGGACCATTTTTAAGCTCAGTCTTGAAGACCAAATGAGAGGTAATTGGGCGGAGAAAGTGAGGAGTAAGATGGGATTTCCAGGCAAGAAAATAGCCTGGGAATATCAAGGGATGGTTAATAGCAGAGGATCTGGTTGTTTTGTTTTATACCTCTGTTTTTTGCATCTATGTCATTTATCACAATCTAAGAATATGTGTGTTCATTTGCTGTAGCCTGCAGGCCAAATCCAGCTTGCTTTTGCATGTCTTGAGAGCCAAGGATAGTTTTCACGTTGTCAAAGGGTTGTAAAAGCAAAGCAAAAATAAGCAAAACCAAAGAAACTATGCAACAGGGACTATATGTGGCCCAAAAAGTCTAAGAGAGTTACTGTTCAACCTGAACAGAAGCTGTTTAGGACCCATTAATGTTTCTTTCTCCTCACTGAACTGTAAGTTTCATGGTGACCAGGAAGCAAAATCTGCTTTGGTCACCTTTATGTATTTGGAGTTATTATTCACAAAAGAAAATGCCTAATCTGTAGACATTTTAAAGTAAGTGTTGAACATGTAAATGTCACGAGGCTTCAAAGATAGGCAAAGGGCAAGAGGTGATAACACTCTTACATGCCCATGTAAGGATTTTGAAATTTTCAAGCAAAATGAGCCTTGGAGAGCTATTGAACCGAAAGTTTTATGTGCCCATTTGAATCCCATTCACAATTTACTCTTTCACAGAAGCTCCTCTGACTATCCTAGTTGCTCTGTTGCCTCCTTCCCTCAACTCCCACAGGACTCACTTGTCAGATACCCATCAGGACAGGAAGGAGATCAAGATAGCCTTTGAAATTAGCCACATCACTGTGAGGCCCATCTCTGATACTCCCTATCAGAATGACACTGGATAAGTAACTTAACCTCTCCCCATCTGTAAAATGCAGTGAGAGCAATCATAGTATCATGGTTGTAGTGAGATTAAATGAGTCAATATTTGTAAAATTTAAAACAATACCTGCACATGGTAGGTGCTTCATAGCTCTTAGTTAAATAATATAATAGTACGAATTTGCATCTTGCATTATTCCTTATCTTCTTGTGCATATGCTAAGTTTACAGTGCAAACCCTTCAAGGAAAAAACAGTGACTGCTTATTTGTATCCTCAATATCTCTTCAACATTTTCAGTGGATGTCTTTAAGTCAGAAATTCAAAATTTTAAAAAATAAGCCAGGCGTGATGATGCACACATATAATCCCAATATTTGGGAGGTGAAGGCAGGAGGATTGTAAGTTCAAGGTCACCCTGGGCACAAAGTGAGACCCTGTTTCAAAGTATTAGTTTATTATTTATTTTTTTAGGACTGAGGACATAGCTCAGTGCTTGCATAGAATGCCCACGATTCTGGTTTTGATCCTCAGCACTGAGAAAACATTTAAGTCATACTGAATTAGAGAGACTAAGGCCTACATAATATATCTCTTCCCCCTCCTTTTTTTTTTTTTGGTCGAATGTGTGCCCTTTAGTGATGTGTTTGAAAAGCTCAGAAAAAATACATAGCTTCACCAATCCTATACTTTGGATGAGTAAATTGTAGAATTTTGTTAGAAGCATACATACAGCATGTGTCTTATATTTTACAAAAGGAATTCTTGTAAATTAGTACTTGTCATGCTTTTTGGGTATGGGAGCCAAATTTTGGCTTATGTAGGCACAGATACTCTATTACTATCTCTTTCAAAATGTTTCCAGCACCCCCAAGGTAGAATAGTCTAGTGGAGTGGTGTCTATGAAGGTAGTTTTAGTGAGGACTGGAAATTTATGCCAGTCTTTTTTTCCTTTTTTCACATCTTGGCTTTGACCAGTTCTAGCAGAGTTGTATGAAACTCATCTTACTTTCTACTTCATTGTAAAAATGGGAGGCAGCCTTCTGCGAGCCCCAGACTAAATGTTCTCCCCAGCCGCAGGTTAAATGAGCTTTACTTGAAGGCTATTGCTTTCTAGCTTTCCATTATACAAAAACAAGCAAAAAAAAAAAAAAAAAAAAAAAACCTTCTATCAATTGATTTTTTTCCAATATTTTCCATTTTCTCAGTTGGGAAATGGGATTGATTCCTCTTCAGAACTCCTCAGACATCACTTACTGGAGTCTTCCCTAACTTCTGGAGAGAGTTATTCAGTCTTTCTTGCATTGTCTGCGGTACCTTATACACATTTTTTTTCTTTTTTTGGCAGTACTAGTATTTTGAACTCAGGGCCTTGTGCTTGCTAGGAAGGCACTCTACCACTTGGTCCACACCCCCAGTCCATTTTTGCTGTAGTTATTTTTTAGATAGTCTCACATTTTTGCCTGGGCTAGCCTTGGACTGCAGTTCTTCTACTTATGACTCTGATGTAGCTGGAATTACAGACATGGGTTACCATGGCTGCCTCATTCTTTGAGATAAGTCTTCACTAACTTTTTGTCAGAGCCTTGATTCTCCTATCTCTGCCTCCCAAGTAGCTGAGATTATAAATGGGAACCACTACTCCTGGCCCTGTGCAATATTTTTAAAGCAAATCTTCTCTTAGACTATAGACCCTTGTTTTTTGGTGGTACTGGGGTTTGAATGGAGAGCCTCATGCTGCTAGACAGGTGTTCTATTGCTTGAGCCCCTCTGCCAGCCCTCTTGGACTATAAATCCTTATGTGCCAGGCACATCAATATTTGTTGAATATAGTCTCACTTCTCAAAACTCATTGCAAATTTCTCAAACATGACAGAGCTTTGTAACCACAGCATTTTTTCTTTTCTTTCCTTGCTATGAAAGTTTGATAGGCAAAGGTAACATTTTAACCAGCAATTCTCTGTTTTTCTAGCATTACTTGGGATTAAACTTGGTTGAAGGGAACTGGGGTTAAATTTTCATTACAACATATTTTCTTCTTACTATTATTCTCCAAAGGATTTTGAGCATGAGAAGCAAACTTTGGATGCAGTCAGAGAAATCCATCATGACAGATTAAAGTAGAATTGGGAGTATGGGTTTCCATTTCAGCCAGAGAAGTTTCTTAATGTGGAATTTTTTTAAGGTTTTCATTTTCCCCATAGTTGACAAAAGGGGAGGTTTGAGGCTTATAATTTAAAAATTGGGTTAGCCACAATTTAAATACAGTAGACCAAAATGCAGAATTAACTTAGAAATAAAAAGTTCTCCATTGAGGAGGCAACATATTATTGTTACAGCTCAGCTGGCTGTGTGATTTGGGCAGGTGATTAAACATGGCCTCACTGTCCTTTTCTGTCAATTAAAGGATTTGCCTGGATACTTTCTTAGCCCCATTGTTAGCTCTGATGTTCTGAGTGTAAACATAAAAAGTTCTTTACCTTTGAGTCCTGGTTCTCCCTTGTCCCCCTTTTGGTGGGCTATTCGGGAAGGCCCAGGGCTTCCTTTATTTCCTTGTTCCCCTTTGGCTCCTCGGGGTCCTGGCTCACCCTTCATTCCTGGAATTCCAAGGCTACCTAATGCACAGGAGTAACAGTATCAGGCCATTAATTCTTTAAGTGGTTCATAAGGATTCAGAAGTTACAACAGAACCAAAAAGCTTAACAGTGCCAAAACTTGATAGTTTCCCCAAACAGACATTAGCATAGTGATTTAAACCTGCATGGCAAAAATAGGATCCTTTCAAATGAAAGGAATACAGAAAATGGCATGATCAAACATGTTGTTCTTACAGAACTATTATTTCCCCAAAGAACAAAAATGCAGTTTATTTGCTGCTGAATAAATGAATATTGTTCATGCCCCCGATATCTGGAAAGATGCCATCACTTACCCTTCTGCCCCTGCGTGCCTGGCTTCCCAGGAGACCCCGGGGGACCAGGGGTTCCAGGATAGCCCATCATCCCAGTCATTCCCTTTTCACCTGTGGAAGAAAATTAACACAAAGCAGCACATTTTGTACAGAATGAGAAAAACAAAATTCCATAAAATAACAGAAATTCCATAGCAATAAAATTTCCATAAAATAAATTAAACTTAGAGGTTGGGAGTTAAAGGGTTTCTATAAATAGGAAAATAAGCATGTTTGTCTAGGGGATGGCTCAATGAATGGTCTGTTAAATATCATCTATATGGAAGTCAAATCCCATTTATGGCTGAGAACAGAGTACAAGGAAGCGATGGAGCCTTATATCTTCTTAGATCCTGACCAGCTGCTTCCTAGTATGTGCCATCATTTACTTTTCATTGTACTTATCTCTAGTTGAACTTAGTTTTTAAATGTATCTGTTATTGCTCCTGAACTATGAGAGGGGGAGTTTTATCCACTGATGTGTTTCTAGTGCCTAGAATTTCTGTGCTGGCACATGGTAGCAGCCCAAGAATGTGAAGCAAAGAATAACTTGTCAACTCAGTTGCCACCCTAGGCTGCTCTGGTGGGGAAATCAGTGAGGTGTCATGCCAGGAGGAAACAGAACATTCTCCCCAAATAAATGAATTTTAAAAATAGCCACAAAAGTAAAAAAAAAGATTATAAGGAAATATTCTGAACAACTCAACAGCAACAAAATGAACAAATTGCTAGAGAAACACAAACTAGCAAAGATTACTCTAAAGAAATAGAAAATCTGAATAGATGTATAACACCTGAAAATGCTGAACTGGTAATTTAAAGATTTCCTATGAGGAAAAGCCCACTCCAGATGACTTTGCTGGCAAATTTTATCAAATGTTCAAGGAATAGAATTTCTTCACAAACTCTTCCAAGGAAATAAAAGAGGAGGAAATACCTCCCAGCTTGTACTGTAAGGCTAAGGTTGACCTGATATGAAAATCAGACAGTGACATCACAAGAACAAAAAATACCCCCCAATATCCCTTGTGAATATAAATGCAAAAATCCCAATAAAATCCGAGCAAGTATAATATAGTAGTATCTAAAAAAGGATTACACAGCAAAAATAGCCATGTCCTGGGTAATTACAAAGTATGATTATCCTGTCAGCGCCATTTCCCAGCCCCTTGGTCTTCAGACCATTACAAATAATCCACAAGGAAAGAGTTATACTAACTGAAAGAAAAGCATATATTTGAAAGCATGTGCCTATGTACAGTTTATAGGGTCACCTTAAGAGGAAAATGTGGAAGAAGATTCAAGAAGAAAAATAAAAGCACAAAAAAGGATACCTGGTGGTCCTAACGTTCCTGGAGTGCCTGGACATCCTTTTTGACCAGGTGGGCCCATCTCACCTCGATGACCTGGGATTCCGGGTGGCCCAGGTTCTCCGGGGAACCCTGACCTATCCAAGCCTGGAATGCCTGGGTCGCCCTTCAACCCTGCTTCACCTCTTCTGCCTATGTACAAATGAATGCATGCATGAGTTAACAAACAAAAGCTTTCTCTACCAACTGGAGAAATATTTTATGCTTAAATATTTGGCCATGTGATGTGGGGTAACCTGCACATTTAACCTCTGTGTTTGTTTATTGAAGGTTCCCCTATATAAAATTTCTCAAAACCCTCTGTCTCTAATGATTCTGCTCCATGATTCAGACAGTAATAAAAATGTTGTATTTATATTGATTTCCTAGTCCTGCAGCCACATTCTGGGACTGCACTTTATGTCTGTGGCTCAGTCTTTCACTTCAGAAGACATGAGAGCCATTCATGTAGATGTGAACCACTGGACACTTCTGGAAACAGCAGTACCATTTAACAATTAAGGTCTTGGCCAAGAATTTGTGAACATATAAGCAGTATGCTATCCCATAGTCAATAACTGAGTTCTAAAGAATTCTTCCCAGAAACAGTGACCAGATCTGGTTGAGAGCAACCAATAAGCTAGAGTAAGCTTTGCATTATCTGTAACATCTAGCCTGCATCATTTAGATTTATTTTTATGCCCTTTCCTTTACATTGATTTAAAGAAAACAACGATATATTTTAGTTTATAACTTTTTTTAAATTGTGTTATTATTCATATGTGCATACAATGCTTGGGTTATTTCTTCCCCCTGCCCTTTATAACTTGTTAAACTGATACTTTTGTATACATTTTCTCTATTTTAATAACAGGAAATTTACCACTTCAACATACTTATGGAAGTATTAAAAGTAAAATTGAGAGTTTATATATATTTAATTTTCTATCTATCTAATCTGTCTTTGGTGTTCATATTTCCTTACATAAAAGATACAAACCAACACTTCACATTAGCTTCAGGACTCTTCCTCTCTAGTGGTTCATATGAGTTATGTGCAACAAATCCATAACAACAAGGCTTATATTTTTGAAATGACATTTCTCATTGAACAGCAATCAGGATTTGTTTCTGGAGAATTCCCATGTTACATAGCAAAGTGCATAGGCCCACATGGTTCCTGGTTTGGAAGTCCTCCTCCTACCTGGTTGTCCTTTCAATCCATTTAAGCCTGGAAGGCCTTGGACTCCCTTGGGCCCCTCTATGCACCTTCCTGGGGATCCATTTTCTCCAGGTGGCCCAGGCTGCCCTGGATCTCCTGCAGAAGAGAGTCCAAGAGTATGTTCAGTTGCCAAAGTCTAAAATCCTAGTATTGTTATCCCAATTATTCTTCTATAACTTCCCCTCCCTAGATCAGCCCTAATTTAATACCATTTTGATATGCCTTTTATAGAGGACATTCATGTAAAGGGAAAGAAGGGTGTAAAGGGAGAAGTAAAGGAGGAGGAAAGGTAGAGCAGCTTCCTTGAATCGAAAAATAGATCTCACAGATTCTATTCATTGAACAAGAAAATTTTTAGAGAAATTCTTCATCCCTAGAGCATCTACACATTCAGTTTGCTGCATTTTAGCTGAGCTCACAGTGGAGAAAAGTAATCACACTTGTTATTGTACCTTGAGGTCCATCAAGCCCTTCTTTTCCTGGAATTCCAGGGAGACCTGGAAGTCCAGGGAATCCAATTTCTCCATTTTCCCCAGAATTGCCTCTTTCTCCTGGAAAACCTGGTTTTCCTGGTTCTCCAGGCCTGGCTAGTGCTGGTTCTCCCTATAGCACAGAAATTATGTTAGTTTTTACCATATAATGCTTCCAGATCCTCACTGATACTAGCTGTTTGCTTGATACCAGGACTATTTACTTGAAAATGACCTCTTTGCTATGGATGCTGTACATCCCTTTGTACAACCATCACCATTCAATTAATTTCCTCTTTTCAATGCTAGCTTCTGACTTTGCCATAAAATTATTCTTAATGATGCTTCAGGATCTGTCATTGCCATACTTTGAGAAGACTGTGGAATTCTCTGTAAACAGATGAATCTAGATATCTCTATTGATGCTTTTCTCATAGCTACCCATGTTTCTTTCTAGAGTTCTCTCATTTTGTATACTGTGAACAAACTTTGAATGTTTACAAAGTCATTGAGAAAAAGAGTTGAAAACCTGCCTGTAACATCTGCTTTCCTTTCTCCAAAGGAAGGTGTCCACAGAAACTTAAGAATATTTAATATCTTCATCATCTACAAATATATCAATAGTTTTGAAACCTAGAGTGTGTCATCTGTTAGGGGCATACTAATTGGTTGATTGGATCACCTCCCCTCTCCCCCAAATCAGCTTGAGTTTTAATTCTTGCAGACCTTGGCTCCTGGAAAGCCTGGCTCTCCAGGAAATCCAGGCTCTCCTATCTGTCCTGGATAACCTGGTGATCCTTTTGTTCCTGGAAAACCTTGATCACCTATAGGGAAAAACAAAAAGCAAGGGCATTGGAGATTAGTCTTACTGAAAGATTCTGAGCTCCACTATTTCATCTAATAATTTTATATGACATCCAATTAGGTTTATATGAAAATTGAATGATGAGAAAATCAATGACAAATTAGTAATTAAAAATTAAGTTCCAAGTGAGATTATGTTGGTTCTCTGTTTTTAAAAATTACTTTTCCTTTTTGTGGTATAGTGTAGCTACAATGTTGATTCAGCAATACTTCAATCCAGCGATGCTGGCTGTCCATTTGAACAACTTTGCTTTTAAAGTTTATTTTACACAGTGTCTAGCCACATAGAATTTTATATATGCATTCATGCAAGCGTGACCCAGATCAAGATAGATAACTTAGCACCCCATGAAGCCTTTCTTACTGAGGTTGCCAAAGAGAATCAAGTCCCTAACACCCTGTAGCATCCACTGTATGTAAAGAATTGCCTTCTTTTACACATTTTACAATAGGAAAATTGAGAAAGGAGTCACACACATAATTTTCTATGATCTGTGGTTCTGAAAACCAACCACAGAAGTGAGGCTGCATTTAGAGGATACTTTCATGCCCCTAATTTGACAAGTGAGTTCATGAGTAGCTCATGGAAGTCATTAGGTCCAACTGTGAAGTTGTAAATCACATTTGAAGAGCTCTTGGCTATTTCTGTCCCTACTTTACCACCCTTGTCCAGAAAGTGAGTCCATAGAGATGCAAAGCTCAGATCAATTTTTTGATGCAATGTCAAGGAAGGACAAGACAAAAATATGAGCCAGCCTCTGTTACCTCACAGATTCTTAGGAATAAGTCCACAAAATTGGAGTCAAAGCCAGTTTTGGGACCACATGAGAAATGTGATTATATTTTCCATTTCAAATGCAGCAGAGATATACAATAAACATTGATGACATACTAATCCGGGAGATGAAACCCTAGGAAGTGGATTATATTTTAGCAAACATTTTAAATAATATTTAAGCAAAATCATAAAACCTCAGTTCTATGTGGCAGTCCAGGGAGTAAGGTTACTCACATATCATTCTGGATAGGACTTTCTTTAATATATTTGTCAGAAGGGAGTGTCAAGTTATTATTAAATCTTAACACCTGGAGTTGAGTTTTTAGAGTTTCCACTTTGATGGGAAACAACATTTCTTCTTGAAGAAAAATAATTTCCGTCATTCATTTTGGAGCACACAAGGAAATCAGATGTGTGTGTGTGTGTGTATATATATATATATATATATATATATATATATGTATATAATTTTTTTTGATGCTGAGATTGAACCTACAGCCTCGAGGGTACAAAGTACACTCTCTTCTACTGTGCTGTACTCTCATCCTATTGTAATTAACAATTTGTTTCTTATTTTTAAAAAGAAATGTATAAGGGGAAGAAATCTATAAATGTACAAAGTGCAAAACTGAAGACAAAAATCCTCAATCCAATAATCAGGGAGTTTCACTGCCACAATTTTTGTTAATTTTCTTCTAGCTTTTTCTGTGCATTTAAAAACTATAATTGAGGTGAGATTGCATGAAGCAATGTGAATTCTGTCTTTTCACTCAAAAGGCTCTTGGAAAACATCATTTTAAAAGAATATTATAGATATTTTCTGTTTTTTTCATAGTGACTTCTACAAATCCACAGTGAACCTGAAATTTAAAAGATTTTAATTTACCCTTAGGTCCAGGAGGCCCAGGAAATCCAGTTCCTGGGATTCCTGGTTCACCATCAGGTCCAGGAAGACCAAGATTACATCTTCCCGTGGATCCAGGGATACCTTAAAAATACGTACATACATGTATACACACACATTAGCAACCTTCCTTCGTTCATTTTATAAGAAAATCCCAGCCCTTTTTTGGAAATTAAAAGTAATTTTAACCCCAACCATTCCTTCACACCCCTAGCCAATGGACTGACATTAAGCTGCAAAGCATTTTTAAAAATATGATTTAGTTCCTAAAGAAAGTAGTCTCGATGTCTTGTAGTGCATGTCTCACATATGCAAAATTAAGTTTTAGATCACACTGACAAAGAAATCAAGTTTCAAATGAAGGTGGATGAAAATACTCTGATTAACCTTTGATCAACCACTGATAAACACTGCTTCCCCCCTCCCCCGCCAAAAAAAAAAAAAACCCATGAGGACTGTTCAGTTCTAGAACTCCTCTTAAGTAATTATATCAGTTCCCCTCTGGGGCTGTTATATCAGAAGCACCAGCAGGAATAATGTAGACACAGCGAGTCTTGTCTGCTTACTTATCTGAAAGGTTCTGTCCTATGTGTTCTTTTGGTGCCAACAAATGTATTTTTTCCTTATAAAGAAAGCAGTATTTTCCCAGAAGAGCCAGCCATATGAGTCCTACTTGAGATGTCCTACAATGACATATCTCCCATTGGACATATGACAGTCTTATCTGGTGTCATGCACCACACTTTGCAAAAGCTATACTCACCAGGAGGACCTCGGGGGCCAGCATGGCCAGGAGGTCCTGGAGGTCCTGGGGGGCCTGGGACTGGTGTTGAAATACTGGATTCTCCCTTAGGACCTTAAAAAATTTGTGATAATAAAATTGGGGTGCATATTGAAGCTTTTCTTGAATGGCAGGGAAATAACACTAAGGATTTACAAACATACCCCAAAGAAACTGAAAAATAACACCTCCATAGGCCTCAGAAGCTGTTTATGATTAGTTTTCACTAATCAGATGTTTACAGTTTGGGAAAATTTGATAATATATTTTATGACAATGAGGCTCTTCAAGAGACTTGGATAATGGAGTAGATCTGGAGCCAATAAACTTCTGTACAGGGCCAGAGAGTAAATAATTTAGGCTTTGAGGTCCTGATCTTTTCTACAACTGCACAACTGCCATTGTGGCATGAAAGCAGCCAGAGACAACACATAAATGAGTGATTGTGGCTGCATTCCAATAAGCTTTATTTGTGAACACCATAATTTGGGTTTCATAAATTTTAATGTATCACAAAGGTATTATTAATTTTTTTCAACCATTTAAAAAAGTAAAATTTCTTTTTAGCTTGTGGACAATGCAAAGTCTGAAGATGGGCCGGGTTTGGACTGTGGGCCACTGTAGGTTGCTAATTCCTGGATTAGAACAACAGCCTCCAAAGTAAGGCAAGAACAAAAATAAATATCAGGTGTTATATATAAAATCCCAAAATAAAGTTTACATATATGTGGAAAGAAATTTTGCATTCAATTGGTAATATACATGAATTCTACGTGGGTGAACACTCTAAAAGTTTCACAAATGGAGACACTGTAAAATGACTTGGAAGTGGGGTGTAGTGGTGCTTGCGTTCCTGTAATCCCAGCATTCAGGAGGTTGAGGCAGGATGATGGTGAGTTTGAGGCCATCCTGGACTACATAGTGATGTCCTGTCTCAAAAAGAGAAACAAACAAAATGATCTGGAGACTAAAGTTTATTGGGTCTCACCCTTTAAAGTGATTTTAGAAGTACCACATGACTATGTTTCTTTGTATCCTGCCTTTGGAGTTTCTGATCAAGAAGAAGAAATCAGCAATAGCATTATTGGGCCCTTGAGGCCTAGAAGAGGCTTCTCAAGATCAGGTTCTTATTTTTGCTTCCCTTTGGTGTGTGATAATTGACTTCCACTCAGCCCTTAGGAGCCATTCATTCCATATATTCGTATTGGTAATAGAGATAAGCGATTCTATGAAATTTCAGCTGAATTGCTCATTTACAGTGGAAAATAGATTTTTTTCTTTCACAGTGTCTATGAGTTGACATATTCTATTTGTTAGAAACATATATATATATTCATTAGTCTTGAAGGAGCTTCATTAGCCCTAAGAACCATCAACCTACCCCATAGGAAAATGAGACTGGAAAGAAAACTAACCAACCGGCTTCTCCAGGTGGTCCAGGGGCTCCAGAAACTCCTTGGGTGCCCTTTGGACCTGGCTCTCCATGGGGTCCACAACCAGGTGGTCCAGCTGGTCCTGCAGGTCCTGGGGGTCCAGGGGAGCCAGGATCCCCTGGAGGACCCTGGTTCCCCTTCTCACCACTCAGAGCCTGTGACAATAGGAATGTGTTTGGATAGTACTTCATTCAGTATCTCCTTACTATAGGTTAAAATCTTATGCCAAGTATGAATACCAGCTGGGCTATCATTGGGAAGCTCTTGAATTAAGTAGTAGTTGGCATTTTATGGGAATTATTACTAAAATGAGAGTGCTGTAGTTTTCTGCATTATTTGAATTCAGCAATATTGTATTCACTTGGAACTGTCTTGAGTCCAGTGTGAAATGTCCTATAATGATGTCTCCCATATGATAATAACCACCAAATCAAATTAGCCAACAGTTCAATGGCTCTAAGAGTGACGTCTATACCACTGGCACATTTCTAAAGTAAGGCCAGTAAGCCTTTATTTGTACAGTTTTCACCATGTATTTTCATTACAAAAGAGATAGTCCACTTGGATTATTTTTTTTCTGCTAAAATGTATATCAAAAAATCCATACACTATAACTTTGAAAATGAGTAGTGTGTTTTAAAGAAGTTTAATTTGACAAAATAGTCAAATCCCTCTTCCTCTCAAACATACCCCTGCCCCAATAAAGTTGACTGGAATTGTCATTGTTAGGTACCTTCAGGTGGCTAGATGGTCTTTTTCCTTTCTGGGTGTAAAACCCAACAAATTATTTCTTTGATTTTCTCTACTTTCTGGAGACTCTTTCTCAGAATCACAAAAAGGAAAATTAGTGAGCTACAAACAGGGGCATCATATAAACCCTATTAATACTACATCAAAAGGAGTTTAGTCACTCTCCTTCTATAATTATGACTACAGCAAAGAGAGCCTGAGGTTTGCCTAAGGAGGGTGTGGGAAACTCTGGTCCTGAAGGTGCCCCAGGAAAGACTGCTTACCATATCTACATGTTGGGGAGTCACATTCATACTATAATATTAAAGGATTTGTCTGCTAATCTTTAAATTTACTTACCGGGTTTCCCTAAACCTTCTATAGGTGGGATCTTCCTTATTGGGTAAATCTAATTAACCATGGGAGAAACTGCTTTGTTTGCTTGTTTGTTTGGTTTTTATATGAGACAAACTTCTCATATTGTCAGAGTTGCTCAGCCCCTCTCACTGTATGACATTTTAAATTGAACACATGAGAAATTCTGTACTATGAAAGCAATACAATTTACATAACCTGAAGTGTAATGACAAAACATTTGCTCAGTGGTGGAGCACTTGCCTTCCATAAGCAAAGTCCTGGGTTCCACTCCCAGAACACATACACACACATAAACGCACAGTTACCAAACAAAAACCCAAATAACACCCCCAACCAAAAACCAAAACCCAAAACCAAACATTTCTCTTTGTCTACCATATTTCCAAATATTCTGCCTTTTATGCATTTTTTTATTTAAAAGAATGAATTTGCCCCAGAAATATTTACCAAAACTTCTCCCTATTAGTCATTTTTTGGACTTCTCTACTCAATTGATTAAAATACATGAATGTTACTTATGTATGAGACAGAGTTATTATCAATATAGAACTTTAATTAGGCTAAATTATTGAAAGTTACCTATTTATTTTGTCAAAAATACTACAAATATTTGCTTGGGTTATTTCTGCTAATTTGAAGATGCCTTGTTCTGCAGTTAGAGTAGTGAACCCTGCTGAGTGGCCAAACATTTTTTGGAAGGAAACAATCTTATAGTGTAAGTACTGAGCACTTCATCATAGGGTGGGTAACTTGTAAAAATTGCTAAATACCAACCGGTTCGCCTTGAGGTCCCGGGAATCCTTTTAATCCTGGAGTTCCAGGAGTTCCATCCAAGCCTTTTCTCCCTGGTGGTCCTCTAAGCCCAGGATCTCCAGGGGTGCCCACTTGCCCGTGGGGCTGAGATATTTCACCTTTTTCTCCTTTATGTCCTGGGGCTCCCTGAACACCTGGGAATCCCTAGGGTGGTACAGAAATGAGTCTACCCTGTGTTTTCATAGTGTCCTTGTGTCAGTCTTAAAAACAATGTCAACAAAACTTTTCAATGTTAATGAACATGGATTTTTTTTTTGATACTCTCTTTGGTCTGCAATGATCATTTCAAGCTTTTTGTTCTCCTTTGTTTTTAAATTCTTAAACTGGAAAAGAATTCAGTTAGAGGTACAATTCAATTCAATACAAGTAATATATATCAATATAATGTAACAACCATCATAATTCAGATTAAGTTTGAGCATTGGTAAATTTTAATAGGCATCTCTGAATAATTTAATTTAAATGTATTTATCCAAATATATCTTTCTAATTCATTATAATGGTCAATATAATTATATGTAATTATTTATGATCAATTTTAACTGCTTTATTTAAGTATAATTTATACACCATAAAATTTATCCTATGTAAAGTACAACTCATTGATATCTATTAAATTATTTACTAAATCATTATAATCATCATTAAAACATTTCCATCACTCTCCCATATTCATTCAAATCCACCTGCATTTAATCCCCATTTCAACCCTGAACCCCATGCAAGGATTGGTCTGCTTTCTATTTCTGAAACCATGTAAAATGATTTATAAACTTATTCACCCACTCCATCAACAAGGATCTATTGAGTACTTACTGCTTGCCTCTCAGTAAAAAACCTAGTTTGCCCCACAAACTGATAATCTGTGTGTGTAATGCAATCATATTTCCAGAATGTTCAGTTTTCCCAATTGAAATTACAAGTTTGTAGCCATGGAATCTTACTGGAAATCCTGGAAGACCTGCACTTCCTGGGGACCCTGGGCTCCCTTTTACACCAACTGCACCTCGTCCTCCTGCAAAGCAATGCATCATTAACTATTGAACACCAATTCTCTGTGACCAGGGGTATGTAGGATATGAAGAAAATACATTATTTTCTTCAGAGGAAAGAAAGACAATTTCTTTTGTAAAACATTCAGTGCAATAAGAGAATGAGGAAAAAAAAACCCAACAAAATGCTGGTGAGGATGTGGGGAATATAAATTAATGCAGCCACTATGGGAAGCAGTCTGGAGTTTCCCCCCAAAAAAAACTGAAAATAGAACTACCATTGATACTGTTATATGTTGGGCATGCTTATTGCAGCACTATCCACAATAGCCAAGTTCTGCAATCAGGCTAGGTGCCCATCAACAGATGAATGGATCAAGAAAGTGCTACATATACACTATGGAGTATTAGCCATAAAGAATGAAATTATGTCATTTGCAGAAAAATTGATGGGATTGGAACTCATCATGTTAAATGAAATAAGGCAGACTAAGAAAGACAAATACCACATATTTTCTCTTACACATAGCAAATAGATCTTAAAAGAAAGGCATGAATGTAGGAGGAGGACTGTTGGGGGTGACCAGCAGGAGATGAGAGAAGGAAAAAAGTGGGTGGGTGGATGGGAGAATATGATTGAAATACAGTGTACAGACACATGAAAAGTTCATAATGAAATCCATTAAAAGTTTTTGTAAGAAAGTTTAAAAAGAGGTGGGAGTTTTGTCAGGGCCAATCTTGTGATCTAGCCTGACAGAGGCAGCGTTGGGGTGGAAGTCCTGCTCTGACACAGAGGCTACCAAGAAAAGGCTATGTGCCATGCTTTATTTAGTCTTCAGAATATTGACCTACACCATAGGATCTTGAATGTCCCCCAAAGGCCCATGTGTTGAAGGCTTGGTTGCCAGCCCATGGCTCCACTGGGAGGTGGTGAAAGTTTTTAGGTGGTAGTCCTAGTGGAATGAAGTTAGATAATTGAAGAAATGCCCTTGAAGGTGATATTGGGATCCCAGTCTTCCTCTTTCTTTGCTTCCTGGCCACCATGAGGTAAATAAGCCACCTCCACTATGTGCTCTTGCCATGATGTACTGTGCTACCATAGGTCCAAAGCACCAGGGCCAAATGACCATGGACTGAAACCTCTAAAACCATGAGCCAAAATATCCTTTATTCCTTATAAGTTGTTTATCTCCGATGTTTGTCATTGCAATAGAAAGCGAAGATAGCCTATGATATGTTTCCCCTTCAAAATTTGATATAGTAGCTAATATTAAATTTAAAAAACCTTTTCAATTAAAATCCTGGTGTCTTTCTTCTCAGGAAAATTTGGAAGATTTATTAACCCAGGCTTAAATGTTGCAAAGTACAATAGGCTGGAACTGAGTGACAAATGTGCCTTCCAGGTTACCACAGCCCTCATCACTCACTATTGTCCTCAGCACTGAGAATATGATTTTAATTTTTTTTATTGCCCTGCCCAGGACTCTTATCAAAAGTGGAGACATAAAAAAATGGACCAAGCAGGATTGTATGTGTTTGGCATGGTTGCTTCATTGCTTTAAGCTATCTGCTGGTCCTCTGTAGGAACTATTTTACAATTCCTAGATAACACAATACTTTGCTAGATTTTGGCCACTAGAATAGAACAGGGGAAATAAATAGTCAGCATTTACATGATTTGGGCTGACTATGTTAACAGACAGTATGTGTTTCTAAAATTCATGGCAGTTGGTAATCTAATACTTTTCAGTTTTCCCAGTGTGTTTACAATTCTGTCTGTGCAAAACCACAAATTTGCATGCAGATTGTGTATACCTGGAATTCCTTTGACACCATCTAATCCTGGCAATCCTGGGAGACCAGGGGGCCCTGGGATACAAGGGCACTGTGTACACAGAAGGCCTGGTTCTCCTGCAAAAGGAGAACATTTACTTGTAAATCCACGCCAAGTTCCACAGAAAGGACAGGTATTTTCCATTCATCTAGTAGCTGTTACATATAAACAGTTTTTATGTAGTGAAAGTGATCTAAGACACTGTACACATTCATTTAAGAAATCTATATAGTTTTTTTCTGAGTTGTTTCATTCTCCTGAGAGGAAATTGCAAGAATCTAGTATATAACATCTACTATTTCAGTCTCTGTCCTTGCATGCAGGATAAAACTCACATTCTAGGGATAGTCAGCAATTCATTGAATGCTAACCAAATTGTTAGTTTACGATAAATGAATACTCTTAGCTAGTTCTTTTGGGAAAGATGCCATCCCTTATTCCTGACTGACTAGCATCATTGCTGTCTCAGAGGTTGGGGAAAAATCAGTGACATTGATGATGGGAGTGGCTTATCCTAATACAAGTACTCTATGGAGTGAACCAACCTTTGGACCCATCAACTCCTGGCACTCCTGGAGACCCTGGCTGGCCTGGCAGTCCACGGTCACCAGGTGGACCGTTGCGAAAAATGGTATCACCTATAAAAGATACAAAGGTAACTCTTTATTTGTGTTATTTCCAACTAGCAATTTTTAAAATACATGTATAATTTTATGTGCATTTCCCACATCTTTGTATTAGAAACTGAGTCATTAGGAGCTTATTGTTCACAAGTGAAAAGTCTGATGCCTGTTGTCTGGTTCTTCTCTTCATATTACATAAATTTCTTTTTCTTTTTTGGTGTGTGTGTGTGTGTGTGTGTGTGCTTTTTGAGGCAGGGCCTCACTATGTATCCCAGGCTGGCCTCCAACGTGAGATCCTCTTGAGTGTTGGGATTACATGATAGGCATGTACCACTACGCCCTGCTTTAGATGTGTTATTTTTTGATACTGAAATGGTTGTTCTTTGAAAGCTCCTTTAATATATCATTTTGTATATAATCAACCCATGTTACCTTACTCCTGTTACAGATGCTTAATATATATTGAATGAAAAATGACACGGGATCATCGGTTTTCTCCTCATTGCTTGTCTACATCAATTGACTTTGTTATTCTTTTTCTTTTATCATGGTACTAGGGTCTGAACTCAAGGCCTCATACTTGCTAGGCAGGCACTATACCACTTGAGCCAAAACCCCAGCCCAACTTTGCCATTCTTAAAGCAACTCTAAGAAAGTGGTTCCCAGTCTTCCACAGCTACTGTAATGTTATACTGAATAGCTCATTCTTTTAAAATGGTATGGTGTCCTTTGTGAACTAATTTTTGGCTTTGACATGTCAAATGTAGATAAAAGGCAAGGCCACTGAAACATGTTAAGAAACAATAACTATACCTGTAACAAATTTAGAGCAAAAAGGTATAGAGAAAACATTTAATTTAGTTGGAATATGATATATTATATTTGCTTGATTATGAAAAGAATGTCCATTTTAGTTTCCTGCATCTTTTTTGGGGAGCAGTACTAGGGTTCATCACTCTTGCTAGGCAGGTGCTCTACCACTTGAGCCATGCCCCCCAAGTTCCCAGCATCTTTAAGATGCCAAAAGGGCTGAGTAGAAGGGCTTGCACCAATGAGCCAACACAGAATGCTAGGTGGCTCAGCTCAGCAAGGGAAGGGAAAGGAGAGGAGTCCTTATTAGAAGCTCTGAGCATTTCAGATACTTTAGGCCACAGCTCTATGTGCCTGACCACTTCCCTGGGCAGCATCTTGCTTCAAACCTATGCTGCACACCTGTGATCACCTGTGTTGGGACTTCCTTCTGATGCCAAGGCCTGGAATGCCCTGAAATTATTACATGCCTGGATGTGTGTGTGTGTGTGTGTGTGTGTGTGTGTGTGTGTGTTCTGTCTTGTGGGGCAAGTCTTTGACCCATGGGAAATAGAAGCTGTTGATAAATTCTTGCCTCTTCCTCTCTCCCAGGACAGATTATCCTGAGACACACTTCTTGGAAGATAGTTTCTAATGGCTGAACAAGCAGTTACACTTGACCAAAGTCAACTTGATAACCAGCTGCCCTTCCCTATTCTTCTCCCTGTCCCTGCCTCCCTCTTGCTCTGCTCTCTGGGGAGCTCAAACAAGGACTTTGTGGCATTTGCAAAGTCATCATTCCATCACAGTTTCTTTCACAGATAGTAAAATGAAACATTATTGGAAAGATAACTCTTAAAGCCCACACAGACTGATGGCCAAGCAGTGAGTTATATTTATTGTCCCTGACTTGCACATATCTATCATGGGGCAATGCACACCAAAAGGGCCCCAGTGTGCATATTTACCTGGAGGTCCTGGAGGTCCTGGTGGTCCTGGAGGGCCTGGTGAACCAGGACAGCCTAGGGACCCTGGAGGCCCCACTGTGTCCTTTCCTGGGGGTCCTCGCTCCCCTTTACTTCCTTTTAAACCTGGCCATCCACGGGCTCCTCTGAGGCCAAGCTTTGATGATCCTTGGAGAAAATAATCAGTGTGGTATTTTAAACTTTGTCCTGATGAGTATGTGTTTATTTTTCAGTTGAAAACAAAACAATTAATTCTTATTTATAGGAGTTGCACAATTGAGAGATATATAATAAAGCATATAAAATAAAAAGTGAATATTCATTCTTTCTTCCTGTGTGGCCTTGGTAAATTAGATCACAGTAAGGGGAAGTGCAGAACATTCTATTCCAACAAGACAATTTATGTAATTTTTTACAGTGAACTAAAACAGTTTGGGATGCACTGTAGACTTTTTGTTTATAAGGTCTCATGAAAAATTCTTCAGTATATGCTGTTTTGTGGATAATTTTTTGTTAAGAGACTAAAGGATGTTTACCTGTCAGTGCCCCAGATGAGAAAGTGATTTTTGGACTTTATTCCTGCCAATTAAAGGGATGGGGGAAGCAGGCATTTCCTGGGAGAAACACCAGTCCAGGTGAAATAAAACCCACCCCAATCCTAAAATAGTGAGAATGCAGGGAGGGAGAAGTCTCAAATCTTCCTCATAATCAGTTGAACTATTAGCAAGAGAGAGATTATACCCAAAGGGCTGAGTAACCAGAAGGTGAAATATTTGATCATTTCTTTATCATTTGAGCATAAAGGCAAATTCCCCTTGATTGATGTCTGTCTCAGAGCTTTGCACTTTGCCACTCACCAGCTTCTTTGTTTTTATTCGTTTATTCATATGTGCATACATTGTTTGGGCCTTTTCTCTCCACTACCCCAGAACCCCCACCCTCTCCCTTTCCCTCCCAGCCCCCTTGCTTCCAGGCAGAATCTGTTCTGCCCTATCTCTAATTTTGTTGAAGAGAAAGTATAAGCAATAATAAGAAAGACAAAACATTTTTTGCTAGTTGAGATAAGGTTAGCTATAGAGAGAGATTCCTAGCATTGCTTTCATGTACAAATGTGTTACATCACCAAATTGGTTCATCTCTAACTTTTCACTAGTTCCTGATCCCCTTCTCATATTGACTTCTGCCGCTTTCAGGTTTCTGTATTAGTTCCTCTGCAGGGGGACATCAAATATTATCATGTTTTTGTTTCTTACCTATCTCCAGACCTCCCGTGTGTGCTCTCCCCTTATCATGTTACCCAAGTTCGGCCACATTGCTATATTTGCTCTAGATCTAAAGTCCACATATGAGGGAGAACATACGACTTTTGGTCTTCTGAGCCTGACTAACCTCGCTCAGAATGATGTTCTCCAGTTCCATCCATTTACTTGCAAATGATAAGATTTCATTCTTCTTCATGGCTGAGTAAAATTCCATTGTGTATAAATACCACATTTTCTTGATCCATTTGTCAGTAGTGGGACATCTTGGCTGTTTCCATAACTTGGCTATTGTGGGTAGTGCTGCAATAACTATGGGTATGCAGGTGCCTCTGGAGTAACCTGAGTCGCATTTCTTCGGGTATATCCCTGTAGTGGGATTTCTGGATCATATGGCAGATCTATGTTTAGATTTTTAAGAAGCCTCCAAATTTTTTTCCAGAGTGATTGCACTAGCTCGCATTCCCACCAGCAGTGTACAAAGGTTCCTTTTTCGTCAACATCTGTTGTTAGTGGTGTTTTTAATGATGGCTATTCTAACGGGTGAGGTGCAATCTTAGTGTGGTTTTAATTTGCATTTCCTTTATGGCTAGAGATGGTGACCATTTTTCATGTGTTTTTTGGCCATTTGAATTTCTTCTCTTGAGAAAGTTCTGTTTAGTTCAGTTGCCCATTTCTTTATTAGTTCATTGAATTTGGGAGAGTTTAGTTTTTTGAGTTCCCTCTAATATTCTGGTTATCAGTCCTTTGTCTGATGTATAGCTGACAAATATTTTCTCCCACTCTGCACTCACCAGCTTCTTAAAGGAGACTGTTCATTGCTTTAGGACCTAACAAGAAGAAGGAGGTCTTCCTTAATATTTAGCCAGACCTCTAAAGTATCTTGTTGCCCATTTCCAACTTCAAGAGATACCCACTGCTAACAGTTTAATATATATTCTTCCATGCATATACAGGCACACACCATATTTATCCATTTATGTATCTATTTTTTACAGTGGGATTATAGTATACATACACCTGTGCAACCTGTTTTTTCATTATCAAAATTATGAAATTATTTAATACATAACATTGTATATAGAAAAATATAATCAACGGCAGTGCCCTAGTGCAGTGGCTTACAAGTCTTTGTTCTTTTTTCTCAGTTTTGCTTCCTTTAAAAAGAATGTGGTGCAGTTGCAATTGATGGGCCTTTGGGCACCCATCCCTGATCCTATTCTTCCTCTCTCAAAAGGTAAATATTTGAATGACTCATACACAAATATTTAAAACTTTCAGAAAATGTAACCTAGTTATCCTTATAGAACTTGGGGCACATAATGAAAATGGCATGGTTTAGTTATGTAGTATCATTGTTTTCCATCTCTGTGCCTCCTCTGAATTTCACAGCCCCTGCTCAGACCCCAAAGTTACTGTGATTATAAGGCTTTTATACTTATCTAAAACCACTGAGAAGTAAAAATGAACATTTCCTTATCAGTTTGTATCAACTTCTGCTTCCTTTTCCACTGTTTGGCCACAAGGATAGCAATCAGGAAGCTAGAATGCTTAAATCAGGGAATGGAACATTTGTCTTACATAAATAATGCAAACTTAATAATAGAGAACAGTGAATTTCTCTTTTTAATAGCATTTCTGTTTTCTGTACCCTGAGAAACATGGACATACCAGGACTTCCAGGAACTCCAGAGGGACCAGTGGGACCTGAGAATATATAATGTTAATTAATTGTTTACAAAGATATAAATATTCCCCATCCATTTCTGAACTCTTAGCTAATGATGTCATTATAATCATTGAAATATGTTTTTCAAACTCTATTGTGTGGATAAATATTAGGAAATGTCACTCATTTAGGCAAACTGGAGAGAAGAAGCCATGCTTAGATGTCTGACACTCAGAAGTGAATCATGCCACTTGATAAGCTTCACATAATGCAGAACCTGATCTGTGTTTGGCATTTTGCTGGAAGCCTAAGTGCAAGAAAATAAAAATATTACTGGGATTGTCAAGTATCTGCAGTTTGGATTTGTGCTTCCTTTTGGAACAGTTTAGTTATTTGATATATATCTATATATATCATACATATATATGTATGAGTTATTTATGGAAGTATACCACATTAAAAATCTATACCAATGTCCATATTTATTTCATTTTATTTAAATACACTGATAAATTTTACTCCTTTAAGTAAAATTCTCCTTGGAAATTTATTTCTATCCATAACTTGCCTAGATCAGTGACTCTGACTTTTGCTTGTTTTTATGAGACAGGGTCTTAGTATATAATCCCGGCTGGTTTTGAACTCACCATCTTCCTGCCTCTACCTCCGGAGTGTGGGAATTACAGGTGTGCACCACCATGCCTAGCTTGCTTTGTTTATACACTTACTTATTTTCTTATTTATTGGCAGTAGTGGAGTTTGAATTCAGGGCCTCAAGCTTGCTAGGCAGGTTCACTACCACTTGAACCATGATCCCCAGATCTTTTTTGCTTTTTAGATAGGATCTTGCATTTTTCAGGTAGGGGCTTAAATTTTTGCCCAGGACCACCATGGATAATGATCCTCCTACTTATGGCCTCCTACATAGCTGGGATTATAGCTCGGCCACCAATGCTATAAGATCTATAAGTGAATGGTATTTATCTGTAAGTGAATGCTGTTTATTACCTTGAAAGAAAGAACAATGAACAGAAAAGGCTTTAGGAAGAAATTTATCCTCACCCTGTGGGCCACGAGCTCCTTTGGGCCCTGGTGGGCCTGTGATTCCATTATCTCCCTTTTCATGGTATGTGTCATAATATTCTGTCTTAAAGAAAAAGAAAATGAATAAAGAGAAAGAACAGCTATTTATAGATTGCTCACCAAATGCCATTACTTCAGTTTCTTCATTCTGACCAAAAAGACACTTTCCTTATTTCTCTGAATTCATATGTTTTTATATTAGTATGAATATGATAGACAGTTACATGGATAAATTTAAAGATAAAGCTGACCTTTCTAGTATTACAATATTATATATTTCATGAGCTTTCAACTCAAAGCATAAATTATAACGCGATCCAACTGACACATTTGTATGTACACATGGACATACTTACATATTAGTTAGTGTGCATATGTGTATAGAATTAAAATGTCATAAAATACTTAGCATATGACATATGATCAACTGTGATATTTTTAAATTCTATTATATTTGGCTGTTTTAAAATGCTGACCTTGATAGACTAACTTTAACTCAAAGTACGGTGGGACCCACATATTTACAAATACTGTATGTGTCATTTCTTTAAGTTTCAGGATGCCATTGGCCTGTAAGACTCAAGGAATGCTGCTTCTGATGTGCTCAGTGGATCTATTATTGGGCTCCTTAATCATTTGCTTTCTAAGCTGAATTTCTTTTGAAGTTAGTAGAGGCTGCAAACAGAGTTGTGTTAGTATTGAACACCAGAAACCACTCGGTAAACTAGGAATGTTAAGAATTCCTCTGAAGTACAATGGCAAATCAACTGTGTAGAATTCAGTGCATTTATTTTGAAGGATAGAAGATGGAAATATAGACGTTCTGTTTGTTTGATAGATTTTTCTTTTGAGATAGGGTTTCCCTTTGTAGTATAGGCTGTCCACAGGTTCATGTTCCTCCTGCCTTCTCCTCCCAAATGCAAGTGGGTACTACCATGCCTGTCTTAATTTTTTAAAATCTTTGTTATGTGTTATATATGATGCATGGCACATTACTTTGGTGACTCATTATAAGAACCTTGTGGTTAATCAGTGTGGAGAATGGATTATGAGAAGCCTATGAGAACTGGACATAAACAAGGCAAGATGCAGCTTAATTGCTTTTATCTGTTGGCTGAGATAGGCATAGCCCTAGCCAGCAAACAGCTGTGTCTCCTAAGTTGTTTACATTCAGAGAAGCAGGAACACAGTTTTCTCTTGTTATACAGTCACGCCCCTCCCCATGAACTGCTGGCCCACTCTGTTTACTACTGGGTGTAAAAGACCCCCTGAAGGAGGAAGAGGGGCTTTTGCTTTTACTTTGGGCTTTTGCTTTGGGACATGAGGCTTTTGCCTTTTGCTTTTAGCTTTTTGGTGTGGGAAGCTTTTGGAAGGGAAAGGATTGCTGAAGGGAAAAGAATTGCTAAAGAGGGGTTAATAGAAAGTCTGCATTGAGAACTTTAACATAGGCTTTAGAAAAGCTAAGCCAAAGAAAGAACTTTATACATAGGCCTTAGAAAAGCTAAGCTAAAGAAAAGCCAAAGAAAGAACTTTACAGTGCAAGTCTAAGGACCAGGACTTTAAGAGTTCTTCATATGCAGTTTTTAGGCTCAACTGTTGTTTGCAAGTCTGAGCACCGAGGCTTTAAGAAAGCTAAAGAGAGATGGGACAGTGCAAGCCGCGGGGCAAATGACTTTAAGAGCGATTAAGCTAAAGATAAGGTAAGAGAAAACATGGGACCGAGCAAGTGTAAGGAAAGAGGTTTTAAGCAAGGTTTTAAAGAAGACTTTAGAATCAAGGTTTTAAAGAACTGCAAAGGAGTAAGGCCTTAAAGAATAAAGATAGAGAAAAGAAGCAATGAGGTTGTGCGTCTCTACCTGAGTGCCCAACACACCTGATCCCACTTTCTGTCTGTCTGTCTATACTGTGTCTTTTCTGAATCTCCATTTGCCCCCTGTTAAGTTAGATTCAGTAATAACCAGGAGCGAGAGAAAGCTCACTCCAACAAGGGAGGGAGCGACAAAACAGCGTCCCCTCCAAATCAATGTAATTAGAATCACAAAAAATAATAATGTAATAATCTCCATCACAAAATCTGTAATAGCATGTATGTACTTGCTAGGTGTTGGACTTTGTGCTACATGCTTTCACAAAGCAGCTCATTTAATCTTCCTAGAAACTTCATGAAAGTATTTTGGAACTGTTTGCATGGGAATCATTTCCTTTTAATGTACAGGTACAGATTTGGGGGACTCACCTTCAGTTACAAAGTTCAGTTACTTTGCTTGCGGGCCTAAGAACTGCATGTTTAACCACTGCACTGCATGACTCTTGCCATCATGAGCCATTTTTTTCCCAGCATGCTCAATCAGACATAGCAGCCCTGCTCAGGATTGTGAATGTGAGACCCACGGCATTGGAAACAGAAGATAGAAGATGCTAGACCTCTGAAGTGGAGTCCCTTTTATCCCTCTCTGGAGGCCCACAGAGCTAATGAATAGAGAATATGGCCTGTCTGCCTTCAGGGGCCCACAGTTATCAAATCCTGTCCGTGCTGGAGAGGGGAGTATCACCTGCAGCAATGCAGCTTGGGCTGGATGATTGGCTTTTGATGACCCTGCATTAAACCTATGGCTGAGCTTTTGCTGCCCCACAGTGCAAGAGTTGTTCTAACTGAGCAGAGGGGGAAAGAAGGGGGATCTGGGTTCTTCACTCCTAGGTGTCCTAGCTGTCTTAAGCAACAGCCTTCTTCCTCCACTCTGAGTACACAGGGTCACCTTGGGCCAAGCAATAGGCTTTTTTCCTTCAGTGCCCAAGGTGGGCATTACTAGTTCATTTCAGAAACCAATAGAATCAAGTAGAAATATGTGTCCACTGCCAAGTGGACAAATGTAAACAGGTGTTTTTTCCCTCTGGCTTGATAAAATGGTATATGCTATCATGTCCATCACAACAGTTAATGAGAACACTGATTCAAAACTTTCTCAGTATTTTTAAAGACTTAAATCAACTATAAACGACGTTGGTATCATTTCTATTTACACTTACTGGACCACGAAATCCTGGAAGGCCAGTGTCCCCTTTCCATCCCTACATTGAAGATAGTTACAAATTATGAATATATAAGAGTTTTTAGCATAGTTAAAAAGCAAAACAGAAAGTTGAACAATAAATTAATGCTAAAAGTGTCATTTATGTATAATGTACAAAACAAAAGAGGTGTTGTCTTTAAATTACTTTCCTGGAAAGCCCATATATGGATCAGGAATCCTATCTACAAGGATATGAAGAAGTGATTGTTTGTCTATTGGTTCTCTGTGTTACTTCCACTTGGTGTACTTGCATCGACATTCCCACTTAGATTACAGGTACAGGAAAACCAGCTGCCCCCCCCCCAAACCTCCTTTGTTTCAAGAGAACATTCCAGAATTGCACTGGAAATGATATTATTAAAGGACATATACCTATATATACAAATTACTTGGACATGGCAGAAACAAATGATGTAGAGCGCAGCTCTGAATTAATTGATCTGGACCTTTTAGTGATCCATGACCCAAGGAGGAATTCAAGGATCCAACCTACTCTTAGCACACACAACCAAAAACTTCTTGCCATTGCAGGCCTTTCCCAAGGCCTCCCAAGTGGGAAGCTGGAATCTGTCTAGTGGGTCCTAAGCCAGCTTCAGCTACATTGAACAAGTTCACTATCTCCTAAATGTTTACGTAGAATTGCCACAGCTCTTATTTTTCTTAATATGATAAGATATTTTAATGAAGTCGTAATTGAAATTCCTTGTTCCTGGGAAGGCAAGCAAAACCAAACCAATTAAAGACAGGATGTGAGAGAGGGGGTTACCTTAATGCCATCTTCACCCATTAACCCTGGGAAGCCCCTGTTGCCTTTGGCTCCCTAAAGAAAACAGCAAAAGGGAATGGACCAGAAGATACCAATCAAAAGCTTCTGTATGAAGCAAGAGCAGTCTGAATTTCTTTTAAGATTAAAAAATTATATTTAAATTTGACATATAATAGTTGTATACATTTACGTGTATAATATGATATACACTGAACATAATTTGTGTGTTGATCAACTCAAGATGACAATCAACTCATTGTCATATCCATCACATGAATAATTTATCATTTTTTTGATTGTGAAACATTAAAAATCCTCTTTCAGCTACTTTGATATGTATAATACATTATTGTTAACTATACTCTACTTTGAAACTATTTCTCTGTCCAATCATAACTTTGTATCTATTGACCAACCTCTCCCTATCCCTCCTTCCCACCAACCCTCCTCAGCCTCCAGTATCCATTTTTCTAGTCTCTATTTCTGCATCAGCGTCTGTAGATTCCACATTTAAAGAGATCGCACAGTATTTGTGTCTTTGCTTGTCTGACATATTTCTATTAATGTCCTCTAGATTCATCCATGTTAAATAATGTTAGTGTGGAGATGACCTCTCTTCACCATGAACATGTACAATTATGATTTTCAAATGTTGTCTTTAAAATATTAATCTGTAGGCTTTTTGTAAGTTTATAACTACTTAAAAATCCTTCTTTACTAGGTAGGACTGTTATTTTCACTATATCAGTGGACAAGTCATGTTTTTACCTTAGTGCCAGGGAAGCCAGGGGCTCCATCTTTTCCAGGTTTTCCCTGATACAAAAATATGTGTTAGTAAATATGGACAGCTTTAATAAGCATGGAAAACTTAATCATCTCTTGACCTCAAGTAAGGAAGCCTGAGTGAGTGCCCTTCCCCTCTCCCAGGTTTCATAAGGAAAAACTGTTAGTCACAGAACAGGCAATGAGTGTCTCTTGCCAGGGATAATGGAAGTCAATCAGAATGGGAAATTAACAGTCAAAGAAAAAAAGAGGATATCAACCCCTAAACTTAAACTACAGTTGATGCTGTACATCCTAAGCTTAATAGGAAACTCAGGAAACACTGGGCAGAGAAGTGTATGAGGCAATATATACATATTTCCTTGTTCATATATATATATATATATACATATATATATACATATATGTATATATTCATATACACATATATATATACATATACACATATATATGTATATGTATATCACATGAATGATTGTGCTATCTAAACAGACATGGCTTTTGGATTAACTATTATGATATGGGCCTGTTCTGATAGAATTAAAAATCATGTTGGCTTAGTATTTTTTGCTTAGGAAGAAAAAAACTCACATTTTTCCAGTATATACTTCCTAATGTTTTTCTACAATATATGTGTTTAAATCTGCTCAAATTGGAGTTGGGTAGGGAAGTGAACCTCTGTGGCTGCTGTCTTCCCTGCATCCCATTTTTGGTCATTGCACCTCATTTCTTTCAGGGAGCTGCTTCCCCACCTCCACCTCAGTGGTTCTGATGGGGCTGTGCATCACAGAAGCCCATTACCCCACTGGCCAGGCCAATCAGAACTTTTTCTTCCTGGCCACAGCAATTGTTCCCAGTGAGACTTATGATCAAGCTGGACTAATCAGATTAATTCTCTGGGATTCTCTATATGGATACAAGGAGAAAGATACTTTCTCTCTCCTTGGAAGCCATTAGCCTGAAGTTGTCTGTTGCTATACCTTATTTTGTTCTCTACCCCTCATATGGAAGTTCTCCTGCCAAGGACAATGGTGTGAGGCTCACACACAGAGAGAAACAGAGTGGGGTGGAAAGAGCTCTGCCCTATGTTTCAGGATCTGAAGTCCCTGAAGCCTGTTTAGTTTTGAAATTCTCAGATTCTTGAACAAATAAATTTTACCTCCAAAACCTTAAAATAGTTAAGAAAATCTTGGCGAATTGGAGTTGGGGCAACTCATTCTTGCAACCTAAAGGGTGTTGCGTCCCAACTAAGGCTTGATTTTGCTGAATTTCCCAACTCACCGGTGGACCAGGTTCCCCAGGAGCTCCCCGTTCAGATCCACATGCTTCTCCAGGCAGTCCCTGAGTGAATTTAGGATATGACAAGCTTTATAAATTATTCCTTTTCACTCACACTGGTTGTTTTTATTTATCCCTTTGATTATTCTGCCGTATTTTAAAACAAATCATCTTAAAGACAGATTTTATTTATGAGTATAATTTTAAAACATTAAAAAGTGGGAGCTGAAAACAAGTCAAACATGTAAAATAGTGTGAAGATTTCAGCTAGAAGTGGAGATAAAATAGTTCTAGTGTATTCATGATCTCTATGGTCAGATACTTGTATTGTTTTAGCTCCTGTTAATATTTAAGGGTAGAACATACATCAAAATATGTACTAAGGGTTCTACTTTATGTGTCACAAGAACAAAATGACTCTAAGTGACCTACTGAGGGTCCAGGAAGTCCAGATTTGCCCATTTCTCCCTTGTCTCCCTTCTCCCCCTTGAGGTCCTGTTACACACAAAAAAATTCAAGGTCATTTCAAAAACACCAAGCAAACAAGAGTATACTGATTACACTTAGAAAAGTTCTCTGTTCAATAAGCTGAATTTATAAACACTTATGGGCCCCAGGCTAACACAATTTAGTAGCTCTTTCTGGTTCTCACCGTTCAAGTTTTATACATGAAATTCACAAAACTGTATGCAGACTTTTAAAAAGAAATTATCTTTTGTATTAAACTACATTAAACTAAATTACTGAATGTGCTTTCTGTAAGCTCAATTGGATAATTTCTAATGTATTTCACTTTCATTTCTAACAGAAAATTATTTTATAATATTTTATATAATATATAATATTATAAAATAATTTTCTTTGTAAATATTATGATGATGTGATTTGTTATTCAGGTTTGTTTGAGCCTTTATCATATTTTATTGATAATATTTTTCTCCCATATGCATTTAAAAATTTTTTTGGTCATACTGGTGTTTGAACTCAGGGCTAATAGGAGCTCTACTACTTGAGCCACACCCTCAGTCCATGAGTCTTCTCTTGAGGACACTATATTTTTCAAACTAAATTATTTTTCCTGGGTCAAATCTTCTAGATCTAGATTTTATACATATAAATTTTCTATCATTTTTCAGACAAGTTTTAGGATTTACTAATTTTATATTTGCTGATTGCCTCTGAAAAATTCAGTTATTCTCAGGCCAATTTTTTTTCCCAATCTTGTGAGCTACTCTTTTGGTCACGTTAGACTTAAGCATGTTGTTTTAACTCTTCTTAGGTTAGCATATTGTTATGGGCGATGGCTACAGTGTTTCTTCTCCACCTACTGAAAATGTTCTAAACTTGACTGTGGTGATGGTTGCCCAATTCAGTGGCTATCTAAAAGTCATTGAATTATATGCTAAATGAGTGAATTTTACAGTATACGTATTACATTTCAATTAAGTTGTTAAAGATTATTTATAATTAAAACCCATGAACTATAGACTTTAAAAATTATATTTTAGGTTTGTGAATTATGTCTAATCAAACTACTATTTCAAGCAATTAATTGGAAATTTAAAAGAGAAGAATTGTTTGTATTCCTTTCTTAGTTAATCCACAAGAAAATTCACTTCCTCATGCCCTTACTGTCCCCACCGTCTCCCCTCCCACACATTCCAGGTTCATTCTAGTGGAAGGACTGGTATATGTTGTGGGTTAATTTTCTAAGTGTTCGTTTCATCTTCATGTCTTGGTCCTCCTAACCACCCCAATGTGGGAACAGAAAGCAATGTTAATGTCAAAATGACAAAGACATAGTGTTCTTGTAGCCTGACTGCTACAATGGCAAGGTATCTTTTGATTATAATGTCCTTCCACCTCCATCTTTAGGTCATTACCACCCAGTTGGATCAGAGTTGTGCACTCTTCGTTAGGGACAATGAGAAAAGATGGGGATATAAGGGTGAACAAAATCAGGTTTAGGCCTTGGTGCCACTTGCTTCAAATTCCCCTTCTAACATTTCTAGGATAAACGGTGGAAGGTGGGAGGAATAAAACCTAGAGGTTCTGGCTGCCTCAGGAGACTGGGCTGAGCTGGGCTTATGTAAAAAGAAGGTAAAGGATCGCCAGGACTTCATCTTAAAAACCAGAAGGTAGATCCCTTATTATAAAATTGCAGCATTACCGTTCTATTATCTGGGCCAGTGAGTGTCACAATAACTGTTCCTGGTGATCCGGGGGGTCCCATTAATCCTTTTGTACCCTAAAGACAAATACATCTAAGAATGAAAAACTGAACAGCACCATCGATATTTCAACTTTACTATGTTTGGAAGATCTACTTTTCTCCTTTAGTTCTTATGCAAGAAGACAGCAAGTGAAAATGCATTAATCTCAACTTGGCCAGTGAATAAACTATTTAAAATGATGCTCCACAAAGTATTTTACCCACAAATAAATCAAAGTGTTTAAATTACCTGCTCTCCTTTTTGTCCTATCATGTTATCACCCATGTGACCCTGTAAGAAAATGTGAAATGGCATTATATTTTAGACAAATACGAATTCTCTAAGCCCATTTATGTTTCGGTATTGTAACTGAACATTTATATTTCAATCTTAATTTCAGAGTTATTTTACCTACTTTATTTTTATTTATTAAAAAAAATTCTTATGCTATTATTATGCTGGGGATACATTGTGACATTTACAAAAATGATTACAATGTATCTTAGTTAAATTCACCCACCATTCTCCTTTATACCCTTTTCAACAGGTCTCATTTTCCATTTCATACATAGTATTTCCACCATATTCATCCTTCTACCTCCCTTCCTTGTATCCTCCCCCTCCCACTGGTATAGTTTAGCTATTTTTAGAGTAGAGCAAGCAGCCTGCTTCTTTTAGAGGTGTAGCTCTTGAAGTACAAAAAGCTTAAGTGAGTTACTTAATATGTTGCATGATGACACAAGGTTGGTGTGAGATAGGGAAAGGAACCCAGAAGAGAGGACATTTTTCTGGCTCAGCCATTAGCTAGTTTTGATTCCATTGGTCGACTACTTCCTGATGATTACTTAACTTCCTGCTTACATAACTTCCTTAACTGGTTGCTTAACTTCCTGATGTTCTAGTTTTCTCATCCTAAAAATAAGGGGGTTGTGTATCTGAACTTCAGGATTCTGAAATTCAAACCATAACAGAGAAGCTAAGAATGGAATGCAAGTCACTTGATGCCGTTAGTAATTTCGTGTCAAGAGACAAGTCTAATGTGAGTAGTTTCTGTTCACCAGCCATGGTTGCTATGGTTTGAATCCCCACCACAACTCAGGTTGAAATTTAATCCCCATTACATGGCGTTAAGAGGTGTTAACAGGTGAGACCTTTGTAATGTGAATGACTTCATTCACTCATAGTTTAAGGAGTGGATTATAGTAGGAGTGGTTTTGTTTTTATAAAAATGAACTGTCTTTAGTTATCTTGTTCTGTCTCTTTATGTGGTGCCCACACTGCCTTGGGACTGAGAGGGTCCCCACCAACAAGAAGGCCCTCACTAGATGTAGCTCTTCAGCATTGGACTTCCCACCCTCCAGAACTGTAAGGAAGACATTTCTTTTTTTGAAATAAATTACCTAGTCTGTAGTATTCAGTCATAAGAAAAGAAAACAGGCTAAGACAATGGCCAATCTATCGTTTCAACCAATAACTTATTGCTTTGTACTTTTGAGCATGCATATCTTCCCCCATTCGTCTAGGAAGCTATAGAGAATCAGAAGACTTTAAACTTCAGCTCTGCCATTCATTTAATCTGGACCTAGTCATCCTGTAGCACATGCATGTGTTTGTGTATGTGTATATGTACATGTCAGTGATGCAAAAGCATTTTGGGAAGGACCCTGTACATGAGGTTACTAATAGCAAGGAAGAGATACTGTGCTCAGGTAATAATTTCCTGGTGGGCTTAGCCTCACTCAACACCATTCTCCTTATACTAACAATTGACCCTTTTAAATAGAAACACATAAAGTGCCCAGTTTAATAAGAACAACAAATAGACATCTTTTACTCACTAGCATAAGATGAGGTGGATTTTGCAAAGCATCTCTCTACAAAAATTTATAGGCTAAAGTGTATGGATTAGAATCTTTGCTTTTCCCTGATAGGAAGCTCCTTACCCTTAAATCAAAGCTCTGTATCAGAGTTCAGGTCACTAAAGTGCAGGGAGTAGAGAAATTCGAGTTGCTGGTGAGTGTCCTGACTGATACAACATAGGAACTGTGGCCTACCTTAGGTCCTCTAGGTCCCATAGCTCCTGGAAAGCCCTAGAAAAACCCACAAATTAAAATTACAGCAGGAAACACACCAAACCAGAAATTGCTTTAAAACATTTTGTTATAATTAATTTATTCATTTAGAGAGTCTATAGGAATAGTGACTGCATACTCACAAAGAATCCTGGAAGGCCAGGTGGGCCACTAGGCCCAGGAAAACCATGAGGGCCTGGTAAACCCTTGAAATTAAGAAAAGAATAAGTTTAATTGTATGTGTCTTGTCTAAAGACAATGTCTATTAGTGAAATTCATTAAAATATCTTAATAAAATCATAATAAATACGTAATGCCTCCCTTTTAAGTGGCTGCAGGTAATTATAATAAATGCCAAAAAGTGTGTTTATATATAACAGCTTCCAGAACCATCCTGTTGCTACTGTTTTCAGGGAAATGGCAAACACATTTGTTTTATTTTAGAAGTTCTCTCCCTCCCTGTTTTTGGTCAATCGTGCTCCTCCCTTAGGGGCATCCCCTTGCCCCCCTTTTGCTTAGAATCCTCTGTAGCTAGATAGCTGTATGACTCACTCTTTCCCTTTTCTTACCTTCATGCAGTTGACTACTTCCCATAAACCCCCTCTGCCCATCCAAAGTCAGAACCCCCCCTTCCAGTCCATACACTTCCTATTCCCACTTCCCTGCATTATTTTTCTCCTTAGCATTCATTATCATACTATAGAGTTATTAATCTGTATATCGTTTCTGTTCCTCAGTAGAAAAATTCCCATGAGAATTTTTTTTAATTATTTTTTGGATGACGCATGCCATGCTGTGTTCCCAGACCCTAGAAGTAGTTCCTACTGCATAACTGGCCTCTAATATTTATTTCTCATGTAAATATTTATTTCTCACATAAATGAATTGATACTGTCACAATGACTATACAGAGATGACAATGAGATGGTCTTTAAAGGATGTATCCATGTCCCAGATTATCACTGTTCCTTTTTACTGGATTCCCTGCCTTCAGCACCTGGACTTCAGGTGCTTCCTATGAAAAAAGCAAGATCCATCTGATTTCATGACTTCATTCTGACTCCTCTGGTAGCTCCTGAATACATCCTGGCAGTTATTCAGCAACTTGCCCAATTTCATACTTTGCCATCAATCGGCCTGGCTCACCACACAGGAGGAGTTGAATAACCTCAATTCAAACTTTGACTTATTCAGTCAAATATACTATCTCCATCCATGAATTTCCATATTTAAATCTGAACTAAGTTAAAATATTAAACTAAACTAAAATAATTAGCCTGAAATTTAGTATTGAGACTTGTGGGCCTTTTGAATCATAAAGTAAAGCATTCTCAGCCCTAAAGTAGCTTTGTGTCTGTGTATCCATTCTGGATCACCCTCAGACTACATTCAGATAGACCAACAAAGCCAACTATTCAAGGTTCAAGGTGAGAAACCTACATTTAAAGAAGCTATTTTATTTAGTGTCATGAAATATTTGAAGTAGGGCTGTTATTTAACACAACGGCTTTAGTGGTATTCAGTGCATGATACAAACTCCTCTTTGATTTTAAGGAACACAGATTAAGGGGAACATTAACTATTACCTGAAGACTCTAGATTCAGCAAAATATGGGTGACTATGAATTAAGAGATTAAAGGACTTATATACAAAATTATCTTTGCATATCAGCATCATATCCTTTCTTATAATAAGGTCAATGGGGAGGAAAGAGAGGGAGAAAGAGAATGGCAGATGAGGGCCCTTCCCCAAAGTGTTGCACCTGGAATCCTGGAATTCCTGGAAACCCCTGGTCTCCTTTCCCATTGTATTCTCCATCTTCTCCTTGAGCAGGAGCACCCTGGAAAATGAACTTCATCAAACGCAACCAACTTTGTGTTTTCAAAATCGCTTTAAACACTTACTGAAGGTCATACTACCTCAAGGGTAAAAGTACTTTGGGGATATACTTAGAGAAATGTTTTCGTATTTTGTAGTTCTTCCATTCTGAAGAATTCAAAATATTTTCCTGTTTTCTAAGATTGACAACTTAATGTGGTAGGAAGAAAGAGATAGGGGTAAGAAATCATTTCACAAGATACCAAAGTTAGTGGCAATTCCTGACCTAAATGTGGAACCCTGAGCATGAGATCATTTCTCTTCCCCTAGATCCTATTTCCTTCATGGCTGACATAATCCCTGTATCTTTAAGATCAAAGCGTGTATTTTTAAGATTTGACAAGAGCTAGAAGGAGCTGTTCAAGAGCAATAAATACCATGGTCTAATTTTTATGGTTTCTGAGTAAGGCCTGGATTATGAAATCTGATTAGTAGTGGCTTATGTTTCATAATTTAGTAGAAGTTCTTTTGATATGTATGATTAGAGATTTTCAATAGCAGTAGTCCATAAAGGGTTCACCTTTTGTCCTTTCAAACCAGCAGCACCCTATGGAAAAGACCAGCATGTTAACAATTAGAAGCAAATCAAATACTCACTCCAACTCTGTCCTCTCATATTTTACCTCCATGTCCTACTGTCCATTTCCTACTCGCTTTTCAATAAACTCAAGTCTCTCTATTTCAGTAAACCACTAGGTCTTTTCTTCACCTTCTTCTTCCTTCCCAGTACAGTCCTATCTTTCTTTCATCTTACCCACAAACTGTTCATTTCTTATGCATTCCCTAGTTCCAAATCTGCCTGTAGGCTTCATCCTGCTATGGACATGTCCCATGCAATGTCCTGTGCTAAGGTCAGTAATGAGTTTAGGTTGCTAAAACCACTGCCAAAGCATCAAGTTTTCATCTTATTGGACTTCTCAGCAGCATCAGGAAGTTTTCTGCCACCCCCATCTACAGAAATACATCTTTCCTGGGCTTCCGTACTACACCCCACCTGGTTTGCTTTCTACCATGAGGGCCTTTCTACTTTTCCAAGATCATTCCCCTTAATTTAGATGTTAAAGTGAAGTCTTGCTTCTAAGCCCCTGATCTCATCACTGTCACTCTTTGAGTTGTTATTAGCCTGGGCCTCTCCTCTGACCAACTCTGAATGCCTCAAAAGCAAAATAAAGTATTAAAGTCTAAATCTGACCTCACAAACAAGCATTCGTTCATTCCTGCCTATTATTGCTGTCCAGCCTTCCCAAGACCATGTGGAGTAGATTGTTTTTGTTCATACTTTATGTCTGTGATGGGGAGTTAGAAATGAAAACCTACTGGGGTGCCTGGGTAGCCTGGTGTTCCTGGAAGGCCAGGAAATCCTTGTTCACCCTGGAAGACATAAGGTTTGTCATTATTCTTAGTTGTCTAGAACAGCCTATTCAGATAAATATCCCCATTTCTCTTCTCTAACCTTGCAGTGGCAAATCTAGGCAAAGTAACTCAAATTCCTTGTGGCTACTGGGTCATGAGGATGAAGACCAGAAAACCATTATTTTAATTAAAAACAGGATCGGAATCTAATGTTTCTCAAATTTTGCATAAATGGCAGTCTAGTTGTGCCAAGAACTTTTTAATTGCTGCCTCCTTGAAACTTTAGTAATTAGTTCAGTCACAGCCACCATTCTGGGGGAGAGGAGAGCTCAGTTAAGGGGCAGAGGAGGTGAGTGGACATTGGAAAGTTCAGTCCTTCCTTTCCAGAGATGAATTTTGCACTCAAGGCTTGAGTTTCTGATTTATGTAATAACTACATTAGCCTCCAGTTATCTTTCTGTGGAAGAAGACAACTTAAAACAATTAGAATGTAAGGAATAAGGAAAAAGAAAATAGTTCTTGATTCAAAATCTTGCTGTTGGTTCTGACTAATAGATTATTTCAAGACAGTCTGTTTCCATGCCATTGCTACTTCACCTTGACTTATTCATTCAGCAGTGGATTTATTAATCATCTTCTGTGCAAGCAGTACACACCTTAGAACCATTGCATCCTGGTGAACCAGCAAGTCCATAAGGCCCAGTGTTGCCAGGGATGCCCTGAAAGGAGAGTGAGTCTCAAAGACAAAGCATAATCACAAGGCCCAGGATTAGGTAAAACAGCCAGGAACTCAAGGGAAAGTATGAGCTAATTTAAATAGTTTTAAAAATATGAATGGTGGTTTCAGTAGTTAAGTCATAATTTTAAATAGTGGTTTTAGATATAATTTAAAAAACATATCAAATAAAATAGGGTAATCAAAATGAGGATTATCAAGTAAAATGCAGGTATTTTAGGTATGACAAAAGTCCCTTCTGTACAACATGCTGATGGGAAAGAGAGGAAAAAAGTATGCACAGAGGTTAACTTTTTTGTTATTGTATGATACTAAACAGAATCATCCTATTCTATTCTGTCTACTCCATTGAATTCTGCTTACAGAATTCAGGAAATACAAACTGACTCATATGTCATATAAATCCACACTCTAATATAGTATTCAATTCTATGGTGCCATTTCCTTCATGTAACAAATGTATCAGAACACATTTCCTTGTGCTATTGTTTTAACATCTTCATTAACATGGGCTTATTTTAAATGTTTCCAGCCACATTTAAATCTTTTCTAGACATATTTTTTATTTCTATTACTTACTGGAAGTCCAGGAGGACCTGAAAACCCTGGCAATCCAGTTATTCCCTAAAGACACAGAAAAGAGGAAGGGGTGGCAAGAAAAACAGTTTAAATGTGTGCATCCTACAAACATAAAATTATTTGCCATTACAATAATCTCTTCCTGCAACTCTGATTGGCAATAGCCAAAAAGTGATTAGACAAGCAAAAAAGGTTTAACAAATCTTTGACATTTATTGAACATTTTCTTTTGGTGTTTTGAAATAGGATCTCACTATGTAGCCCAGACTGGCCTAGAACTCAGTGCTGGGATTATAGATGTGCACTACCATACCAAGAACTCTTTCATACACTTTTGATGTACCAACCCTCAAACAGAAACAGCATTCCTATCACTTGAGAAGGTTCTTTCATGCCTTTTCCCCATTACTTAACTACTACCCCTAATGTGGTGATCAATTCTTTACTTCAACCAGTATAAATTAGTTTTACCTGTTTTTGAACATCATCTGTAGAACTATACACAATGTACTTACTCCCCTCTGACATTTGTATAATTTTTATGGGACAGCATTGGTACTTTTTAAAGGATGCTTATCCAACACAATGAGGATGGACTGATTGGACTACTAACCCTTATGCCTTTGGGACCAGTGAGTCCTGGAAGTCCTGGAGAACCCTAGATCCAAGTGAAAAAAGGAAAGGTAAATGTTATGAAAATTATTCCACACAAAAAATTCATTCCCAGTCTTATTCACAGGCCAGGCTGTTTTACTCTTGTGGCTATTTCATTGTTCATTTGCTTCCTTGTTTCATTGGTGCTAATATGTTTGTCAGAAAGAACAAACAAAAATTGATTAAAACCCTTGCTACTCAAACTGGGGCTTGGGGCCAGCAATATTAGCATCACTGGGGAACTTGTTAGAAATGAGAAATCTCAGATACCTCTCTCCCCAGTCTCTACTCTCCCACCGCTGCCACCCACCACTACCTCCCAGGCTTGCTGATTCAGAATCTTCAGTTCAAAATGATTCTATGATGATTTTCCTGTACTTTAAATAGTCTCCTAGTGCTGTGGTAAAAGACTCACAATTAGCTGGACAGCTGTTGAGGGCTGATAAGGATGAATGTCACAATTACAATGGCAGATGTGAATAGCAGCCAATACTTCCATGCACTGGAATCACTTTATTAACAAAATCTGCCTGAAATGTACAAGTAGATAAATAATGAAGTAGGGACTGCCTGAGCTAGAGATAAACGTGCTCCAGGCACATGATGAATGCAGTTTTGAGGCCATCTTCCTCAGAGAATAACCTTAAATGGACACTATTTTAACTAAGCCACTTGCTGTGGAAGTTCCTTTGTCCAAAAGCTGTTTTCATCATTCCAGAGAGTTTCAGTGTGTTTTGGTATTTTTGATTATTTGAGAAAAGGATGTTACAGAGTCTTCTGAGATTGGACTCTCAAGGCCAAAGTCAGCCTTTCCTTTGTGAGGTGGAATTCCTGGGTGTGTGGCCATGTTCAAGGCTGTTCCCTTTCTTTGCAGAATGCTATTTGTGTTATGCAGAAGGCAGAAGAGTGACTTGCAGGTTTTAAATCCCCGTTGTAAATCTTCTCATGCAGAAATATTTAAAGTTGAGAAAGAAAGATTATAAAGCTGGAAAATCTTTTTGACCAGTTTTTAATGCTCTTTAGTTGTTTGCCTTTATTCAAGTTCTCTTTTTAATGTATCCATACCTCCAAGTTATGCTATAACACTATGACAGATTTTCTGGATTAACATTGTAGAATATTTGCACATCATGTAATCCCTATGAAGCACCATAATTTAAATTGGTTGCTGGCTTTTCTAAAGAAATGCTAAAGGCAAACTAGAAGAGTAGTGTATAGAGAAGAAAATAAGAAGGAAGGAATCCTAGGCCGGTCTAAGTCCAGGGTTGACTCATTCTACCTGTGAAATGGAAGGAATCCAAGCTCTAGAAGAAGTCACCCGAATGTTCTGACTCAGCCCAGAACTGAATGACTTTTTCAAAATTAGCACCAGAAGGAGAAATGGAGAAAGAGAATGCGTATACGATATGATAGACATAGAAATGGTAGAATTTCTGGAAAACATCTGCCTTTGCATTTTTCTGTAAACTGTAGATTTAGATTTAGTTTCTTTGGCTTCATGAGTTTGATTCTAGCATCATAGATGTGGCATAAGAAGTATGTATTTGGACTTTGCCTTCAGTTCTTGGCACAAAGTTCCTAAAACCCTCCTTAATTCCTGAGTGATGGGGGTATAAGGATCATGATTTGTTCTAGATTTGGCCTTTGACTCCAGTTCCTGACACACATCCTTTGTAACAAACTGGTAGACATTAGTGTTTGAGTTCTATGATCTGTCATAGCTAATTATCGAACCTGAGTGGGGTCATGGTAACCCCTAATTTATAGCCAAATTGGAAAGAAGTGTGGGGAATCTGGGGGCACCACTTTTGAAGTGTGCTTAGGGGCAGTCTTGTAGGACTAAGTACTTAGCCTGTAGGAGCTGCTTTAATTCCAGGTATCTGACATTATAATTGAATTGTAGCATACCCTGTTGGTGTCCAGAGAATTGAAGGATTATTCAGGTTAGAAAAAAATCCCACACAGTATAAAACCAAGCCTAAATTCTGACCTTGCCACCTAATACCCAAAACAAATAACTTAGGTACTCTGTCAATTTTTTCATCCGGAAAGTGGAGATAGTAATGGGAGCTACATTTCGAGTCACCATTCAGGAGTTTCAGGGTCAGTGAGAGGAGTGAATAAAACACAGAGAGGAATAAATGTCCAAGTGCCTGGCATGGAATAAAAACACAGTATGTTGGTTTTGATTATCATTTAAATATTCTATACCCTGTTCCAATGCACATTCTAATAGAGTATGAAATTTTAAGAGACTCTGTATAGATCAATTCTAATTATCTTTCATAACTTATTAGTTAGTGCACAGCTTGCTGGAGGCCAGTAGTCAGGAGAGAGTCCATGTACATGTGTGAGAGCTGAGGCTTATGCTAACCAAGGTCCCCAGGAGGAAAGAAAAGTCAGCAAATCCAGTGATTGTGCAATTATATAGTAAATCCTCCAGAGTGTTTATTAAACAAAGCCCTTGTGTATCGCAGGCTTTGGGATAAGAGTGTGTGATGAGTGTGAAGGGTAGCAGGTTTTGGGAAGAACCTTAGGAGTCAAATTCTTAAGGGACCAGAAAAAAAGAGCCACTCATGAAGGAAGGGATGAGTGGGGAGGGCAAGAAGAGAGGCAGGCAAAGAAGTCTTCCAGCCAACAATGGCAGAGTCGTTTCAAGTGGAAAAGAGCGATCCACAAAATTTGAAACAAAGCAGAGGGGTTCAAGGCCAATAAAGACACTTTACAATACCCATTGCCAGTGGCCATTTGAATGTCATTGGTGATGTTTGTAGGGTTGTTTTCAGGAGGGATGAACAGAAGGCAAGTTATCAGTGACTAAGGAATGAATAGCAGAGGAAGGACAGACAGCACATTTAACTATTCTTCAAAAAACTTGACAAAGAAGACAGGGCGAGGACTGTAATCCTTTGGGTACAGGACCTGGAAAATCTAGAGGAAGTTCTATATTTGTAGGGTAAAATATGTGCATGTCTAAGAACTGAAAGAGAAAAACCAAATCAAAATGGAAGTTGGAATGTAGGGGTAGGGAGGACACCTTCAGAATAAGGTTCTAGCAGGAATCCTGGTGATCAGGGTGCAGGTGGATGGATAGGTCATGAGTGGGAGGCAAAAAAGAGTTCATCCTCATGTGGGAGAAGTTGTCCAGGTTCAGGGGTAGAAAGTAAAAGTGGGGGAGGGGAGGAAGTTAAGTCAGAGAGTTGAAGGTAATGATCGCTTGCAATTTTCTTGGAATAGAATGCAGTTCTGAGGGCTCAGCTAAGATTTGAGACCAAAAATTTGTCATGGATCCACCAGTTTGTTAAGACATGGAATTCTCCAAGCTTACAGGATGACATACCTTGGGTCCCTGTGGTCCTGGCAAGCCTTCAGGACCTGGGAATCCTTTCTGGCCAGGAAAACCAGGAAGTCCAGGAAAGCCTTTCTCCCCCTGTTAAAACAAAAACAAGACAAGAAATACACAGAACAGCAACTATACAACAACAAACACACCTAT